CATTGTTTTATTTATATAAATATATCACATTGAAAATTGCTTGTGATAGCTTATCTCTGTTATATACGTCAATTAGTTCCTTTTTAGTTCAGAAGAGTAAATCACATAGAAAATGTCGGCTTCCGAATAAAAATAATACCTTTAAAGATAGTGTCCTCCAAGAATAATTAGGTCATCCGTTGGACGTATATATAACATATTTTGATCGGAAAGTTTACTATATCCAGAAAAATTAAAATTATAGCTTCAATAAGAAAGTTAATTACAATCCGTCAATGGAGAACCACTGAACGTAAATAAACGCGTCTTCCAACATTACATATTGAGCACGTTCATGCTACAGAAATGAAATGAAATGAAATGGGGTTTAACGTCCTACTCCTAAACTGGGCTAATGAAGACGGGCATACACCATACAGTGTGCAATAAGGGAAATTTTGCCCGGGCAGCGGCGCTACGGCTCACTCTTATATCGAATTCCAACTGCCAGGGGATCTTTTACGTGCACGCCAATGTGTACACGGGACCTCGGTTTTTCGTGCCATCCGAACGACTAGACAGCTGTCCTTGTCAGGTCCTCCGTCCTGCATCACTGACAAAGGGAAACCACGCCGGAAAATCTGGATGAACTTTCTCGGCCAATGCAGGGATCGAACACCCGACCGCCAGGCTAGCGAGCCAGCGTCTTACCCACTTAGCCACGTGATCCCCCTTCATGCTACAGAGCTCACCCACTTATAATGAGGCAATTGAGTTTCAGTAATTAGAGAAATATGCATGTAATTGTTTGTTTCTTCGATGGCCGTTTTGTAAGAGTCAGAATGGTATGGAATGCTAACTGTATGTCGGTTCGGGAGGTTCGGTTATTTCCAGAGTTCAAAATGGTTAGTATTCCCCAAAATACTCATTTATATAAAGCGGTCATTTTGGACTCCGGAAATTCCCGAACCTCCCCAACCGGCCTACAGTTAGAATCTCTTAAAGAAGATTTAGCTAAGTGCACAATAAGAGAATACTTGTCGAAACGTCGTGCTATATATTAAAAAAATGGATGATTAAGGCTATGATTATGATCTTAAGAACGGTAGCAATGGCAATCGAGACTACTCTATTCTTCTAACGACCATTACGTCGGCCAGAATGAAATAATTTGACTGACATTTTCAATATATTCCCTTTTCATTGTCTATTTTTAACCTATTATAGCGAGAACTGTCAGTTCTTTATCGAAATCTTATATAATACATCTTAAAGTTACAATTTCATATTTTCTAAGAAATTCAAATATAATTATTTCTATGTCTTTTGCCACTATTATACGATCATAGGTTATCTTTCTCACTCTTAAAAATCTTCACACTGGAAATAATAACACAATTACCTCCCAATTATCTCCCTTGTTTTCCTAATCCCCACCATGGAACAGCTATCTTCAAACGTTTGAATTTGAAGTTGAAAATGATATTTTTGCCAATTTCTCAACTGGCAATAGTGAATTATAGGATTAATAGGATTGTTCTTTAACAAGGTAGGACTGTTTATAGATACCATCTATTTTAGGGCTTTATTTTAATACATTTTAAAAATATAACTTAAAAAAATGAAATTGTAACTTTAATGTATATTTACAGCCATATTTTACCTAGTTCAACACCCATCGCCCATGACAAGATTACTTTAGCGATATTTATTTATAAAACACAAATTTTATGTTTAACATATTTATGTTAAAGCGAAGTTTAAATGATTTAGACTACAAAAAACAACAGAAAGTAGCCTACATATATATCATATAATACATTATATCATACTAAATGGTATCCAAGACCAGAGATCAGTTTACTACCTCTTCCATGACTGTTTCACCATTGTTGCAAATTTTTCCCACCCACTCTGAATATTTCTTAATTTGAGGTCACCTTCAAATTTAGAAAGGCGGTTATAAATTATTTATTAAATACTCAACCGCACCTAAAGTCCACTTTTAATATCAGTTTAAGTAATTTAAGTGGGATTGGTGGCCGAATGGTTAGTGCGTGCGTGTTGCATTATTAGGTCTGTCATTGAGTCGACTGGCGTGGTTTCGATTCCCCGGTTGTTGGGTTTTCTCATGGGTCCTCCGGTTTCCTCCCACTGCGAATTATTGAATTAAAATTGAACCATATGTTATTTCCGAAATGACCTAGTTTGTGTCGAGTGGACGTTAAAGCCCTTCTCTCTCTCTCTCTCGCTCTTCTCTCTCTCTCTCTCTCTCTCTCTCTCTCTCTCTAAGTAATTTAAAGCTTGAGCTGCACATTAGGCTATGATATATTACAATGTTATTGCTGGTGGACATTGGGCTTTCCACCCTATGATATATGTAAGACGTAAGAATTTTATTAAGATATTTATTGGTATTGTAAAACCATATATTGTTTATAACAAGTGTCAAATACAAACCTCTCAGATAATAATGTAACGTTAACAATTTCCATTCCACATTAATTTTACTTTATGAGCCGTTGTGACGTCCAGATTTATTGACACAACCCCAATAATAATGACATATAATTTTATATTTTGATTGTATATAATGGTTATTTATTAATGAACTCGAATTATGTGACAGGTGAAAGTGTGTATTATTTGACCTTAAAAACCATTCACCATTTAATATAATAAAAGATACATTATGGGAGATTCGGTAACGAGTTGGCAGTTCCCACTATAATAGTTAAAAACTAGATAATGACGTAAAGGCAATTTGGTGAAAATTTCATTCAAATTGAACCACTATGAACCGAGAACTAAGCGACTGAAATTCCCATAAGCCTCGGTCATCATTACTAAAGTCAGTACGATAAACAGCATAGTCTCGATTATCCATTTAATCGTTTACTCGAGAAGGAAAGTTATGCAGTAAATCGGCTTACAATCCACTAAAGATCGCAGGCTAGCGCTGCCATCTAGAGTTGATTATGGCCTGGATAGGTTAATCAATGTCTAATTAATAATTTAGATAACATTTCAGGCCTAAAGAAAGACCTGAAATAGACAGATTTAGCTCTTGCATAATGTATGTTTAAGTTGTTTTAATTCGACCCAAATACAGCTAAAATCCTTATTATGAGACATTTTTGTTATATAAATAAAGGCGCGGCTGTTAAAGATTCCCGAACTGTGGAAACCTTCAGCGATTTGTTTAAGATGAACAACAACTTTCATCAAGGATTTCCATGGAGAAAATCAGGCGAAGCGATGTGATCAAAGATTCTTCAAAGGATCGACTGAATCCCTCTGGACTACAGCTAATTCACGTATGAGTTCGCTGTCCCCGGCTGTGTCAAGGAATAATTGTCAATATACATGTACACCACCATGCTCTAGACCCGTGATTCTTAACCAGTGTGCCGGGGCACACAGGTGTGCCGCGAGATCTTCCTAAGCGTGACGCGAAATTTTGAACGGCACACTAAGAATATGTGAAAAAACACGTGATCCCAATTGAGTAGTCACTGGTGTCTACTGATAAGTTCATAGCTGTGTTTTTCTTTATTTAGTTTGAGTCTTTCTATGTGTCTATGACTAGTCTCTGTCTACAGTTGTATGCCGTCTGACTTACCATATTTTTATTTTGCAAAATTCAGATATTTTTCATATATATTTAGTCAGGTGTGGCGCTAATTTTTTATGTGAGAAAAATGGGGTTTAACGTCCACTCGACACATACTAGGTCATTTCGGGACCAACATATGGTTCAATTTTATTTCAATAATTCGCTTGCGCATAGGGGTCTTTAGCAGTGGGAGAAACCCGGAGGACCCGGAGAAAACCGACGAGGTTGGACAGGCGACCCTACTCCTTGTCACGTACAACCGGGGAATCGAAACCACACCAGTTGACTCAATGACAAGCCCCCTGTGAGAAAATGAGGAAGAAACATAACCGAATTATAACTGTGTTTGGCTTTATGTTTGTTTGTTTTTTTCCTTGTGGGGGGGGGGGGGGTTGGTTCTGGTCTTGTTACTTGCCCTACAGAATAAGCTTGGTGTTGGTTCATGTAATTATATAGTTCACACATTTCTATCAGACTTACATGTGTAAGGTGCATTCGGAAACCTCGGCAGATGTAGGTTACCAGCATCAGCCGAGGTTTGCCGACTGGTGTAAGGTGATTTGTGTAGGATAACCGAAGTCGAGGACTTTATCTTGCTTATAAACCGTCGACTTTTACATGTACGCAAGATGAGAATATCCCAGAATTCCCGTAAGAAAAACCTTATATCATGTTTTTTATGGGAAAAAAAACCTACCCTGGAAGATTAACCCATTACAGGTTTAAAGAAAAACTTTCAGAAGAATAACCCCAAATTTCCCTGTATATACCCAAAACCCCCACCCCAACTTTCAGACCGCAAGTTATTCCGGGCATAGGATATACCCCAAAGATCAAAGAGATTTACCGTTACAGGTTTATAATATATTGTAAATATACCAGCAGCTGGTTGATTGTGTTCACGTTTGTCACTGCCAGGGGAGCTAACTTGTACGGCTAAAACGATTTTTCTTACGAATCTATTTTCAGGCCGGTTTAGTGGAACGGAAATTTCCTTACGCCAAGCTCAGTTTGAGTTTGACCGACACCACAAGGTCTTGTGGTAGGGGGTATGGGTAGGTTACACTAACCATAACCCAGAATCCCTGACAACACCCTCTGGATGACAGCTTAGGGTTATGACCAGGGATTCGATCACCCAGTAACATAATGAGCTAGAAGGCATTTTACACCAACCCGATATCTGCTTCAATGCGTCTAAAGCTGCCTTAAAGATCCCTCAACAGTTCGAAATCAAAACCTCTATTTTGCAAATTTTCTTCCCTTGACAAGCGCGGCTCAAACACTTTCTTGCGTGGCTTTCGGGTGTGCTGCTGCCATTAGCCCATTACACAAACAACATCCTGTTAACCGCTACTTACAGTCATATGTTAGTCTCAAACTGACACATTAAAATCATTCTATCTCTATTCTAATAATTTTATTATCTTTTAATAATTCATACATGTCGTAGATAATTAGGTAGAGTTTTTTGGAACAGAGACTGGTCGCTAACCGCTACTTGTTGTTGTTCTTCTGCTTGGGATGAAGCTCTTCAAAAAAGCCTAAGGCTCCGTCTATTATTCAAGTCCAAACGGAATGTTTCTTCTTTGAACAAGTCTGCATCGATTTGGGGAATTAGAGTTGTGAATTTCATCCAACAACATGGTCAGTTCCTGGTCAAAATAACGATCGTACTTGTTTAGTTCCACAATGGAATGGTAGAACACCAATACCGGTTCATATTTGTTCGAGGCTTTCTACGTTTAGAAATATACGACTTTTGTCTATTCACACACAAATTAGCACACAATATTCACATAATAATAAAATAAGTATTCCGAAACCATGTTATTAAGTAATAAGGCACACAATAATACAATATACACAACGATTTACATCAAATATAAGCTTACTGTTTTAATTATACATTCCGTTTACCAAATAGTCTATTCTAGAATAGTGTCTCTTCTGCCATCCGTCATAAACACGTCTTCCAACTAAGGCCACAACAGCAATAAAGAATATAATACCAAAACTTAAACAGGAGATTAGCACTACTGAAAACATGCTGCCATCTTTACCAAAAATAGACGATGATTGGCTAAGGGTGGAATTCGCCGATTGGCTGATGGTTGAGTTACTGGATTGGCTTGATTCATCAGATGGTTCTGGAACGATAGTGGCATTCTCCCCACCAAAAAAGTCTTCTGAAATGGAAAATGAGTACGATCTATAAGGCTTTGGTTTGGTCACAACAAAGGCTGACACCAATCAATTTCAAAACAGTTAGGATGGATAGGCTATATAAACAACACAATATATGATATGTGACGACCTGAACAGTGTTTAAAACACTTTGAAACACCAAACAGTTAATGTTTGTTTAGCTGCTCCTGTATAGAACCCTGATTGACCGGGTAGAGCAATGTTAGTGGTGGAATATTTTAGATGTACGTTATTATATAGGTTCCAACTATCACGATTCCTGCTGCGATTGAAATCGTGGGTTTAATCGTGGCATAGTCGTGGTGAACCCATCAGGTCTTTTCATATATTGAGGCCATTCGTAGAAATCGTGTTGATAGTATCGAAACGTATCGCAACGCATCGTACGACAGTCTTGTAGCAAGACACTGGAGGGATATAGACGACAAATTTTACACATTATAGGTCGAGAAAGACATATAGAGAATCTCCTACTCGTCTTTTTTGATATCAAAAAAGACGAGTAGGAGATTTTATTTATCTCCCAATCCTTTCTTACATGCACAAATAAATAAATATAATTCTTTGCTATAGATTTCACCTTTACTGAACCTGATTACATTACGGCGTAGTGATACATCATTTTTTTTACAGCAATTAAACCATTGCAAAGTCCTTTATATTGACTCAGTGTTTCCATCAAGGTCAATTAAATAAAAAATAGTTCATTTTTAATAAAAAAAAAAATAAAAAAAGAAGTTACTTTTAATCAAAAATGAAATGTTCTTCGAAAATAAAAAAAAAGTAGTTCCTTTTCATCCGACCAATCAAATTCATGTAAAGCGATATATCGCAGTAGATTTTGGGGTGATAAATGTTTATAACATGTAGCTGACTAGAGATCACGTGTTTAATTAGTGCAAGTCAATAATTCCCTAATGTCCGACTAACTTGGCAATTCAACCAATCGGGCATCATAGGCCTGCAGCTGCCATTTAAATATTGCGATGACGTTATTGCATTGATATAGTAATCGAAGTTTTCAGAATTTTAATGAATATTTAATTTACCTAAAACTTCATCTATTAAGCCATCGATGTTTTCACTTGAAGCAGAATCGTCAAGAAATCCATCATCATCTGTGTCCGAGCTTAGGCCTATAATAAACATTGTATTCGTTACTGATTAACAAACACATACCTACGTAAAGTGCTATTGTTAAATATATATAAACTGATTGATTTAGATGTCTTCACTAAACAATACTTTAGAATATACACCAAAAGATCTTTAAAACGTTAGACATTATTAAAGGGGATAAATCTCTATTCTTTGGCACCTAGAAATGAACACAAATGGGTCGCAATGAATTTGACCCTATATATACAAACTGATTTACATTCAATCGTTTTTGTTTTTACTGTAATTTCTGATCAGTTATGTTCGGCGAAATTCGCCAAGAGTCCTAACTGAATTGCAATCTTTGGCGTCTGATTATTCCAGTCTACACCGATAGTATTCTCCTGCGAGGTATGATTAGCCTCGTTCATCGAGTCGCTTCATTACAAATGGCGCCTGAAAGTATTCTGGCACGCGATTGGATATCAGAAGCCCGTCTTTTCACGGTAAGATAACAACATCAATGTTAATTTACATTGACCAACAAGTCGTATTTGCAATGTCGAAGACAGTGGATGATATTGAGTTAGCGACTTGCCTACTTTGAGTTTGCCAAAAAGTAAAAAAACCGCGAAATATATTTGTGGAATTAAATATGCGTACTGAATCTAGTGGTTAACTTGTACAGGCCATGCATATAAGTTCTAAACGTCTGTTCCGGCGTGATTTTTCCTTGTCAGTGGTGCAGGAAGGAAGACAGCTGTCTAGTCGTTCGGATGGCACGAAAAACCGAGGTCCCGCGTACAGATTGGTGTGCACGTAAAAGATCCCTTGGTAGTTGGACTTCAATATAGGAGTAGGTCGTAGCGCCGCTGCCAGGGCAAAATTACCCTCGTAGCACTCTATATAGCGTATGCCCGTCTTCATTAGCCCAGTCGGAGCAGAACAGTAGGACTTTAAACCCCATTTAAGTTCATTTCTAAACGTCTGTATCTCACCAGTGAATTGACAGATTTTGCACCCAGTAATATATGAAGTTTGAACAGTCAAGGTATGTTTTAACCAATTGTCGACCATTGCTACTGATTATTTATATTATATAGTGGTGTTTAAATACTAAGGTATACAGAGAAAGTACATGTTTATCATGGACACAAAGTATCTCCATGCGTTTTACCTTCTTGTGGTGGATATGTTGCTTCCCAGGGTGGATTAGTAGATTCTTTTGGTGGGTTAGATGCTGCTTGCGGTTTGGGTAATTTATTGTATTCTTGCTCTGGGTAATTTATTTCTTGCGGTGAATTGGTTGGTTGCTGAGTGACTTCTGGTTGATGTATTTCTTGTGGATTAGCTGCTGGTGAATTTACAGCTTGTGATTGAGCTGTTGCTGACTGATTTGATACTTGTGGTGGATTAACAGCCTGTGTTTGGTTTATTGCTTGTGATGGATTTGTGGCTTGCGGTGGATTAGTGGCCTGTGGTGGAATTGGTGGTTCTTCGGGTGTTTCTTTCGGATTTGTTGCAGCCGGTGGACTTTGTGGTGGATTTGTTGGTTTGGGGATATTTGTTGTTTCTTGATTTGTTATATTTGGCTGTTCTTGGGGTGGATTAGTAACAACTGGCTGATCTGTTGGTGGGTTTGTTGCCTGTGGCAGATTTTGTGTCTGCGGTGGACTTGTTGCCTGTGGCGGATTTTGTGTCTGCGGTGGGCGTGTTTCTAGAGGTGAACTTTGTGCCGGTGGTGGACTTGTTGCTAGTGGTGAATTTTCAGCCTGTGGTGGACTTGTTGCTAGTGGTGAATTTTGAGCATGTGGTGGACTTGTTGCCTGTGGCGGATTTTGTGCCTGTGGTGGACTTGTTGCTAGTGGTGAACTTTGTGCCTGTGGTGGACTTGTTGCCTGTTGCTGATTTTGTGTCTGTGGTGGACTTGTTGCTAGAGGTGAATTTTGCGCCTGTAGTGTACTAGTTGCCTGTGGCAAATTTTGTGCCTGTGGTGGACTGGTTGCCTGTGGCAGATTTTGTGCCTGTGGTGGACTTGTTTCTAGTGGTGAACTTTGTGCCTGTGGTGGACTAGTTGCCTGTGGCAGATTTTGTGCCTGTGGCGGGCTTGTTGCTAGTGGTGGATTTTGTGCCTGTGGTGGACTTGTTGCTAGTGGTGAACTTTGTGCCTGTGGTGGACTAGTTGCCTGTGGCAGATTTTGTGCCTGTGGTGGACTTGTTGCTAGAGGTGCCTGGGGTGGATTTACTGTCTGTGGTTTATCTGTATTTGTAGTTAATTCAACGATTGGTGATTGTTGTGCTTGGGGAGATGTGGTAGGGTTAAATAAATTTTGTATTGCAGACTGTTCGTCGATTGAAGGTGGGGTGTTATGATCAGTCTGACTCTTACTTAATGATATGATTAATGCCAGGCTAGCCAACAACAGATTGAACTTCATCTTTTATCTGAAACACAAGCAGAAAAAAATTAATTCTAATCAAAATATGAATTTTTTTTTGTATTGAAAAATGAAAAATAAAGATGCAAAAAGGTTTGTATTTTGCTCTGTTCAGAGTTGTTCGTTCTCGCGATGGTCTAAAACCAGACAATGGGCTCTTGTTGGTCCTGAATCAACTGGCGCGGTTTCGATTCCTCGATTGTACGTGACAAGGAGTAGGGTCGCCTGTTCAACCGGTTTCCTCCTACTGGTAAAGACCCCTACGCGCAAGCGAATTATTTAAATAAAATTGAACCATATGTTAGTCCCGAAATGACCTGGCTTGTGTCGAGTGGGCGTTAAATCCCATTTCTCCCTGTCTCTTGCTGATCCCTTTTCTCCCCATTTTTTGATATATATGAAAAGGGTGTGACTATGTTGTTCGCTTTATATTAAATGTTAGCTGTTGGTGAATTATTACTTGCTTTTTAAAAGATAAAACCGTTGTGCAAAACATATTTAATCGCCAAAAGAGTCTGTTTCATTACCTTATTACATGTAAATAAAATAATGTTAGTCCTGAAATCGCCTAGATGGTCAATTTATTTTAATCCAGTTGGAATTCTGGTGCAATATAATGGTATAGGAAACTTTTACCCCGTCCGTATCGTCTCTATCTATTTTTATCTACAGTTTCGTCTTGAAGCCATCGTGACTAAGTGGGTAAGACGCTGGCTCACTAGCCTCGAGGTCAAGTGTTCGATCCCTCCATTGGCCGAGAAAGTTCATCGAGATTTTCCGCCGTGGTTCCCCCTTTTCAGTGGTGTGGGACGGAGGACCTGACAAAAAACCGAGGTCGCGTGTATACATTGGCGTGCACATAAATGATCCCTTGACAGTTGGAATTTGATATAAGAGTAGACCATAGTGCCGCTGCCCAGGCAAAATTTCCCTCATAGCACACTGTATGGCGTATGCCCGTCTTCATAAGCCCAGTCGGAGCAGGACGTTAAACCCCATTTCATTTCATTTCATTTATTTTCGTCTTTTGTACAAGATCATAAATAAAACGGAACGTAATTGATGGCTTATTTAAACAGACTGAATCAACGAGACTTAACGTTATTAGATATACGTATTTTGTCTAATGGTTTGGATTGTTCGTACTTGGTTTTATTTTTTTATAGATCAGACTGTATGTGTAATTACCTATATACTCTCTTAAATTACTGCATTTATCTCTAAGGTTTAAACACCTTACTTTACCATTCAAGACGAAAAGGCAATTTGAAATTCTTAATGGTGAATGTGAGTAATAAAACTCTAGTTAAACTATCGGTATTTACATGATTATAAGTCACGTGCTGTTCTGGCTTGATTTTATAGCCTTTTTAAACAGCAGCTGTCACTACGTCTAATGTGAAATTGAATAAACAGAATATACACACCCTTGTCTTCTACGTGATATATACAATTTTCTATAAATACAGATCTAAATTTATACTTTAACATTTATCATATTTCGCTGTCGTTATTTCAATGTTATGATCATGTAGTATCGATAGAATTTCCGACGTGGTTTCCCCCTTGTCAGTGGTGCAGGACGGAGGGCCTGATAAAGGACAGCTGTCTAGTCGTTCGGATGGGACGAAAAAACGAAGCACGTAAAAGAACCCTTGGCAGTTTGATTTCGATATAAGATTATGCTATAGTGCCGCTCTCCGGGCAAAATTTCCCTCATAGCACACTGTATGGCGTATACCCGTCTTCATTAGCCCATGTTCCTGAAGCAACGACCGCGAGTTTTACATGTACATAGTTAAGGCGAGGAAGATGTCATTAGCCCAGTCGGAGTAGAACAGTAGGACGTTAACCCCCATTTTCACTTCTAAAGTGTCAGTTTGTTCTTTGTATCTAATCTAACACTTCGAAATAAAAACAAACGTCTTCACCCATTTAACTGCATTTAATGAAAATGTAGCTCTATGTGAATAGATGACTTCCTATGACTACTCAAACACGTATTATATAGAGCCCCGTCTTCATTAGCCCAGTCGGAGCAGAAAAGTGGGTCTTTAAACCCTGTTTAATTTCATTTATCAATAGGACTTGAGCCTACACCAGTGGGATCAAATCTACTGCATGTATTGCCTCTGGACTTATTCTGACAATTTCAAGACAAGAAATGAATTAAATGGGCTTTAATGTTCTACTGTTCTGATCTAAATTGTAAAAAAAATCACTGCGCATTAAATAGCCTATAATATATATAGCCGCGATATAACACTCTATTTTTATGTCTCTGAATTTATTTTGACAATTTAAAGACAAGAAATGAATTTAATGGGTTTTAATGTCCTACTGTTCTGAGCTAAATTTTAACAAGAACCACTGCGTATTAAATTGCCTATAATATATATAGTCGCGATATAACAGTCTATTTTTATATAAAGTTTTACTTACTGTTGTAGTTGTTATATATAATATCCTTCAACTGATTGACTGTTTATGAACTTCTTTTTATATATTATTTAATGGAAAAACGCCCGGAATTTTAAACCTGGAAAACTACATGTTTCGGGTCTTTAATGTTTTTGTTGATGACAAATATCCACAAAGTCTAGTCGACAAATTCTCTTGTATATAGCAGACTTAAAGTACTCGAATCGATAAGGAAAACACGTTTTAATATTCCGATCGAAGTTTTCCACATATGTTACTCCGTCGAAGGTATGCCCCACGACGCCATTTTAGTCTTTATTGGCTGAACGGCGACGACTACCGTAATGCAATTTAAATCACGTTATTTTTGTTATAGTCGCATAAAATTCTGGACTGAAATTTAATATAACGTGCCATACATAAAAGGCGGGGAGCATATTTATATACAAAATTCATATAGATGTTGAATTCCTCTGGCGGGCCTGTATAATATCGATGTATTTGCATTGCGGTGGTCAGGTTGATTACTGTCGCCCAAGGTCAGGGGAGGGTTAAGAGGGGGGGGCGACCCCCCCCCCCCCCCGGTCAGCTACATAAATTTTTTCGTAAATCAACACTTTTTATGAGAAAGGGTTCTCGGCCGTGTGCTTTATCCTTTATTGTCAGATGTGGGACAGGATGGGCACTCAAAGCACGTGATAATGATATAGACATTATGTGATATCACAAGTAATGCTTTGCATCCATAAAATTGAATCACAATGTCATTGTATTAATTCATAATAAAATGTGTATGTATATACGCCAAAATGACGATAGAGACCATGCAGGACGGGGGGGGGGGGGGAGATACATTGTCTCAGGAACCTGGCAAACCCCCTCCTGCAAAAATTCCTGGATCCGCCTCTGCATAATAAATGTATTAAATTGTTAAATTTTTGTAATAATATGAATGTCAGAAGATCCAACAGAGATTACATTCTGAATTTTTATTTTTAGTACTAATATGTGGTTCAATTATATTTCTTTAGCAGTGGAAAGATCTGGAGAAAACCCACGAGATTGAAAAGGAGACACTACTCCTTGTCAGTACAAGCGGGGATTCCAAACAATGGCACTTGCAATGACAGACCTTATGATGCAATGCGCACACGTTAAACCATTCGGCCATCCAACTCCCCACGCCAGAGAGAGGCGCACTACAAAGCAAGTACAGTACTAGTCTGTTTTATGCCCAACTCTGAAAATAATAACCAAAGTCTACATGCAATTAAATGAGCTTTAATCTCTCATTAACATTTTACATAGGCCATTTTGAGGCTGTATTTTGTATGGTTACATGTGAAGGGACCAAGGACGGATCTAGTAGGGGTGCACACACACACACACACACACCCGCCCCCCTATCAGGATTTCTGACTGAAAAAGTTCCATTGTAATTCATTATTTTAGAACCAGATTCTTGTTTCAGATCACTGGAAATTACATTTCCGGGGGAGGCAACCTGGACCCCGTTGTGTGGGACCTCAATCCTGCACTACTAACTATGAAGAACCATGCTGGAAAATCCTGATGAACTTTCTTGGCCAACGGAGGGATCGAACAGGGGACCTCCAGGTTTGCGAGCAAATATCTTACTTACTGAGCCACTGTGGCTACCCACTGCCTCTACAGAATTTTTGATCATCTATATGTTTTAGTTTTGGGATGATTTTTTAAACATTTTGTTTGGTTAAGATTTACCATGGTTAATGAAATGAAATGGGGTTTAACGTCCTACTGTTCTAATGAAGATGTACATGTGACAGTTAATGTCTACAATCAGGCAATGTGTACAATGCCTGAAATATACCAGTCAATGTGTACATTGCTGGGTTAGGGTTAGGTTTAGGGTTAGAGTAAGGCTTAGGGTGTGGGTTAGGGTTACAAAGGCATTGTACACATTGCCTGATTGTAGACATTGACTGTAACATACATACGCCATACAGTGTGCTATGAGGGAAATGTTGCCCGGGCAGCGACACTATAACCTACTCTTATATCGAATTACAACTGCCAAGGGATCTTTTAGTGCAACACCAATGTATACACAGGTCCTCGGTTTTCCGTACCATCCGAACGACTAGAGAGCTGTCCTTGTCAGGCACTCCGTCCTGCACCACTGACAAGGGGAAACCACGTCTGAAAATCCCGATGAACTTTCTCAGCCAATGCAGGGATCGAACACGCGACCTACAGGCTAGCAATCCAGCATCTTACCCACTTAGCCACCGTGGTTACTAATAAAAACAAAATAATATTTTGATACATGTACACTTTTATTGTAAATATCACAGATACTGTTGACAAGTAAACAAAATATATCAATTAATAACAAACTATCCACAAATAATTCCTATCATGTTTAACAATAGAAGGACGGTAATGTTCATAAATCTAACAAGACAGATTATAAAAATAAAAGTAAATAATTTCATATCATTTCTTATTCAAAATCACCCAAATCATTGAAAATTAACAAGACAGATTATAAAATAAATATAATCAATTTTATATCATTTCATATCCAAAATCAAGACGGATTATAAAATAAAAGTAAATAATTTCATATAAGTTCATATCCAAAATCACCCTAATCATTGAAAATTAACAAGACAGATTATAAAATAAATGTAAATAATTTTATATCATTTCATATCCAAAATCACCCAAATCATTGAAAATTAATAAATGGCCTGCTTTGAGCAAAGTATTCACTGTTTGAAGTGCTGAACGTTTGAAAAAACCACCGTCAGCTATGCATAGACTGGTATAGAATAGTAAATCATGAACTAGATGTCTTAAACTTTACATGTATTCTAATTTGAATATGCCAGATATAACTTTACTTATAGTCAAATAAAACCAATAATTAATGCCTCTTTTAATATCAAACGGACTATAGATGGACTTTAGATTCAACCTTAAATAATGAGATAGACTTGATGTTTCATTTTTGTTCTGTCTTTTGCATGGCATTGTACAACATCAAAAATAAAGTGAAATCAACATCAGATTAACTGTAGATTTATTCATATATAAAAACAGACCAATTCAGAGGATTACCATAATCTTAATATCTGATATTCCTAAAACCATGACTATAACATGGCACTTTTTACTTTTATTTTAAGATAAACGGTCCTATATCAAATAATCTGAACCAGATTGGTGTGTAACTGTTGTAAAGTGTATATACTTATATAGTAAACTCTAGCTTTAAGTGCATTTAAAATACAGATATGACATCATCCTTCGATGTTGGTGTACCATTATTTCAAATAACGGTACATGTAATGTGCCATGAGTACATTATTTAAACTAGTTGAAATTTTGGACCTACGTGACATATTTCATTGCAAAGTATCTGTGTGTGTCCGTATTTTTAAGTTGTTTAATGGTCTTGAGTTTAAGAATAGTAACATGCCTCGTGTTGTTTCAATATATTACTTAATCTCTTGCTCTCGACCATTAAACCACACATAAGTTTTTTGGTCATTTCATATGTTTAAGTATTCAATAATAGGGCCCTTGGTGAACAATATAAGCGCACATATTAATGATTAATATATTTTAAAGATGGCACATTCATAATATGGTGACTGTAAAGATCTATGTAAGATATGGGTGATTAATGTTAAGTTGGGACATTTGTATAAATTCAAATTGTAAGAACGAAAATTCTCTCTGGAATTTTTCTGGACGGTTCACTGATAAAATAAAACTAATATTTTGTCGATTACAATAACATCACTAAAACAGTATACATTTTAGACTTCTGAAATATATGTGTTAATTAACTAATTAAAATGTATTATCAATTAGAAAATTTAAAACAGACAATAAAAGACATAAAATAATTGTAGACAGGAGGGGTTTATTTATCTATAAGAAACTTTCGTATGAATACTGCAGTTTGAATTTTAAAAATATTTTTAACAAAGATCTGAGGAAATGAATCGTTCCCCAGAATTTGTGATTCTTGATATTTAAAAACAATATTATTAGCCTCATTTGTAATCGTGAGTGCATGATGATAACGATCAGTGACATGGTATCGAAACATCATGTGTATATATATAATATAGTGATTTTGATCCACAGAAATGTGTTATGTTAAAGATACATAACGAGTTGGCAGTTCTCACTATAATAGTTAAAAACTAGACAATGTAAAGGCAATTTGCTGAAAAATTCAGTCAAATTGATCCACTCTGAAAAGAGATTTTAGCGATTAAATTTTCGGCCTAACCTTGATCATCATTACTAAAGTCGGTAGGATAAAACAAAATAGTCTCAATTATCCATTTTTTGATTTAGTTATGAATGGAAGTCGAACTGTAAATCGGAACCTAATCCAATAAACATTGCAGGCTAGCGATGCCATCGAGAGTTGATTATGGTCTGGATAAGTTAATAATGTCTAATTAATAATTTTTCAGGTAGAAAATTACACATGACATAAATCTTTGATTACGATATATGATAAACAACATATGTAATTTTGAACAAAATATTTACCGCACTAAAAATTTAAGAAAATAACTTTTCTTGTGATAAATGTATATGAATGGATTCAAACAAACTTTGGTAGCTAAATGATGATAAATGGCATTTATAACAACAATAATTACGATAATTTTAAACATACATTATGGGAGATTAGATAAAGAGCTGGCAGTTCTCACTACAATAGTTAAAAACTAGATAATGAAAATTTCAGTCAAATTGATCCACTCTGAACCGAGAATTTAGCGATTCAATTTTTGGCCTAGCCTCGATCATCATTACTAAAGTCGGTATAATAAAAAACATAGTCTCGATTATCCATTTTTTGATTTAATCAGAAGCAGCAGACCGGGTTCTGATCCAGTAAATATCGCAGGCTAGGGATGCCATCGAGAGTTGATTATGGTCTTGTCATGTTAATTAATGTTTAATTAATAATTTATATAACATTTAAAGCCTAAAGAAAGTCCTGCAATAGGCAGATTTAGCTCTTGCATAATGTATGTTTAAGATCATTTAAAGTATACACATAATGTATGTTTAAGATCATTTTAAGTAAACACATAATGTATGTTTAAATGTACACATAATAATAATTTACAAATTTTGTATATACAATTTAATTTACAAGTACTGATGATAAAATAGTCTATTCACTTCATAATAAATGGTCGAAATAATTCTTTATACAATAAAAACATGCTCAACTATATCAGCCGTTATCACAGTTCTAGGGTAGGAGTATCACACACAATACATACCCATGTAGTTGGATCTATATTGTATTGGTCTTAATTTTGATTCTGTTTACCTATAATTTAAAACTAAGTCCTGATGCAGCATTTACATTATCAATAAAATATCAAATTTCTCACACTTTAATACAATATACATGCTAAATTTGTAGTCGGGTTGATTATTTAAAGGCTCAATACGACTCTTGTTGTAACTGAATAATATGTCCCAATCTTTATTCTGGTCAACAAATTGTACTATTTTACAATATTCCAATTAATTGATGATACAAATTTCATCTTAAAACACCTAATTTAAAAAATCAGAAAAATTCAACTAAATGATTTGAAAACCCTGACGTAAAGCTTTTCAAATGTGACTTGGATTTAAAAATATTTTTGAACCCTCTGGACAAGTAAAATAGGATTTAATGGATAATTTACACAACAGGTAGGACACTAACACATCTAGTACTTAGAATAAGACTATTTTTTATTTTCTGGAGCTGTCAAGCCAGCGAGAGTGTTATTGTCCCTTTAACATTAAAATTCAGAATAAGAAATCAAAATACCAACAAGAAATCAGATGGATTTAAACTAGGCTCATCACATGTCTCTAATATTGATAAAAGATGGCGACATCTTGTTACGCTCAAGCAGCATAGATCAGTGAAATTTCAATTACACATATCTTTGTAAATACTGAACTGAATTGACGTATTTTTGAACTGATATTCCTATTAGAGTTTGATGTTTCACAATATTATAGTTTGAAAATGAGAGAGAGAGAGAAATGGAGTTTAATATCCACTTGACACAAACTAGGTCATTTCGGGACTAACATATGGTTCAATTTTATTTCAATAATTCGCCTGTGTGTAGGGGTCTTTAGCAGTGGCAGGAAACCGGAGGACCTGGAGAAAACCCACAAGGTTTGACATGCGACCCTACTCCTTGTCACGTCCAACCGGGGGGTCGAAACCACATTAGTTGACTCAATGACAGATCTTATGATACAGCGTTCACGCACTAACTATTCGTCCATCCAACCCCCAGTTTGAAAATGATTCATATAGCTTAAAATGGTGCACCAGGACTTTATAAAATTAACATTTTGATTTAGGAGTAATTCTCAGTATGTAGCATAGATCGATTTGTTATAACATAGCGACCGGTTCATTGTTTTACCAATCGGCTTGATTGAACTTCAATAAAACAGTTGATTAAGAGTATATCTTTGTCTAAATTTGATGTGATTATTTTGTTATGATTAGTGAAGAAGATTTATCTATATTTAGATTATGTTACAATATCATCATCAAAATTAGGTTTTAATCTTCTTGGTTCTTCATTAACTTGTGGTAAATCTTCTATCAGTCCCCAGTTAGTAGTTGAACTGATTCCTACAAAAATAAATATAAATGACATGACATGAGGGAAATTTTGCCTAGGCAATGGTACTATGGCCTACTTTTATAACTGCCAAGAGATGTTTTACGTGCATGCCAATGTATACACAGGACCTTGTGTTTTTTGTTCCATCTGATTGACTAGACAGCTGTCCTTGACAGGCCCTCTGTCCTGCACCACCAACAAGAGGAAATCTCGGTGAACTTTCTCGGTCAAAGCAGGGATCAAACACGCAGCCTCCAGACTAGCGAGCCAGCGTCTTATCCACAAAGCCACTGTGGCTCCCATAACAAGAATGATTCAACTTACAATGTTAATACAATCTACTTTTATGTCCAAGATTTTTAATCAGAACACAATATTTGTTTGTTTGAGTATATATTTCATTTTCCATGCAATATTTATTTTATTTATTTATTTATTCTTCAAGTAAAGGTTACAATATTACAACAATAAATATAGATATGTATATGAACACACTGCTTTTATAGATGATCCAAGAAGAACACCATAGACTATTTTGACACCCACCATAGACTAAGATTGTACACACATACCTGTTTGACGTGTATGACCTTTGACCTCATCATCTCCTACGGAATGTGTTGGATTATTTTGACTATTGATATGTCTAGGAGAGGAATCTTCATCAGACATACCCACACGTTTCTTTAAAAATCTATTTTTCTTTTTTCTTCTATGTGAGGATGGAGGAGTTATAACTTCTGCATCTGTAAGAATAGGATTTAAACAAATTTCTAAAATCGGAACATAATTTTATAAACTTTTAATAAAGCGATTATCAATCTGATTAGAATACAGATCGATATTTCGTTTCGTTTCTTTATACTTTCGATGACCTACACTACATAACGATCTGACCAGTTGTAGTAAAAGGTCACATCAGAAGTCGTACGAACGGCTTTTGACCCTATGACGTCAGACATTGATTAATCAATCAGTGTTGACGTTTCAAGTGGTTTACCCACAGTTCCATGCATCGCACGTCAAGAAGTCCTCGTAACAGATGGTTTTCATTGGCTAATCTGAGGTAGAGAGAGATGTGGGGCTTAACATCCACTCGACACAAACTAGGTCATTTATATTTATGGTTCAATTATATTTCAATAATTGGCTTGCACGTAGGGGTCTTTAGCAGTGGGAGGAAACCAGAGGACCAAGAGAAAATCTACGAGGTTGGACAGGCCACCCTACTCCTTGTCACGTACAACCAGGGATTCGAAACCACGCCAGTTGACTCTGTGTCAATGACTTTATGATACAGCACACATGCTAACCATTCCGCCATCCACCCCCCCATTGGCTAATCCCTCATGCCATCCAGAATGTAGGTTATATAACAGCTCTTCCAGATCCTAGTGTAGTACAGACAAATAAAATGAAATTTTGAACTATAAAAAACCGAAAAGAAATAGCATCTTGTAGATTGAGCGAACACAAAGGTTAAATAAATTAGGATCATACACAAAGTATTTTTAACCAAAAACATTTTGATCCATAAATTATTCTGATTGATCCGTAACTTATTATGGACATTGGGTTCTATTAATTTTACAAGGCCGTCTTTATTACATTGAGTTCTATTAATTCCACACGGCAGTCTTTATTACATTGGGTTCCATTGATTTTACACGGCCGTCTTTATTACATTGGGTTCTATTGATTTTACACGGCCATTTTTATTACATTGTATTCTATAGATTTAACAAAGCCATCTTTATTATATTGGATTCTATTGTTTTATCATAGCCATCATTTTAACATTGGATACTATCTTTATATGTCTCAGATCTGAGGCATGTCTTTTCATATAAGCCTGCCCTTCCTTCAGTATTTTTCAAATTGATATTCAAATAACAACAATCTTTGCATTAAAATAGTTTTTGAGATAGATGCGTTCACCGAACATGCTTCACCCCCGCAAATGTGGTATCCACTTAACCAGCATGACCCCTGTGAATGTTTTAGGCCATGATTTATGAAGGTCAAGATCTTTTCATTGTTTACCACAGTCAAAAATCAATGTTGGACTGTTTTCCTGTAATTAACAGTTAAAGGGAGGTAACTCTGTTTATTATGCTAATTAAGTTTAATAATAGTAACAGATGATGTAAGCTAGTGAGAAAGCATGCAAGAAAGGAAGATGGCGAGGAAGCAGATCTTGGGACCCCAGACGAAGCTGGTTGTTGAGCTAATGTAAGATAATTGTTAAATTTGATCAAAAATGCATTAAACTACTGGCAAAAAATATCTACCTTCAAATGTCTCTGATATAGAAGGGGGTACCACTTGAATATGTGGAGGGGGAGGTAATCTTCTAGACCTTGGTGCATTCTCTTTCTCTAAATCATTATCACTATCTGATGGTGTGTATGCTGGCTTCTTTTTCTTCTTCTTCTTGACCAATTTCCTCGGTTGATTATCTTCCGAGAAGGAATCGTCATCATGAATTGGAGCAAATCTATTACTGATATTACTCGTATTCCTGGAAACGTGGCTTTGATTAGTTTCTCTTTCTGATACTTCTATTTTAGAAACAGATCTTAAGGTTTCCATGGCAACTGATTCAGTAAACTGGTTGGGATCTATATGTGTCTCATCAAGGACATGTTTTGTTTTTTTCTTTTTCTTGCGCTTCACTGAATCATCCAGGAATTTGGTGCCAAGCGGCTGCTGTAATGGTGGTAATAACGGATTAGAAACAGAACGAGGAGATGTGTCGTTTGCTGTATTGGGTAATCGCGATGAACCTAGAGTAGGAGGTAATCCACCCTGTGATCTCACACTTCTGGGGGTTTTAAACATTTCTATATCTTCTTTAACATGAGATTTCACATCTTTTTCCTCTTCTTCAAAATTCTGAAGTAATTCTTTCTTTCTTCTTTTCTGTTCTTTTAACTTTTCATCCTGTAAAATAAACATAAAAAGGATACAATCCAATACATAGGACAAGAGAGAGGGAAATAGGGTTTAATGTTCACTTGACACAAACCACGTCATTTCGTAACTAACACATGGTTTAATTTTATTTCAAGAATTCACTTGCGCGTAGGGATCTTTTTGCAGTGGGAGGAAACCGGAGGACCCAGAGAAACCCATGAGGTTGGGCAGGCAACCCTACTCCTTGTCACGTACAACCGGGGATTTGAAACCATGCCAGTTGACTCAATGACAGACCTTATGATACAGCGCGCAAATTCTATCCATTCGGTCATCCAACCCCCCTTCAATACATAGAAGAACAAATCTGATCAAAATATAGATCTATATCTCGTTTCGTTTTTTTATTCTTTCAATGATCTACACATGAAGATCTGACCAGTTGTAGTGGGAGGTCACGTCAGGGGTCATACAAGCATCTTTTGACCTTATGACGTCAGACATTTGATTAACCAATCAGCGTTGATGTTTCTAGTAGGATACCCCACAGTTCCGTGCATCACACGCCAAAAACTCGCTGCAACAGTGGCTAATCCCTAACAGCAGCCAGAACACAGGTTATATAACAACTTTTCCAGATTCTAGATACAAATGCGCACGCGCTAACCATTCGGCCATACAACTACCCGATCCTACATATACCTAAAAAGCTTCATAAAGAATAAAAAGTTAACTTACCCTCTTTTGTACTTCATTTACATTTAATTTCTTAAACGGATCGCCATTGACTACATCATCTTCATCACCAACTTTATCCTCAATACCCAATCTCTTTTTTTCTTCTTCTTCCCTCTTTTCTCTACAATAATATAATGAATGAATGAATGAACGAAAGAATGAATGAAATAGAGTTTTATGGCATGTCAACTCCAATTAAAAAACAAATATATCAAATCCTTTACATATAAAAACATTTAAAAAGTACTATATGACAAAATATATACAATTAAAATTTTAGATAAAAGTTTGTCCGTTTTAAAAAGTCAAGTAATTTAGAATAAAGACCCAGTTGGGCAAACAATTGATGTAAAGACTGGCAACGATAATGATTTAATCTAATGTCTTTCAGAATTGTAATTACCTTTCTGCTCTTTGCTTCTCTACTCTTTCTTTTCTTTCTTGTTTTTCTTTTAGTTTAGCAATTTTATTTGCCTCCATATCCTGATCAATTCTACTTTTCAACTTATCAAACTCTTTTTCAACAACGGACATCAACCATATCATACCATTTTTAATATTTTTATCCATTTTCTTTCCTGAACCACGAATTGCTGAACATGTTTCCTAAAATGTTTGAATCAATGTATTTATGACAGTTCAATTCATACTAGCATAGAATATTGGGAACATTCTAAACATACATTACGTAAGAGCTAAATCTACCTATTGCAAATCTTTCTTTAGGCCTGAAATGTTATATAAATTATTAATTAGACATTAATTAGCTTATATAATTATCCAGACCATAATCGACTCTCGATGTCATCGCTATCCTGTGATATTTGGTGGATTTGAATTCATTCGGTGATGATTTAACGTCAAAATAAATAATCGAGACTTTGTTTTTTATTGTATCGACTTTAGTAATGATGATCAAGACTAGGTCTAACATTCAATGGCTAATATCTCAGTTCAGAGTGGAGCAATTGGACTGAAATTTTCAGCATATTCTGTTTATTTTCAGTAAAATCTCTATGTAATCTTATTTTTTTAACATTATTTACTAGAAAAATGCAGGAATCACGAAAATCATAACAAGAATTGTAAAAGTTTGGAATATTTTTAAAACAATCGTACCATTCTACAAGGACATCTATTAGCATTAACGATATTCTCGAGATCTAGTTGTTCACATATATCAACTTCACTTAAAGCATTTTCTTGATCCTGTTTATTAGCTAATCTGAAAACAGGTAATAAATCAAATTTACTAATGAAATACAATTCATCATACAAGACTAACAAGTTTATACAGGTCCATATAATTGGCATGTAATCAACAACACTGTATATATTATAATATTTTCTTCCTATATTTGACAAATGAACAGTTTCCAATGTCAGTATATTTATTCTAACAGAATGCATAGGTATCATTTAATCTTGTGTATCTAACACTAATTTCTTTCACATTTGTTTGATATCAAATCTTTGTTTAAAAATTTGCAAAAATCATTTAAAATCATCTAATTTGTATTTGTGTCCAGTTTAAAGCTGACCATTCAATTTTGATAATGAGTGTTCAATTTGATATTGAATGAATGTGAAAGAATTTAGTGTTAAATACACAAGATTAAATGATACCTGGGTTACAGTGATGATGAGAGAGAGAGAAATGGGGTTTAACGTCCACTCGACACAAACTAGGCCATTTCAGGACTAACACATGGTTAAATTTTATTTCAATAATTCGCTTGCGCGTAGGGGTCTTTAGCAGTGGGAGGAAACCGGAGGACCCGGAGAAAACCCACGAGGTTGGACAGGCGACCCTACTCCTTGTCACGTACAACCGGGGAATCGAAACCCCGCCAATTGACTCAATGACAGACCGTATGATACAGCGCAGCGCGCACGTGTTAACCATTCGACCATCCAAACCCCCTTACAGTGATGATAGATCCACCATTATTTTGATTAATTTTATAAAATAATGTGTAACAGTTATTTGTTAGTAAGTTTTCTCATCCGATCACAATGTGTCAGAGAGAAAAATGGGGTTTAACGTCCACTCGACACAAACTAGGTCATTTCAGGACTAACATATGATTCTATTTTATTTCAATAATTCGCTTGCGCGTAGGGGTCTTTAGCAGTGGGAGAAACTGGAGAAACCAGAGAAAACCCATGAGGTTCGATAGGTACGTACAACATGAGGTTCGATAGGTACGTACAACATGAGGTTCGATAGGTACGTACAACATGAGGTTCGATAGGTACGTACAACATGAGGTTCGATAGGTACGTACAACCGAGGAATCGAAACCACACCAGTTGACAGACCTTATGATACAACATGCACGCACTAACTATTTGGCCATCCAATCCCCCTGATCACAATGTGACTTACACTAAAAGAGGTTTGCCAGCTATATGTGGGTTCTGTAGAAGGTTTTTTAAAGTTTCCTGTGTTTCTTCTATTCTATTACATGCTGTAGAATCAATCACATATATCAGTCCATAAATTTCATGTAAATAACTCTTCCATATTCCTCGGATCTTCTTACCACCGCCCAGATCATACAGGGTCACATCAAATTTGTCAAAACTAAACGTTTCGGGAGAGAAGCCAACTGTTGGAGCAATATCTGGATCAATTGGTTCTAAAAATTAAAAGAGAGCTTGTCTAAATTACAATATTACAACTCAGAATATGCTTAATCCTAAATAATAACATACTCCTCCAAGCGTTTCGTTTGATTAGAGCTAATCCCACTTAACACTGCTGTAATGGAACCAAATTTCTGTTCCAAATTATGACTGGTCAATAGTCCAATTAACAACCAATAGCTAACTGCGTAACAATATCATTACGCTTTAAACAAGAGCTCCAAATTGGACCAAATATGTTTACATAACATTACATCATGACTGACGATTTTATTATTCCCAATTAACCAGTGCATAGCAGAATATTGCAGAAAAACTGATTGCGTGACAAACGAGGCTATCAAAACGGATACAATGTAAACATTACTATTTGGAGACGAACAATACTTTGACCATTTTTAATACCTTAAATCACTATCCAAAATTTTAGGGAAGACCCCAGATTAAACGAAAGGCTGTCATGTTGCTGTATTTGGGATAGATTTGATTGAACGGGAAGAATAGACACACTCCCTCAAAAGCTCAAGTATCAGAAGCCAATCCAGTAATGGCCAGAAAGGGATTTCTCGGGACATTGTTTCAGGAATATGAAAAAATAATAACAACAAGGAGTCTTATAATGTACTAAAATCCACATCACAATAGGGAAATGATCTAAGCGCTAAAGGAGAGTAATGGATTATTTCAATAGAGGCTCCTGTTCACATTTTTATATTTTTATAAAGTTATATGTTTGTAAAATCTAACCATAGCTGGATATTTGGAGCACTAAGTATTTGTCAGAGGCTGTTTGAATTTGGGCACCTTTCAAAGGATACATACTACCAAACACCAATGGAGTGAGATGTTTTTCTGAAGGCACCAAAGATGCAGAAGGAATTGTGAAACCTGACTGGAAAATCCTGACTAACCTTCTCTGCCAACACCGGGATCGGCCCTATTGATCAAGCACCTTACTCACTGAGCCACCATGACCCCCCATGAGTTTTAATTAATAATCCAAGTAATTCTATACTAAGCTGGTTTAGACCAAAATAGGTCACACAGTGTAAGTTTAATACATGTACATGCATATTCATAAGGAGCTAAAACTGTGGGACACTTTATCCAATCTATATTGACCTAAAAACTACACAGTACACCTGTAAGCTTGTTATCCCATTCAAGGGCACAAAATTGTGATAAACCCACTCCCAGTCTTAAGATTAAGCTATCAACATGTGGTTTGCAAAACCATTAATCTACTAACCATTTTGACAAATCTATCCCTTCTTCAAGTTAGGAAAATAAATCATCTATGCTTCTTTAATATATTCCAGGGTTTCCCCCATTTGATTGACAATAACCTTAGCTTGTTTGCTTACAAGTTGCATACCTTATTTTGTTCTGGACAAATTGTTTCAAAAGTGTCAGAAATAGACTTTAATCAGTAAATTAAGAATTGACATGCCATTGCCATAAAAGTGGCATACATGTATTTCTCCATGACCATTCTCCAATACCCTATTTGACATTGTTTTAAAACAAATACATGGAATTGTGCCACACACCATACAGATTATTATTGCAGCCTTAATGACCCGGGGCCTGTTTCACAAAATTTTAACTAAGATAAAATCCAAATTTTAGTAATTTGATTGGATAATATTAGGTTGATTTTAGTGCTTATCCAATCAAAATTGAAATATCTACTAAAATTTGGATTTTATCTTTAGTTAAGATTTCGAGAAACAGGGCCCAGGTTTGCACTTACAAAGAAAAAAAATCAATTATTCATACCTCCACTAAATGCTATCGTAGTTGTTGTTTTTCCGGCATTGTCCAATCCCAAAATGGCAAAAGTTACAGACCTGTAAACAAAAACAATTTACGTAGTGTTAAACACTGGGGATCAAGGTGGCTAAGTGGGTAAGACACTGGCTCGCTAGCCTCGAGGTCAGTTGTTCGACCCCTGCACTGGCCGAGAAAGTTCATCCAGATTTTCCGGCGTGGTTCTCCCTTGTCTTTGATGCAGGACGGAGGGCTTGACAAGGACAGTTGTCTAGTCGTTCGGATTGGATGAAAAACCAAGTTCCCGTGTAAACATTGCCGTGCATGTAAAAGATCCCTTGACAGTTGGAATTCGATATAAAAGTGGGCCGTAGTGCCGCTGTCCTGGCAAAATTTCCCTCATAGCACACTGTATGGCGTATGCCCATCATCATTAGCCCAGGTTAGGAGCAGAACAGTAGGACGTTAAACCCCATTTAATTTCACTATTAACCACAGGTCATGTCTCTAGGTCATTCACAGGCCCCTTTGAGATGGAGAAAAGAGCGTTCTGTTGTAGTTGACTATTGACACGATTAGTCCCCATTTCTTGTCATTTTTTCAAACCATCCAAATTTGTCAAGATTTGTCATGCTCTACTGAAGATATGAATGGGATAATATAGTCAAAACAAGCCAGAACCACATATAATCTCTGTTAAAATCTTTTAATGGGCCTCTTTAAACTCTGATTGAATACAAGCTGAGAGATTATCTACCATTGATAATTTGATTTTGTTTTCTTATTTAAAAATGTTAAATAATCAATGTGTTGATTACATTTTAGCATGGATTAAGTACTAGTGAATAATTACATACTATCTGAAAATGCAAATGAAGATTCAGGGTGTGTTTTGGTGAAAAGTAGGCCTACTTATAGTACAGTTCTTTCATTTTGGTAACATATAAAAGTGTTGATTTCAAAGATTTAGCAGCCGCTATTATTAAGCGGATATATATCCCCTGTAAATCAGTGAAAAATTCAGCAATGTTTTTTTGATATAGAGCTTTTTTCATAAAATAGGAATAAACCCTGGATTTTCTTCACAAAAAGAGATAAATATCATCAAATACAACAAAGCTACTTAAGTACATGTGGATACATTAATTTGTCCTGTAAAACTATTAGTATCAATGTGGGTACTTATAATAACTAAAGGTAGGCACAGCAATATATGACTGAAGATTGAAGATTCTAATTTTTTCAAAGATTCTAATTTTATTCCCCTAGTTCCCTAAATTTTGTTTCGTCTTTGTATTGCCAACGTTTTGAAATTGTATATTGGTCTATTTTTAGATTGTAAAGGTGAGGCCCAAACTATTTAGCAGGCGGTGCCCCCCCGGTACCTGTTGTGTCACATGTACTGGCTGTAGAGAGGTACCGGGTACATGTATTGTAAGCAAGGTCTTATATTCTCACTGAAATATTCCCTTACACTGTGTAGCTCGCATTCACAGGGACTGAAACTTGACCGTATACTGGGGTGCCCCCCCGGTACCTGTTGTGTCACATGTACTGGCTGTAGAGAGGTACCGGGTACATGTATTGTAAGCAAGGTCTTATATTCTCACTGAAATATTCCCTTACACTGTGTAGCTCGCATTCACAGGGACTGAAACTTGACCGTATACTGGGGAGAAGAAAGTTTTGACAAAGAACCAATTATAGAGGTCGAGTGTGTGTAATAGCCTAAAATAACTAAATCAAACTATTTGTTTTCCTCCTTCGCTTCAATTGCAATACAATAGGTAAGCTTGTAACTGGTACATGTAGGCCTACTTAGTTGAAAGAACAAACTAACATAATTACCTTTTAGGCTCTTGCCTTTTTTTGATGCAAGATATACAATTCCCCATCAAGCTAAACATCTGATTGGCTAATTAAAAATACAACCATAAACCTAGTGAAGAAACATTAATAAGACTATCCATATTCACATTGAAAACTTTGTCATAATACATCGATGATTGATAAGTCTCAATGCTCATAAATGTCTTTCATTGGTTTCAGTTCTTTGTTAAAAATCTTTCTAACAAAATAAAACTGTTAGTAGAACTGAATCTTGCCCATTGGCAACACTATAAATCCAAAATCTTTGATGATGATGATGATCCAATAATGTCGAACTAATAGTATACTAAAAATACGTGGACGATAGGCCTGGGTTACCGGTTAGTCGAATGTAATCACACCACACCATATCTGACCATCATGATGGCAGTCTACAATTTTAGAGTAAGCTTATTTGAGTCTTGACCATACAAAATTTAAGTTTAGACAGATTAGGGTTTAGTCTTTCTAAATAAACTACACAAATGTTCCAAAAACTCAACAATCTAAAGTTAAACAGAAAACACACGGGTAGACTACGAAAAAAAAACACTAAAAAATTGACGAAATAATGTCATGAGCACTACTGCCAGCAGATTGGCATCTGAATTTCTTCTTATTTGTATAAATGTTCAAAATAATATTAGATGTAACTGACGTCAAAAAGCTGCTGATTGTAGTGAACACACAAACAATTCATAATCGCTAATTAGGCGATTTATAATTAATGTGACAGTCTTAAATTAAAATCAATCAACTTTGGCATCCATCTTGGCAACGGTATTTGCTATACGGAAGTGAGTCGTTAGGTTGTCGTAAAAAGCCACAAATGTCGTAAATAAAGGGCAGATCCAGTCGAGAAGTCGTGGGTAGCAAGAATCTTCTGGTTCTAAAAAGGAAGGAGCCAGTTTTTCAAAATTCGGATCTGATATAACTACATGCATTACCTAAGAAAAGAAAAAAACAATCTATACTTATTCTTTCAAGGACAGTTGATACCACTCATAATATAGAGGGAAATGGGGATTAACGTCCAATCAACACAAACTAGGTCATTTTGAAATTTTGGGGCTAACAACCTATGGTACAATCTTATTTCAATAAATTACTTGTGCGTAGGGGTCTTTAGCAGTGGGGGGGTTCTGGGGAAAACCCACAAGAATATCAGGCAAAACTACTCCCCGTAACACCACACAATTCAATGACAGACCTTATAATCTAAAGCAAAGCAGACACGTTAGACCATTCGATCAATATTGAACATTGCCTTTTATTGTAAAAGACAATGACGGGAATTTGCATAACAAAAAATGACAATGCATGAACATAATAATGCACACTAGTTCAGCTCTGAACTAAACAGGGTGAGTGTAATGAGACCTACGTTCAGAGCTGAACTAACGCAACACTAAATTCAGTTACCATGCATATTGCAAAAGACCTTAGATATGACTATCTTGGGCCAAATAGATTAGCCCAGTGCCAGTGGTTGGTAGTATGGGTGTTCTGGATACAGGGCCATTTGCAACAGGGATGGTGTTTTGTAGTGGGTTCATGTTATTGGGTATTAGTGTTCCATTAGTTTTTTTCTGTACTGTATTTATGTCATTTTTTTTTTTTAATGTTTTGTTAAACAGTTGAGAACACGAACATTGAGTGTCTTCGGTTTAATTTGCTTTTTAATTCAATTACTGTGATTATATAGCGCTTGTTCTGCTGAGAAGTTAGGCAACATTGACACACAAGCCTTTAAAACAGATGCTATTGCTGTTTTACCATTTGTTTGAAGCTGGTTCTTGTGATGCATTTTTCTAAGCCAGGTATATTCAAATGGCAGAGTTTAGGAAAATTGAATACCATACATGTACATAGCTCCGAGATTATTTTACTTAATGAACCACATTTTCATATCACAAATGATACAATTATCTTTGAAAGAATATAATCATCTTTAAGACTTTAACAGATTAATAGCCAAAATTAAATACAATTTAGTTCTAAAATAGAATCTGAACGCAGTTTTTTTATACATTATTTCCAGCACTAGGGTAATAGGATCCTGCACTAGTGTAATATAAATTCAATATCTTTCTTCACAGCGTTCATGTAATCAGATTCAATGTGATTCTATTAAACACAAAGCCTACCAAATCGAAGATCCCCAACACACTAGAACCGAATGAAATTTTAAAAAAAAACAAAACAGTGAAGCATCAAGTAAAATTTATTTCATAATCTTGACAGAATAGTAAATTTAAAAAAAACATTTATAACAAAAAACTTTCATTTATTGAACATCAAAATTATTAAAATGATTTCAGAGTCATAGTCCTAAGTAATGTAAGTAATATTGTCATATTCTATATTATTTTTTCAATACAAACAATTGTCATATTCATACAAGAAAAATAAAAATACCTGTCAGTAACATGCATTTAAAAATGAGATAACCAAAAACCATTACCTGACACAGAAGAGCACTGATAACAAAGCAAATGAAATAAACAAAAGATATAAATAAAATAGATCCAATATTGTGGATTCTATACATTAAATGTATTTATGGAATTCTAGAATATATTTTAATGAATTATTTTTTACATCATTTGCTTTCATTGTTAGAAGAAATTATTAGATTGATTTGTGATAGTGAAAATAGTGCAAATAAACACTTGATGGTGTCAAAAGTTGGTGAGAGACAATGAGTTATCTTCCTTGACATCTCTAACTATGGTACAATTTTTAAAAAAAGATAATTGAATATTGGTCCTATCTTTATACAAAATTACACCATTGAGCAGTAGTTAGAAGGCTTTTAGACCACAAAAGACGTCAGATATCAGACTAAATTTTCACAACACTAGAATTTTCTTTTTAATTGCTCAAAAACAAAAATAACATCTTAATTCAATAAAAAGATGCAACATAAATCGACTAGTATCAAAAACAAGAATTTACATTTCAATTATTCTACATTTATTTAACATCTGAGATAAAACGCTGGAACAAACATCCTTCACCTTAAAGAGCATTTTTCTTAATCTACTTATATTCTCAAGACTGAAACTATGCATCCTCTACATTTAACTATTTAAATTACATCCTTTATTTCTTGCCTTAAACGAATACACAAACACTAAAAAACTGCGACTCTAATGCCAAACTGACCATTACAGCCCTTTGTTTATTATGTTTTGGATAAAACAATTTCTCACTTCTTTTTTCGTTTGTATTCCGTATTTCACATTTTATCGGACACAATTTTATTTAACATCTGACAGAAAACACAGCTCAGTCACACCAAGATATCGTCCACTGATCTTTATATAAACTCAATGAAATCTGGTGCATAACACAGCCGTCGTCAAACGTCCAAAGTTTTGAAATTTGTTGTTAGATCTTATGTAGGGATGAAAATCAGAACCATAAAGACAACAAAATGAAGATCTAAGTTTAAAAAATTGAGTTACAAAAGTAGAGGATACAATTTCATTCTAACATATTTAAATAACAAATACAAAACAAAGTTACACATCTAATATTTGTAGTTTTAAACATTTATAAGAAGTAAAATTATAATTCAGGAGATTTTTGCTTTCTAAAATATTTTTGGGATTCTTTGGGATCTGGAATTATCTAAAAAGAAAAATAATAATAATGAAGTTACACAGTATCATAAAAAAAAATCAAGCACATAAGTAAATTTAGTTTTCATTGATATCGTTGCTATACATTAATTCTCTTGGTCGTCTTTAACCTACTTTTAAAATAAACTAGGTTCGCAAAAAAACAATTCAAGAGACTGCCTATATCCACATGTTAAAATATAAACTAAATGCAATATATTACAGAGATGTGCAGTATACCATATATGCCCTTCCCCCTCCCCCCACCCCCCATGTCTAAAAATTCTGGGATCTACCCCTGATCTGGATACTTACAGTGTCTGCACCAGGCTTCCACCCAGCTGGACAAACTTCACCATGTTTATCAGTATATTGGAAAGCTTGTACTAATCGTAATGTTTCATCAACAGATCTTCCAACAGGTAAATCATTCATAGTAATCTGTCGCAGAATACCTTTAGGATCAATGATGAATAAACCTCTGGAATTATAATAAAAATACTTTAGCTGAATTACATAAATAACATTAAATGTTAATTTAAATTTTTACAACATTGTTTTGTTTGTTCCAAACAATTAATTCAGTTTCTCTGACTAATGCATCCAGGTTCATTAAAACTATTGATAAAAATAAATGATTTGGATACAAGGATTTAATTTAAAGAAATAATGGGTTAACCTCAAGATATTAATTGATAACTGCTCATTAAAGAATAATATTGAGCTAAATCGTTGACATGTAAATATGTAAAATAATTGCAAAATTATCAATGCAAAAGCCGGAAGTGACAAAAATATAACTGAAAGTTACATAGTCAATTTTTGGCAAGCAATTTTTGTATTGATAATAATGCAGTGATTTTCCTGGTATTAAATATACATAAAATGTCATGTGTTATAGATAATTAGAAAAGAAAAATCTTGACAATAGTAATTTTTATCATTTTGAAATCCTCACATATTTTTTTCTTACATGATGTATAGCTTTAACACAGAGAGAGAGAAATGGGGTTTAACATCCACTCGACACAGACTAGGTCATTTCGGGACTAACATATGGTTTAATTTTTATTTCAATAATTTGCTTGCGCGTAGGGGTCTTTAGCAGTGGGAGGAAACTGGAGGACCCGGTGAAAACCCACGAGGTTGGACAGACACCTCTAACGCAATACTATCCACAATATTCAACATTCAAAGCATGAATTAGAATTCAATATTGCTTCAGTTGATCTTGTTATCAGGAAAATAATGATATGGCTCCATAGAATAGGTCTACTAAATAAAAACATTGATTACTTACTGTCTTTATCAATTATTGAGAAATCTTTGTAAATAAAATTAATGTATAAAGCATAAAGTAAACTATTTTTAAATCTAAATAGAGGGTTTGGGGTTATTTCTGGCAGCTACAATAATCAGCATTATTTGTGACATATTCATAAAATATTGAGTCTTTAAAATATCAATTTTAAAGGTTATCAAATGTAAATTCAACGCAAATCATGTGACAGGACTGCTGATTGATGTCGTAATTCGGAATATTCAGAATACGGATTACTCACAGCTTTTTTGGTTGAAGTAATAATGAAATAAATCGAGTCACGAAAATAATAACGGATTTCCACAGAATGCGGTAGTATTCAGATGTCGGAAGGGATATGAGTCCACTGTATTTAAATTCGATCTAAATATGGGGTTTGGAGTTATTTCTGGCAGCTACGTGATCAGTATAATTTGTTACAACTATGAACGACATATTCACACAATATCGAGTCTTTAAAATTCAATTTTAAAGGTTTTTAAACTAATAAAATAGAAATAAGGGCTTCACTTAGCAGATTTGTAATTTAGGAGAAAATAAAAGGGTTAATTAAAGTAAATAATTTTTATGTTTTTATTATTTTTTTGAGAAAGAAATATTTGTCTATATTTATAATTTTACTATATATTATAGAAGTTGAATTCAAAATAGAACAAAAGAACAAGCAATTTTGACAAAAAGTAATTTAATCTCTGAAGCAAAAAGCTTGCTGCAGTACCAATAAAAAAAAATACATTTGAATATAACGTTTCAGTTCTTTATTTTGTCCTAAATCAAAGCAATCTTGCTCTTATTACATTAGTACAGGGTGTGCACAACTTGGAACACTTAAAATTCCAGGAGTTTTCCATGAGTTATTTACCAGATTCCAGGAGTCTCAGTATAGAATTCTACATCATAATATATCTTTTTTATGCTTGAAGAACATTTAAGGCAACAAACTCGTAAACTTTTGAAGAAATATTCGATGACTACATTCAATTTTATACCTTAAAATATATAGCGACACCACGAATGTTAATTTTCCTCGAGTTTCAAGGAGTAATCTTGCTTTTCCAGGATTTTTCAGTACTGGAAATCACAGGAGTTTCAAGGAGTGTGTGAACCTTGTAGTAAATAAGATTTCATATCAAAAATAATAAAGCAATGTTTCACCTTAGAGTATGTCCTAAATCTTGTAAATATACACCATAGGCTTTTGATATATCATGGGTTATGTCCGAGAGAAGAGGGATTTTCAATGGTCCTAGACCACCTTTATTACGAGGTGTGTTGATCCTGAAATATTCAAATTCAATTAACAACCAATTGAAGAAAATTTCTAAGAAAATACATTTGAGTACCATCTCATATAAGCTGTTATTGAAAGACTTCTACAAATTCTACAATTCTTAATACCTTTCTACAGCTAGTTCCCCATATAATAAATGAATAACAGTTTCAAATACCGGTAACCTACAAAATTGATAATACACAGCAAAATCTATCTTTTTTTTTCTGACTGCACATTGGGTATAATAAATTTAAACTTACATATATACCTAAATCTACACTCATAATAGGAGTTCTACAGGTATTGAATATTTGTTAATTGAACATAATTAATCCTTTCCTATTCTATTACTTTCGGTGTTAATCTCTCTTTAATTACACATTTTATTCCCCCCCCCCCCAAAAAAAAAAATCAAAACAAAAAAACCCAAACAAATTGCTAAAAGTAATGGATATATGTATATTCAGCTGACCTTGACTTAAAGCACCTGTCACAGGCTTTGTCAGACACAAATCATCTAATAATTTGTGCCTGGTAATGTCTATGACAGGGGTCATATGTCTAGGCTTGTATATATACGTTGAGCAATAATTTGTGCCTGATAATTGTCTGTGACAGAGGTCATATGTCTAGGCGTGTATATATATATTGTGCAATAATTTGTACTGGACAAAGTCTGTGACAAGTACCTTACCACACTGATCAGCAGTGAATTTTCGCTAGGCTTCTACAATCACTGATAAGGATGACTTCGATGCGACTTAATGAGCCATAAATATTAACTTTTTTTCCTCTGACAAATTAAATTCTAAAACATTTTTTTTTGATGTATTAGAAAAATAAATAAAGACGTTTGATGTATTTGTAGGTAAAAATTATGGGTATTAAAATGAGAAAAAGACTCCATTCTGCCCGAACTAGAACGTCTTATGTAAACAATGCACGCGCTATTGAGCCAATGACTGTGCCGCGGGATGAACCGTCAAGTGTTGAAGGTAGTCAACTTTTGCAGAGATATTAGAAGACTTTCTTAATCCACTGTGAAACAGATTGGTACCTTACATGTTTGTCCTGGGTTGATTTTCAGGAGGCAAATGATTGTGGTTACCTGTTAGGTGTACTATAAACTTACCAGGCTAAATGATTGTGGTTACTGGTTAGGTGTACTATAAACTTACCAGGCTAAATGTTTGTGGTTACTGGTTAGGTGTACTATAAACTTACCAGGCTAAATGATTGTGGTTACTGGTATATATGTACTATAAACTTACCAGGCTAAATGTTTGTGGTTACTGGTTAGGTGTACGATAAACTTACCAGGCTAAATGATTGTGGTTACTGGTATATATGTACTATAAACTTACCAGGCTAAATGTTTGTGGTTACTGGTTAGGTGTACGATAAACTTACCAGGCTAAATGATTGTGGTTACTGGTATATATGTACTATAAACTTACCAGGCTAAATGTTTGAGGTTACTGGTTAGGTGTACGATAAACTTACCAGGCTAAATGATTGTGGTTACTGGTATATATGTACTATAAACTTACCATGCTAAATAAGGCTGTGCAAAAATATCGATATAATCGATAATCGGTAGAAGTTATTTAGCGATACGATAATCGATATTGAAATTCAAATATCGATTATCGGTATATTTACCTTCTGACGGCAAGTTACGGTCACTTTCACATGACTGAACTTGCCGTAGTCTGGCATTAGCAGACGAATGAATGAATACACAACGTCAACACAACAACTATTTTCCCCCTCTGCTTACAAACTGGCACATTTTAAATATATATTATTGTAAAAAAAACTAAACTTTAAGATTAAATACATTATTTTAATATTTTCGTTCTTTTTGTTATTATTACTAGTTGAACCTAAAATAGGTCACGCACTTTGTGAACAATGACAGTCGCACGTAATATATAGTAAAATTAGAATTATCTCCCTTCTTTGTTCTTGATTGATTTGTAGGGAAATCGTCTGCTTTCACAATAAGACTAATTGTATTATTAATGATCAACTCCGCTTTTATTACTACATCATGTCAGATACAGCCCATACAAAACACGTTTTTGACTTCCAGGGAAAATATCTATATCTCTCGTAATTTCGTGGAAGAATTCTACTTTGGTTTTCATCTAAATTAACCAATCATAAAAATTCTACTTTGAAAGCCCGTAATTATTTTTTTTATTGTCCAATCAATAGACGCCTTCTATTTTATTTTATTCTATTAGTAGTAACACTGTGTGATCGCCAGTCACTTGCAAAGAGCAAAGAAAAACCATGTATTGTTTTTGTATTTATCGGAGATATTGGAATAAAAAAAGGTTCAAATGAATCAAGAACAAAACTTAGAATAATACTCAAGTTAGTCCTACATTTAGCAACTACATGTAATTATTTTACATTAATTGATTTTTCTACGTACCGTACATCGGCACAGTATTAGACTAGGATAATAACACTACTGTAACTCGATCAACACAAATAACAGGTCGGTAAAGTTCAGATTTTTCCAGAAAAATGATAATCGATTATTATCGATAATCGCTGTCAAATTCTTGCCGATAATCGATATTGAAATTTCATATCGATTCCCAGCCTTAATGCTAAATGATTGTGGTTACTGGTATAGGTGTACTATAAACTTACCAGGCTAAATGTTTGTGGTTACTGGTTGGTTGTACTATAAACTTACCAGGCTAAATGTGTAAACTGAGAATCAACAGAACATGCAATCACTTCTGTTTTTATTTTTTTGAATTCTTCAATTCTGTCACTGAATGCTAATATTTCTGTTGGACAAACAAATGTACTGGAAAAGAAATTTGATAATAAAATTGATAACACATTCCTGAAGAGTTCTGTAATAACATAATGAATGCAAGGTATCAAAATAAAAAGATATCAGTTCTTAAAATTTTCATTAAAAGGTGAATCTATGGGGTTTTTTTACCATATAAATTTTAATTCCATATAAAGTTAGTCGGTTCAGATTGAATTAAATCTAATACAAATTAATGGGAGAACCATATTCATTATCTTACTTACAAATCCAGTGGATAAAAAAAGAAAACTAAATATTTTCCTCTAAAGTCTTCTAATCTAATATCCTTGAACTCCCCATTAACAACAGCTGTTCCATTCCAATCTGGAGCTTGCTTTGAAACTGACAATAAGAAAAAAAACCAATAAGGGCTAAAATGACTAGATCTGAACTTGATTTGTTTATAAATGAAGCTAAAGTTCACAATATATATAAGTAGCAGCAAATATTTAGACATTTACTGAGTCCAAATATCTACTGTTCCGACTGCCTCCCGGCCAGAAACCATCAAATTACTCCTAAATGCGGATGAGAGAGAGAGAGAGAAATGGGGTTTAACATCCACTCGACACAAACTAGGTCATTTCGGGACTAACATTTGGTTTCTAATTTTATTTCAATAATTCGCTTGGGAGGAAACTGGAGGACCTGGAGAAAACCCACGAGGTTGGACAGGCGACCCTACTCCTTGTCACATACAACCAGGGAATCGAAACCACGCCAGTTGACTCAATGACAGGCCTTATGATACAGCACGCACGTGCTAATCATTCAGCCATCCAACCCCCCTATGCGGGTAAGAAAAGGTATGTCAAATTCACACATTATCTAAACAATAGAACTGTACTATATTATTCATGTATTATATTGTTGCACAATATAAATATCGTACTATTATTACTCAGTCCACCGGACACAAACTAGGTCATTTCAGGACTAACATATGGTTCAATTTTATTTCAATACCAATATTGTGCTTGCACATACATGTAGGGGTGTTTAGCAGCGGGAGAAAACCAGGGGACCCAGAGAAAACCCATGAAGTTGGACAGGCGACCATAGGCACTACCAGGCCCGTAGCCAGCCGGGGTCAGGGGGAGGGGGCAATGCCCCCCTCAAAAAAGAGTTTCCCCCCCTGAAAAAAAATTTGCCGAACATAGCTCTAAAATGCCTACTGTAGACTGTGCCCCCCAGGCTACAGGCCTGGGCACTACTCCTTGTTATGTACAAACGGGGGGTAAAACAACGCCAGCCAGCCCCCCACCCCTAAACATATTGTAATTGAGGATAGCTCTCTGCTCTGGTTATAACAAACTTATTGTTTTGTGTTATTTGACAGATTCTTTCCTTTATAATGGATCGCATCAAACAATAATGTCGAGTTGTCTAATCAAGTAAGGATTTTTAAAGGTACAAGTACGTGTTGTGGGTGGGGTGGGGCCAATATAGGGGTGGATAACTCAGTCTCAAAAAATAAAACCTCATTTTAATTTAATCTCAATATTTAACTTATCGACGTACTGACAACTTGACTCCATTGAATTGTATGCCCTGTAGTTCTCCGTGTTTCTTGGGGATACACGTGCCCGCCACCGTAGGATGTACAGGTGTCATCGGAAGTACTGACAATGACAGTACACAATAAAATGATTTCAGAAACAGCGAGAATTCGAATAAAAATCGCCATCGTTCCACGTTGTAAACAGGCAGGCCGAGCAACCGATGAACGGCTAGATCTATTTCTTAAGGCCAACTCAATTTTCGTCAAGGTCGCCAAGATGGAAATAAGGTTAGGGCACGTGATTGTTGGCGAGATTGTAGGTTAGCGTTAGGGTGAGCGTTAGGGCTAGGCCAAGGGTTAGGGTTAAGGTTGTGATTAGCGCTAGCACTTTTACATTTCGTGACTTTTGACCAAATTTGAAGTTGGCCTTATGAAATAGTTAATCCGATTCTATAATAATTATTTCTGTCTTGACAATCTAGTCTAGAATTCATCGAATGGTCTGGATAATGTTTCTCTATTTACATTTATTGGTGAAACTTGTTCTCGTATCATTCTGTAAGAAAAGCATTTTTCATCTATTTTATATAATATATTTGTTACAATAAAAGAAACGACATAATGGCTTCGTGAAATACCATTTACTTCATTACTAATGTTTTCCATATTATGATTATGAAAAAGAAAACGGAAGATACGAAAACATGTCTGCCGTTTTATCACTAGCCATTTCCTAGGCAGCCAACGTAAACAAGAAGTGAAGTGATGGTGTTGAAAAAAAATGATGATCAATATAAGATAATTGAAATAGATTAAATTTAATGCGATTTGAAATGGAAGGGAGGTAACAGAGCGGTAAGATATTGATTTGTTTTATTTTAATGGGCCTTAATTTATTTGAGGATGGCCTCATTTATTTGTAGTAAACTGAAGTGAAAGAGAAAAGACGAAACTAAGAAGAGTAACTTAATAAGAAGAGTAGGCCTAACAAAGTTACAAACGTCATACTTCACTTGATACATGGGTTTATTGGCTCGCATATCGTCATCGTGAGTTTGGAAGGGGGAGAGGTCTATTTATTTACTCTTGCATTACGACACTACCCAGTCAGGGAAATACGGCAGCAGGGCAGTGTTCTCTCTCTCTCTCCAGTTTAATTTTATGGACATTAATTAACGGTATTATGGTTATATCAGAGTTTCCGATAACCGGTATTTTCCAGTTTTATACCGGTAAATTTTAACATGTACCGGTAAATTATCTTCCCGGCGGTCCATGGGACCGGTAAACAATGATACGGAAAATCATAAACGTCAACAAAGTTAACTGCAAGTTGCAACTTTATCTTTCCATTCATAGCTCACGTCAAAAATCTTGTGCTGACCGTGGGTGTCGAAAAGTGGTGCTATTTATAGTAACTTCGGTATGATGGTTTCTTCCGTCTTGAAGATCGCTGCTCAATGTCTGCATGATCTTCACAAAATGGCGCCAAAGTAGACGAATCTTTCATCCTTTAACGGAGGTGGTGATACATGTATCAAACGCAAAAGAAATATCGTTATATCTTTGGTAGTTCCAGCAGAGAAAAAACTGGTTTACGTCGGCAAAATTTAATATACGTCTCTGCGTAATCGTTTATCTTAGCACCATAGTTTTTGTCTGTCACCTTTTTAGTTTTTATTCATTCGACGATGATATTGATAGACACACGACACAATGATCACGTGACAACCACAATTGAAATTTCTTTAAAATCTTTTTTTTTTTTTGACTATGTCATAGCCTTTAATAATATCGACAACATTTATAAAACAAAGCTTCTGTCAGCATGAAGTATAAAGTAAAAAATCATTAAACAGTATTTAAAACTAAAGCTAACTTCGCCGATTCATTGACCTAATTCCAGTGATGGCGATGTCACGTGTCATCGGTATTCCGAGATTTTATCCGAAAAATATGTTATTAATGACTGTTTCGAAGAATATTCAGTGTTCTATCAGTGGATTATATTCAATGAAGATTTAAATTGAACTAACAACTGGTCTGTGAAACCATCACATCTATGATCCAATTATTATTTTAATATCTACCTGGAATTCATATGGAGCGTCAATCAAAGACGCGCGATTCTCGAGATTCACAATACAATGCTTGACGAGATCCGGCTGGCTTATTTTCACAATGTGTTCAAATTCTCACAGCATGTTTCAATGAAGGGTTTATTTATTTGAATACATTTACAAGAATGATTAGCGGTAAAATTTTATTTTCATCAGACTGGTAAAATTATGAGTGGACCAGTATTTTTGACCTCTACCGGTACGATGTACCGGTAATTTTTTTAAGCTAGCGGAAACACTGTATATGGTATGTCCAATTTATGGTCTAAATTGGGTCCTTATTCTATTATAAACTATTCAAAAAAAGTAGGGGATATTTGATTTTTAAGTGTTATTAAAGTCACCTAATGAAACTGACGAAGAAACAAATGACAAAATGAAATGAAGTTCACATTCATCAATTTATTCCAAATGATCGTTAGACTAAGTAAGACACAGACTGACCATTATAAGGGTAAAATGATACCCGGGGTCAAACAGCAAAGTTACCACAGCATCACAACCAAGTCAGTAACGGGTAAATCCTCCTCTGTTTGCCAAACAAGCATTGATCCGACGTGGCATACTCCTAATGAGACGTCTAAGGTCATTTTGGTCCAGATTGTCCCATTCCTGTTGCAACGCAGCAGCAAGTTCTTGGACATTGGCAGGACGTTGTTGACGTTGACGTAACCTCTGTCCAAGCATGTCCCAGACATGCTCGATGGGGGAGAGGTCGGGACTCAGTGCTGGCCAAGGTAATGTGGTGATGTTCTGTTGTTGGAGGTAACCTGTAACGATCCTGGCCCTGTGACATCTTGCGTTGTCATCCTGGAAGATGAAACGGCGGCCATGACGTCGTGCGAACGGCACAACATGGACTGCCAAGATGTTGTCCCGGTAGTACTGGCCTGTAACACGCCCTGCAACAACATGTAAAGCCGTTCTTCCAGCAAAAGTGATGTTCCCTACACCAACGACGTCTTGTCTTAATGTGATGATCTCTCAAACAAGGGATCACGCGAGGACGTCGGGAGCGAAGGTGACCCCTATGCAGTCGATTCCGAATCGTCTGGCTACTCACTCTCACACCAGTGTCTGTTTGAAGACGAGCGCTGATCTGATTTGCTGTGATGACACGATTTCTCAAGGCCAAGGTACGGATAAATCGATCCTGGGCTTGAGTTGTCGCCCTTGGTCGACCTGAGCGTGGTCTGTCCTGTACAGATTGTGTATCACGGTATCTGGACCATAGCCTGCTTATGACAGACTGAGAAACATTCATCGTCCGCGCCACAACCGCCTGTGTTGTGCCGATCTGTAGCATGCCAAGGGCACGTAACCTTTCATTTTGGGTAAGCCGACGCATATCAAAATTTGTTTTCTGGTCACTAAAACAATTAAACTGATGTTTCCACCCTGGAATTCAATGCCACAATGACTGTAACATTCAAAGTCAGAGTCGTGCAAATCTTGGGTTGGACCCCCATGATGATCCCAAGCATCACCTGCATTCCATGCGGTAGCTATTGGTGCGTTTGGGCGTCACATGTAACTGGAAATGTTTCTTCTGTTAGGTTCTATAGTGACTTTTTTCTTAGTCATTTGCATATTTTAGTATTATGCCCCCAAAATCAAATATCCCCTACTTTTTTTGAATAGTATATGTCCATGGTTTGAGTTCGAACTATACTTGCACAAGAAATGATAACACGATGTGGCTACCATAACTGCGACACTGTCTTCTGTCTCTGGTTCCCTTTGGATCAGTATCTCACAGACGAAGTCCTCTGACAGTTCCTGTTCATTCCTGCTACTGTACTAGCCTAAAATTTAAGTAAGCTGCAATATGAAAATACCATATCTCTGTAGTAAGACAACTTGCTCACCGAGAAAGCTCATCTGGATTTTTCGACATGGTTCCCCTTGTCAGTTGTGCAGGACGAAGAGTCTAGCAAAGGACAACATATAGTCGTTTGGAAGGGGAGAAAAATTGAGGACCTATATGTGCACTTCAATGTGTATGGAGGACCTCGGTTTTTCATGCCATCCTAATGACTAGAAAGCTGAGGAATTGTCAGGCCCCCTGTCCTGCACATCTGACATGAGGAAATCATGCAGAAAATCACGAGGAACTTTCTCGGTCAACACCGCCATGATAGTGAGCCAGCGTATACCACACTGATCCATCGCAGGTCCCATAATCTGTTATGTGGTATTATTGATGTATTATGTGGATTTTTCTATTGTTGGAGAAGAAAAGTCATATTTGTTTTGACAATATTATGTTATTATGTAGTATTATTGATGTGTGAATTTCTATTTTTGGAGAAGAAAGGTCATCTTTGTTTTGACAGTAATAAAGTTTATTTCATTCATCCAAACAAATCAGATCTGTCTCTCTCTTTTTCGTTCTCAGGTTCAGTATGCATTAAAATGTCTTATGATCATTACCTCATATTTTATGAACAATTTCATGCTGAAAGATGTATGTATTGTCTTCTATATATGGGGGGGTTGGATGGCCGAATGGTTAGCACGCGTGCACTGTATCATACGGCCTGTCATTGAGTCAACTGGCGTGGTTTCGAATCCCCGGCTGTACGTGACAAGGAGTAGGGTCGCCTGTCCAACCTTGTGGGTTTTCTCCGGGTCCTCCGGTTTCCTCCCACTGCTAAAGATCCCTACGCGCAAGCGAATTATTAAGTAAACCATATGTTAGTCCCAAAATGACCTAGTTTGTGTCGAGTGGACGTTAAAACCCATTTCTCTCCCTCTCTTCTATATATAGTGTCTAAATAAGATCTGAATGCTTTCTCAGTGATTATGTATAGTAGAATATTTGGACTTCAAAGATAGTCAACATTTTTTTTTTTTAATTCTGGATATATCTGTATCAAATTCTGTGATTTGATTTGTTCATACTTGTGCAAACAAAATATAAATGGCCATTTGTAGCATAGGGGTCAGTATTACATTTTACTGCAAAATGACAACTTAGTCTCAAACAATGAGATAAATTAATAAACATTTATTTTAACTTTTAACTAATTAACACAAACACAGCAGCATGAAGTCAGCGTCAAGTATGGCAGTGGAAAACATTATTTCACTTAGTTCATATTTTCAGTCGTCTCTTGAGAAAATTTGGAATAATCAGTGTGTCAAGTCAATGGTGATTGTCTCACGTACCTAGACCCAAATAGATTATTCAATTTCATCGGTGTCAACCTCGATCACTACACTGCAGTACAGTGATTGAATTTCTTAAACCTTTGACAATATTTGTGAAGTATTGGGCAGTATTATAATTCTTTCTGAACAGTGGAAGGAATTTAAAGTTCCAGATTACTAGATTGCACAGCACGTGCGAGCTGTATCATAAAGTCTGTCATTGAGTCAACTGGCGTGGTTTCGAATCCCCGGTTGTACGTGACAAGGAGTAGGGTCGCCTGTCCAACCTTGTGGGTTTTTCTCCGGGCCCTCCACTTTCCTCTTACTGCTAAAGACCCCTACGCACAAGCGAATTACGGAAATAAAATTGAACCATATGTTAGTCCCGAAATGACCTAGTTTGTGTCGAGTGGACGTTAAACCCCATTTCTCTCTCTCTCTCTCACTAGATAGCACATGCCTAAAGTTAGACATAGTAGACTAAAAACATGAGTAGGCTATTTATACTTTTTGGTTTTAATCTTTTAGATAAAAATGCAGCATTGATTGTTACTTTTTTTAATGCATTATTCAATAACATCCTTCTTGGAAATCGACCATAACTCTGTCTTTACTAAATTTAGAGCAGAATTGCCTTTGGTAGAATTATGTTAATTGTAGTGGTATTCATGGTCTGGATAATATTTCTCTATTTATTTTGATGAAACTTGTTCTTGTATAAGTAAATTGTTTTGCATCTATTAAAATAAAAAACAATCAAACGATAATATTCAAATTATTTTTTACATATTATAAGGAAAATCGAAGATCAATACGAAAACAAGTTTCTTCTCTTATCTGTAGGTAGCTATTTCCATGGTAGCCAATGTAAACAACATTTGCTGATGGTGGTCAGTGTTGAAAGCAGTTATGATCAATAAAACAAATTAGAATTGAAATACCGATAAAAAGGAAGTAACATAGTGCTTAGATATGGATTGCTGTTTTTTTTCAATAGATCTCAGTTTATTTTTTGATGGGTTCATTTATAGTGCTCAAAAAAATTTCAAGTTGTTTTATGCAACAGACTTCTCATAGCCATCAAAAGATCCGAAACATTGAACACTATTAAGTCACAGTTAAAGACATTAATTTTCAAGCAAATATATGACAAGCACTCTTGAGCAGTTTACTGGAAAGAATTGCACTCAACAAATTCATAATTTATTATTATTATAGTAAAAGGAAAAAGTAAAGCGACCTTTAAAAGTTTACACAATACAACCAATCCATACAATCTTCGGATGCATTGGTCGCATCCGACGAGCTCATCAGACAAATGGTCGGATGGACAGCTTGTTGTATTGATTTGATCAGTTCTATTCTTATCCAACCAACTGATGCAATAGCCAATGAAATTGCGTTATATTAGACAACGTCATATGACGTCATATCTGACTTGGCAACCAGAAAAGATGTCGTCTTCTGTCGCTTCAAGTACTTTGATGTCCTCTAAAATGGATCTAAACCTATCCGCGACTGAATTAGCATATCTAGTAATAACTGTGTATAGGAAGCGTGGACTTTGTGGAACCTGCGGCATTAAAAATACACGACGACAGGGATAAGAAGAGTCGCCTTGAGGTCTATTGCTACCATTTTATTCAGTTACTAAGAAGGAACAAATGTTGCCATACAACGAATAAAACTATTGTATGGTCGTCCAATATGTTGCATCTGACATTGGTTATATCGTGTAAACGCGGCTTAAAAGGGCATTCTAATACTAGGCAACTAGTCAAATGACCTTTGCCTTAGTTTAATTATATCGATTTGTCAGGGACATTCTGATTAAGATTATATCTAAACTAGTTTGTGTTTAAACTATACTAGTTGTATCAGACATTACATGACTATAGTACTAGTCTTCAGGCTCTGTGTTTGAGGCTGGATTCCATTGCCCCATACAGAATCAATATTAAATCACATCACAAATCATGTTCGGTAAATATTTATCTAACTATAAAAATGTTACTTTGATCGATTAATTCTTTATCAGATGAAATGGGGTTTAACATCTTACTGTTCTGCTCTGATGGCGGGGTTCCCCCTTGTCAGTGATGCAGGACGGAGGGCCTGACAGGGATAGCTGTCTAGTCATTCGGATGGGACGAAAAACCGAGGTCCCGTGTACATATTGGCGTGCATGTAAAAGATCCCTTGACCGTAGGCTGTAGAACCGCTGCCCGGGCAAAATTTCCCTCATAGCACACTGTATGGCGTATGTCTGTCTTCATTAGCCCAGTTCAGAGCAGAGCAGTAGAACGTTAAACCCCATTTCATTTCATTTGGCTCTGATTATGTATCAAACAGACCATAATAATAAAATGTAAATGAATTTCTTTCTTTATACTTTAAGTAGGATTGAAGTTGTATTTATAGCACAGCTTTCATGAATTAACAGATTTAACCAGAGGCCAAAGGCTGAGGGGTTAAACCTGTTAACGAATAAAGCACGCTATAAATGACTTGTAACATTGAAAACTGCTCAACATGCTTATTGTTATTGCACAGAAAACCCACCCCACTTCTCTATATGATTTCTACTAAAACTAGTGTAAACCAGCAAAAGTGTGCAATAACATTGAACATGTCTAGTTATTGCACGGTTAAGCTCCACTCAATCTACTAGATGGAAAACAATCTGCTTATTCAACGAAAAGAACAAAGGAAGATTTCCCATCCATGTTACAAATAAAATTGTACCATGTGTTCTTCCCCAAATGACCTAGTTTGTGTTGAGTGGGGTTAAATTCCATTTCTCTCTCTCTCTCTCTCTGACAGATGGAATTTGAAATATTTCCCTCATAGCACAGTGTATGGCGTAGGCCCCTCTCTCTCTCCAAGAAACATTTAGAAAAAAATCTTTATATTGTCAACTCTTTTTTTAAGGTCAGAATTCTACAAAAAATGCAATATTGAAATATGTTTATTTTGCACAGGGCACTGGGTCAGGTATTGTGCCTTTTCTTCTCACCACGGCTTTACTATGCCTATGTTGTCTAGGCCTACATACATGTACGACCACAAGTTAATGCTTTGAGCAACCATCAGAACTCGGTCGTCTAGGCCTACATTTATTTACCACCAAAAGTTAATGCTTTAAGCAACCATGAGAACTCGGTCGTCTTTGGGGGTGGGGGTGGATGAATGAATGGTTAGCACGTGCGTGCTGTATCATAAGGTCTGTCATTGAGTCAACTGGCATGGTTTCGATTCCACCGTTGTACGTCACAAGGAGTAGGATTGCCTGTCCATCCTCGTGGGTTTTCTCCAGGTCCTCCGGTTTCCTCCCACTGTTAAAGACCCCTACTTGCAAGCGAATTATTGAAATAAAATTGAACCACATGTTAGTCCCAAAATTACCTAGTTTGTATCGAGTGGACGTTAAACCCCATTTCTCTTTATCTACACACATGTACGCCCACAAGTTAATGCTTTAAGCAACCATGAGAACAAGTTTGTACAAGAAAGAAATTGAAGTAATGTCAGTTTGACAGTTGTTGCTAATGCTGAATATTATTGATTAATTTCTACATCCTCTACTCTTCCTAACCATACACCGTAGTTCAACATAAAAGCAAATTCAACCTGAAATTCAGTATACGATAATAACTGATGACTAGAACTTTATTGATGTATTCTGTCTATGTCAATAATTCCTTTTGAAAAGTAGAAGCGGTTATAGAGAACAATAGGTCACTATGGTAGCCTAATGTGCTTATTATTGGGTATCATTAATGGGTAAATAAAATGTTTTCTTTAAGTTATATTTGTAGTGAATTAATGGACTAATTGTACAGTTAAGATTGTGTGTTTTTAGTCTTGACTATGGCTTGAAGTATGTAATTTATTTGATTTACAGCCCAGTTCATTATTTATACCAGTGTTATGTGAGATAGTGGATCGACTATTGAAATTGGTTATTTATTAATGTTTGTCTACAGTGAATTATTTGTATTGAGTTCCCAGTGTCATCAAAAATTGTCACAAACTTGTTCATCGTAATTATTTACTATCATGGAAGGGATTTGTTAGGGGTAGGTTTCCGCTTATTAATTAACTACTTGTCTGAAATTCGATCCGACGTCATGATTATGGTAGATACAAAGTTAATGAGTTCAATATTCTGAATTTAAAAGAGCTGGGAAGATTCCGTAGAAATATTAATCTTTAGATAGGTGCTATCACTTGTCTTTGGAACATTTTCGATTTGACTATAGTCAAATCACACTATACAGTGCTTTGAAGGTAAGGACAAATTCTAAAATTATTTTATATTAATTACATGTAGGGGCTGAGAAGATAAAGTAGAAATATTAATTTTTAGATAGGTATTGTCACATACAATTGGAACATTTTCAATTTAACAATATATATAGTCAAATCACACCAAAGGTAAGGACAATGTCTAAAATTATTTTATAATTAGGGGTCGATAAGATTCTGTAGAAATATTAATGTTTAATCATTTTAAAGGGCCTCTACCATCGGTAGTTAAAACATTTTCAATTTCACTGAATTCTGTCAAATCACACGATAGGCTACAATAATGATTTTTTTATTAACGATCAAAGCTCTAGTGGCAAGCCTAAGGTCGAAAAGCCAATGTTAAGTAAGTGATAATTATCAGTAATTTATCAACAATTGATCAGATAACGATTCTATTTTTTAACATTCATTAACGATTATATCTTCTATACGTCATTAACTATGAATTATCTATTTCTGCTGGAACATCAACTCTATAGATCCGGCTACAGGAAGAATTATCAAGATTGATCAAATAACTACCCTTCGCCTCATTAAATTCTAGATGTAGTTTCATTTAGATGAGCTTTATAATTTTCTCTTACTTGATAGACTCCAACAGGAGGGATCGGGTTGTTTTGTGTCGCTCTCGCATAGGTAATACTGTTTTTAAATCACATTTTCATCTTAAAGCGAGAGCCTCAAACAGAGTGTGAACACTGTCATGTTCCTTTGACAGTTGAACACATTTTGATTGAGTGCCAGCGTCTGAAAGAATTTAGATTAAATCATTACCCTTGCCACTTTTTACATCAGTTGTTTGCCCAACCGTTCTAATCTAATTACAATCTCGTGTATCTGATGCCATCGAGAGTTGATTATGGTCTTGTTTTGTTAATAAATGTCTAATTGATATTTTATATAACAATTCAGGCCTAAAGAAAGACCTGCAATAGACAGATTTTGCTCTTGCATAATGTATGTTTAATATTAAAAATTGGAAGATTTGGAGAAAGGATAAAACCGGTCAACCGTCACTGTATCCATAGAATTTATTATTATTATATGACATCAAAACACAGATGACAAGCGTACCTGGTAGTCATTTAATCAATACAGATCAATAATCTGACATGTTGTCGTGACTGACTTGTTTGTTTTTGTTTATAATTAGAGTATTTAGTTGTCATTGATGGAGATGTGTGCCAAGAATTTGAAAACATGACAAATCTTTAATAGATTAAAATTATTTGGGATCATCTGTTGTGGATGTAAATTGGTATGATATTAAATGAGTAGTTTGAATGAAATAATATTCTTTGAATGAGTAGTTTGAATGAGATGATATACATTGAATGAATTGATATTATTTGAATGAGATGATATTCTTTGAATAAGTTGATATTCTTCGAATGAGTAGTTTGAATGAGTTGATATACTTTGAATGAGTTCATATTCTTTGAATGAGTTAATATATTTGAATAAGATGATATTCTTTGAATAGAATGATAGTCTTTCAATGAGTTGATATACATTGAATGAGTTGATATTCATTGAATGAGTTAATAGTCTTTGATTGAATGACTTAATGAATGAGTTAATAGTCTTTGAATCAGTCGATATTCTTTGAATGAGATGATATTCTTTCAATGAGTTAATAGTCTTTCAATGAGTTGATATTCATTGAATGAGTTGATATTCTTTGAATGAGATGATATTCTTTGAATGAGTTGATATTCTTTGAATGAAGGATATTTTAAACAGTTAATTGTGGACTAATTGTTTAATGAAATATGTCAGTGATAATAAACAGGTGGACATAATATATAATGTTAGTTTAATTAAATATTAAATTCTTTTTTCCAGAGCAAGAAATAAAGATGACAGCGGTGGCTGGTCAGAAATATCAACCTTCGACTGGTTTTAAACAGAAAGATGAAGAGGAAGATGATTTTGAAAAAGAGTTGGCATCTTTTATAGAAAATGAAGAAAAACAACAAAAAAACAATGTAAGTTTTATTTGAAAATAAGCATGTTGGATCGCCAAGTGTGGTTTAGATCATAAGTGTCATGGATTCGGGGGGTCACGGTGGGTAAGACACTGTCAGTGATGCAGGATGGAGGGCCCAACAAGGACAGCTGTCTAGCTAGTCATTCGGATGGAATGAAAAAACGAGGTCCCACGTACACAAAGGCGTGCACGTAAAAGATCCTTTGACAGTTGGAATTCAATATAAGAGTAGGTCGTAGTGCTGCTGTCTGGGAAATATTTCCCTAATAGCACACTGTATGGCGTATGCCCGTCTTCATTAGCCCAGTTCGGAGCAGAACAGTAAGAAATTAAACCCTATTTCATTTCATTTGTCATGGATTTGATCACATGCTTGTATGTACCAAATTGATATTTTATAATTTTTTTTTTTTTTTTGCTGACCACTAAAATCGTCAGCGTGAACATAATGTTTTAAGATTTTACAAAATACATGAATTTAAAACTTGATTATTCTTGAATTATGACAGGAAAAAGAAACAAGTATAAATAATAATAATGATAAAGAAAAAGGAGAAATCGATAAATTAGAGAAAGAAAGGGAGGATGAATATATATTTACTAGTGATCAACAACGAGCAATGGATGAATTGTTGGCTCAAAGAGAAGAAGATGATTTTATAGGAGGTAAGACAACATCTACATCGATTCCCCAGTTGTATGTGACAAGGAGTAGGATTGCTTCTCCAACCTCGTGGGTTTTTTCTCCAGTTCCCTCCCACTGGTAAAAGATTCCTACGCGCAAGCGAATTATTGAAATAAAATTGAACCATATGTTAGTCCCGAAATGACCTAGTTTGTGTCGAGTGGACGTGAAACCCCATTTCTCTCTCTCTCTCTCTCTCAAATAATACTCTGTCCCAATTTGTAATCTATTTTTTTTTGTTTTGCCATTTCAGAGGAAGATCCACCAGAATATAATGTAAAAGAAAGACTTCTTCAGTTAAATGCTGAATTAGCTAAAGATCCAACACCTCTAGAAAATAGTCACAGGGATGTGCGGGTTAATTTTAAAGACAATCTTGTAGATTTAGTGGCTCCCCCACCAGATTTTAGTGATGACGAGGGTGAAGCTAAAAAGGGCAAATCTAGTGTTTCATTTAGTGCTCCTGTGAAGGAGAATAAATCTGAAGAGGACAATAATAAGAACGCTAATACTAAAAAAAACGAAAAGAAATTTGTAGTGGAAAGAGATGGAAAATTTGAAGTGCTACACTCTACAGAGATGACATCAGAGGAACGTCAGTTATATGATGCTGTTGAAACGTCACCTGTTGCTAAGAAACCAACTAAAACCACAACAACAACATTTAACAAAACGAAATCGGTAAATTCGAACAACTCTAATATTCACAGTACAAAAAAACAGCCCTCCCCACCCGCAAAACCCAGGCCTTCAACTGCCAATAATAATACACGAAGAAATGTCCGTCCTTCATCATCCCCACCCCGTCCCAGATCGGCTGCAATTCCATTAAATAATTCTTCTCCGTTGGAAAATTTTGATTATCGTTCACCATACGCTATGACGGATGAAGAAAAGAGTCAGTTTCGACAATATGCTAAACAGCAGGAAGATAAAAAACGACAAGATTTGGAAAACAAGAAGAGAAACGAAGAGGAAAAACAAAAGGAACTAGATGGAATTTTTCAATCATGGTTGAATAAGAAGAAAGAAGAAGATCAGAAACGGAAGTTAGAAGAAAAGGAAAAGAAGAAAGCTGAAGTAAAAGAGGATAAGGTATTGTTTTTTTTAAAACAAAAACTTTTGGTTCTTGGTTTTGGTGGAGGCTGACTGTCTGAGCCATGAGTTTTCGTCTTGCATGAATAAATTAATTATGGCTGTTAAAAACTTACATATGTTCGAAATTACCTCAGGTGAAATAAAACGCATTATATTATTAAATATTCCAACGCCTAAAAAGTTATCTCTTGCAAAATTGCACTTATCAGATAATTCCATGGCTCAGACAATAGTTAAAAAAATGGCTATGGCTGTTAAATTTATTACACTATAATGTTATTCAAATGGCTGTATAATATAAATTAGTTTTAAAATGACTGGGTTGCTATAAGTGAAACCAGCTTGATTGGGGGTGTTGGGATGGCCTAGTGGTCTAGAGTGTCATGTTTCGACCTCTAGCTGGCGGTCACCTCCTGCGTGCAGTTGTAGTTTCGATCCCTGGTGTGACCGTATGTGACTTGGAGATAGGAGCGCCTTTTCAACCTCATGGCTTTACTCCGGTTTCATTCCACAGGAAAGATGCGTGCGCTAAGATAATAAAAATGAGACAACTTGTCTGCGACCTTCTGTGGAAGCTGACATTAAACATTTTAAAAGTAAACAACATGTTCATATAGTTATAGTTAATTAAATTATGCATGCATATATCCTTCAAAGGGGATCACGGTGGCTAAGTGGGTAAGACGCTGGCTCATTAGCCTGGAGGTCGGGTGTTTGAGAAAGTGCATCCAGATTTTCCTGTGTGGTTCCCCCTAGTCAGTGATGATGACAAGGACAGCTGTCTAGTCGTTCGGATGGGACAAAAAAAGCGAGGTCCCGTGTACACATTGGCGTACACGTAAAAGATCCCTTGACAGTTGGAATTTGATATAAGAGTTGACTGTAGTGCCACTGTCCGGGCAAAATTACCCTCATAGCACACGGTATGGCATATGCCCTTCTTCATTAGCCCGATTCGTAGCAGGTAAAATGTGCATGTTTTATAAAAGCTGTCTGAAGCCAGGCATTATAAGTCAGCTTGTTGAGATAGCAAAGATAAGCCACGTTGGAAAATAAAGACTGGTAGCGAGCTGGGGTTTTTGACTCACCTTTGTATTTAAAGCTGGCTTAACGACCATGTCTTAACAGAATTTTTGAAATTGTCTTGTCATTTTGAAATCTAGTTTTTTAAGACCCAGTCTTTTCTTTACAAAATGGAAAAAAAAAACCAACAAAAAAACCAAAAACAAATGACCACTTTCCCCATATCTATTGTTTGAGAATGAAGAGTTTGATTTACTGATTAATAATTAGTTATTTCATTTTTTAGTTTTTATTGTGTCTTTGGAATAGTCTTTTATGTTTTTATTAGTAGTCTTGTTTATCATCCATCCTGTTGTGGCATAGTTTTTATTAGTAATAGTAGTCTTGTTTATCATCCATCCTGTTGTCGCATAGTTTTTATTAGTAGTACTAGTCTTGTTTATCATCCATCCTGTTGTGGCATAGTTTTTATTAGTAATAGTAGTCTTGTTTATCATCCATCCTGTTGTCGCATTTCAGCTTCTTTATAATCATTGTTGATAAAGGGAGGATTGTATCACATCTAGTTTAGTTCAGTTTATTGGACTTTCATCATTTTAGGTAATAAGATCGAACAAGTACAAACTTGTTTTGTTATGTGCAATTAGTATTATTTTGTGGCAGAATGCCAAGGTCACTCTATACTAGTTAATGTAAGACTTCTAAGCACATAAATAATTAGACATTTTATACTGACATCAAGCTCCCGTTACACAAACTGCATGTTAAATTTATGAATTCAGGTGCAACAAGTGTATCCCGTCCCATTTCTTATTTAAAGATACATTATGTAAGATTTAGATAAAGAGCTAGTCATTGTTGCTATAATAGTTCGAAAATAGATGATGTAAAATGAATAATTTGAAAACTTCATTCAAATTACTTTATTGCGAGCGAAGATAATTGCCTTTGAAAACTTTGACTTGTGCAATAATTTCACACACAGTACTAGTTGTTTGAGGCTTAGTCTCGCTCCTCCATATGACTGAACTGTTCTAATCTATTTAATATCGGAGAAACCCGATGCCATCAAGAGTTGATTATGGTCTGGATAAGTTAATTAATGTCTAATTAATAATTTAGATAACATTTAAGGCCTAAAGAAAGACCTGCAATAGGCAGATTTAGCCCTTGCATAATGTATGTTTAAGTGATTTATTTAAGAGATTTGTTTGTTTTCCTTCTTGATGTTTTTTAAAAGCACATTAATTATATTCTTTCACACTTACTAAATGCCCTTTCTATCTAGCACATTTCTTTTTAAAATAATTCATTGGTGATTGGTTCCTTTTTGTATTATGTTAGTTTTTGTCCATTTATTCTACTTTGGAGGTTGGGGTTTTTTTTGTTTCTTTTTTTAATTTCATGACTTTAGACAGAAATTCACATATAAATATGGAGAAAAGATTGTTCACATATATTTAATTTATATTAACATATTAAGTCAAATACTTCACTTTATAGAGAAAAAAAAAAATGGCTGACAAAACAAAAAATAAGCAAGTAAATATTTTTTTTTAAATTGCGCCTTTTATATCTTAGAAAAAAACTGGAGAATTGCAGCAATCATCTTTGGAATCTAATGAATCACCTGAACAGGTACTTATACATTAAAGTTAATCTCTTTATCACACTCTCTCCCTAACCCCAGGCCTGGAAATAAAGGTTTAAGATGTACATATACCTGACAAAATGTCAGGCACTAATGAAATAGTACCTGACATTTTCAACCTCGTGCCAGTCATGTATTTATAATATCAATAAAAAAAAGTCAAACCAGTGCTGGACAAAATGATAGGCACCAGAGATTTTGTGCCTGACAAAGCCTGAATCTGTGCCTAACAATGTCAGTGACAGGTGCCTTATTTCCAGGCTTGTTTCTGTGACAGGTGCCTTATTTCCAGGCTTGTTTCTGTGACAGGTGCCTTATTTCCAGGCTTGCCTAACCCACCTGCAGAATATTGATATCCTACTCAATATTGGAAATCTTCTCTGAATTATTTTTACCTTTCAAGATATTCTTGGAAAGCCTAATATCTTACCAAGTGACCCATAAGTGATTTAATTTGAACATTCCTGATGTAACCGTGTTGTAACTGTCTCAGTCCTAACTGAATGTATTTGAATTTAGCTTAGTACAATACTGTTGTTACTTAAAATATATTTGAATTTGGCTGGTTTGTATACAGTACTGCACTGTCTAAAATTAAACGAACATGTACAAATATACTATTACTTTAGATAATATGGAGTGGAATTCACACCATAATTCTTACTCTTAAAATTGCTAAATCATATGACTTGTTACTATTACGTTAGATAATATGGAGTGGAAATCACACCATAATTCTTACTCTTAAAATTGCTAAATCATATGACTTGTTACTATAACGTTAGATAATATGGAGTGGAATTCACACCATAATTCTAACTGCTAAAAAATGCTAATTCATATGACTTGTTACTATTACGTTAGATAATTCTTACTCTTAAAAATGCTAATTCATACAACTTGTTCCTTAAATATTGTACTATAGTTTGAATTTGTATTGGATTCTATTTCCATTATTACTTTTAATCAACCTTCATATTTGTTTTTATTAAATAAAGAAGATTGTAGACAGTTTAGATTCATACATTTTTTGAAATGCCATAAAATGTAACAAGATGCAATAAAACAACAAAGCACTCTTTATGCTGATTCAAATTTTATTTGACAATAACCGGCCCTGAATGATACGCAAATGATATTTATAAAATAAATTAGAATTTTTACAGGTGTAACTAGCTAATTTACTATATGTAAGTAAAAAGTATATTAACTGGTATAAGAGTTAGAATTATGTCATATATTCCACTCCATAAAATACCAGAATATCTTTTCTCACACATCAGTGTTGTGATAACATGTATAATTAATGAAATAACTGGACAATCTAACTGAAATTTCTCACTAATAATTTATTTTTGTCCTTAAGTAGAAGACAGGAATGGTGATGATTTCTTAAAGGGACAGTCCCAGATTTTATTTTAAAAGTATTGATTTAAAATTCTTATACACAACCATGAAGGGAATAATATGAATAGATTGGATACAGTAATAAACAACTTAATGCTTATTAATAAACTGATTCCAGAAAAGGATGATATGAATATGATTTTAAAGATCAGCTGGCAATGTCATCAAATAAGAATGATTATCTATATTAGGGTTTTAGTTAATGGTGGTATGAACAAAGGGTATTAAATAGGATATAAAGAAAATCAAATAAAAGAAGAAAAAGAAAAGAAAAATTAAGAGGAAGGTGGGGACATAGAGATACATGTGGGGGGGGGGGGAGTTTGAATAGAGATTTGAATTAGAAAGAAGCTTGTGAACACTTCAAAGCCTGATAACTTCGCTCAGAGACAAGTAATTTGACTGAAATTTTTTAACTAGACCATCTAACTTTTTTATCTAAATCTTACATAATGCATCTTTAACAAGTGTATTTCCTTTAATTAAAGCTAAAGATCTGCTAGTCTCTATCATTTGAGAATAAGTAGATCATTGGCTAGATTATCCAGTCTTTTATATTATCATGAACAAAATCTAAGGGAGGTAACTAGTCCTAAAACAATCCCCAACGTTGTAAAATTTCTCTCTTCAAGGATTATTAATTCTAATTACTTGACTTTTATTAAAAAAAAAAGAAAAAAGTTCCTTTGCCCATGCATAAGCGGGAGTTGTTTTTTTATGTGATTATCCAGTAAATTTTGCCAATTGTTGACAACTGACCCAGGTGCTATAGTATGTACATGTACATTGAAGGGTAGGAGGTTCTGGGTGACCAAGACTATACATGTACAAGTTACATTTCTCATTCTCTTCAATGATTTCAATGTATTTGTTCTTTTCTTTGTGGCAGGGATTGGCAGTAACCATACTGGTTGAGTAGGGCAATTACTTTAAGTAAATTAGTTTTGTTGTTTTATTATGTGAATTTCATACATGTCATCATGAAGTTATCCTATTGTACTGGTTAGGCATTTTTACGAGAAAACAAATCGGAGGAAACCAGAGAACCCATAGGGTTGGACAGGCGACCCTACTTGTCACGTATAACTGGGGAATCGAAACCACACCAGTTGACTCAATGACAGACCTTATGATACAAAGCGCATGCGCTAACAATACGGCCACAAGGTCTGTCATTGAGTCAACTGGCATGGTTTCGATTCCCCGGTTGTACGTGACGAGGAGTAGAGTCGCATGACCAACCTCGTGGGTTTTTTTCCTGTTTCTTCCCACTGCTAAAAAAACCTACGCAGTCTCGAAATGACCTAGTTTGTGTCGAGTGGACATTAAACCCCATTTCTCTCTCTCTCTCTTTTATTGTTTCTGATAAAGTTATTGATCATAATTAGAAGTTTATTAATGAACGTGGGTTTTATATTGAATCTATAAGCTATTGTTAATTATTCTATCATCGATCGATAACGGAAGACATTTATCAGTATTACATTATTGATAACAAAAATAACACAGAGAATTAAAGGGATAGTCTGTTCTTTTTTTATCAACAGCTATAAAATTAACTTAGTGGCGACATTGAAATAGTTTAAAATAGGCATTCAAGATTCAAGGTCGTTTTGGAAAATTCCTCCAATGATTTAATTTCTGCTCCTACAGTGCAGTTTGAAATAAGACATTTATAAAATGATCGATTTAAAACATTGTCATGAGGAAAGTAATATTTCCAAAAAGTAGAGGCCAGTCTTAATATGATATTAAAATGTGTTAAAGCCTTAATAAAAATTTAGACATGATCTACATGTATGTTATGTAGAACTGTATATATATATAAATAGAAAATAATTTTTCCTTAAATTTTCGTGCTGTATTAAAAAGCAGGACTGTCCCTTTAATTACTAGTGTTAAACATTACTGCTGATGAAGTTCTTGGAGGATTATAAAATGTCAGAAGGTCAATAGTTTAATGGTTTGAATTCCAACCATATTATATCACAATCACCATCATAATATTCAGTACAGGATCTTGGAGCCAAAGTGAAACATGTAACACTGGACCCCATCCTTTTTTTTCTGAATTCAGCCCTGCCCCCACCCCCACCCCATAATACAAGGTTCATCTGCTGGCCCTGATTATATTCAGATTTGACATTTGACATTTTAAATCAAGTAACCTGTGTTCAATGTAGTTATTGTTAATGAATCAACAAGGTAGAATAAGATTATATATTTCTGGAATACCCGATAACACTTCTAATTTATATGTGAGATTCAGGTAGCTGTCTCTTTTGTGAACTAGTTTTAGAAAATTTAAAAGGAAAATTTTAACAAATTCTGAAAACAATAAAATGGTTATGTTTTATGAATTTTAATATTTTGAGTTTCATGTATCCGTATACACACCTAACTGCATTTAATTTTCTCGCTTCAAAAAGTACCAGGGGTTGGATGGTCGTATGGTCAGCACTGGGGGTTGTATCATAAGGTCTGTAATTGAGTCAACTGGCGTGGTTTCGATTCCCCGGTTGTACGTGATAAGGAGTATAAGGAATAGGGTCGTCTGGCCAACCCCATCGGTTTCCTGCAGGTCCTCTGGTTTCCTTCCACTGCTAAAGACCCCTACGCGCAACCGAATTATTAAAATAAAATTGAACCATATGTTAGTCTCAGAATGACCTAGTTTGTGTTGAGTGGACATTACTCTCTCTCTCTCTCTCTCTCTGTGGAAGTGTTACTGAGGGGAGTAGAACCTCCTTCATCATTCTTTCAAATTATCCTATTCTTCTTTTACAACATTTCATCACCTTTGTGGTTCCGCAAAAGGTATATATCTTTAATCCACTTCATCATAAAGTGAAATATTTGCCATTTTAAAACAGCAATAAGGTGTAGATTATCCTGATATAAATATCAAAAAAATGGCTGTCTCAATTCTTTCATGTACCTGATATAAATGACTGTCTCACTTCTTTCATGTGGCTATTAGATTGTGTTCTACATTAAAAAACCTCGAAACTTTCTGAATTTTCGCTAAAAAAAAATTATCAGTTATTTTTGTCTTTCTCATTGTTCATTTTAGAAACTGGTGAATGCACAAATGATAAATATTAAGTCATTCAATGTCCTCTTTCTAACAAAGCCAATGTAAGATTTGTTTTTTGATTGGCTTAAAAATATATCATTAAGAAGCCAAAAAAGGGGAACTGAGGGTGAAATGGGTCATTCAAATTATCCATTATACTTCTAGTTTGAGATGTATTTCAGGTAAAAACGAACATAAATTGTTATTCAGGTCCTGTAGTTTTCTGATCTTTAACATCCAAACTGTAGTGGGAGTCGCAGTGGCTCAGTGAGTAAGACACTTGCTCGCTAGCTGGGAGGTCTCGGGTTTGCTCTTAAAGTTGGTCAGGATTTTCCAGCGTGGTTTCCTTTCAGTGATGCAGGATGGAGGGCCTGATAAGGTTCTCTGTGCACGTAAATGAACTCTTTAACAGTTGACAGTTCGAATTAGATATAAGAGTAGGCCCTAGCGCTGCTGTCCAGGCAAAATTTCCTTCATAGCACACCACGTGGCGTATGCCCGTCTTCATTAGCCCAAACAACTCAATATGCTCTTATTCTATTGTTTTACAGAGAGAACTAAATGAGAAAATATTCAAAAGTTGGATGAAAAACAAGGAAAATCAACATAAAACTGAAAAATTATTAAAGAAAAGGCAGGATCAGGAAATGAAGGAAGGGCTAGTACTCCATAATCGTGAAGAATGTGAAAAATCATTTAAAAGGTGAATTTATCTCTCTTCCATTCAGGGGGTTGGTTTGCCGAATGGTCTAGCACATGCCCTTTAGATCATAAGGTTTGTAATTGAGTCAAGTGACGTGGTTTCAAGCCCATACTTGTATGTGACAAGATGTGGGGTTGACTACCTATGAGGGGATTGGATGGCCAAATAACCGAATGCTTAGCACGTGTGCACTGTATCATAAGGTCTGTCATTGAGTCGACTGGCGTGGTTTTGAATCCCCGGTTGTACTTGACAAGGAGTAGAGTCTCCTGTCCAATCTTGTGGGTTTTTTCCGGGTCCTCCGGTTTCTTCCCACTGCTAAAGACCCCTACGCGCAAGCAAATTATCGAAATAAAATTTAACCATATGTTAGCCCTGAAATGTCGAGTGGATGTTAAACCCCATTTCACTCTATATATACATCTAGTAATAATAAAGTTTTATGTATTAAATAATGTCATATTATTGCAGGTGGTTACGAAAGAAGAATGCTGAAATCCGTCGGAAGAAAAATGTTGAACGTCAAAAAATACGCTATCTCAGATTATCTGCAAGGAAATCGCGGAAATCGCAGGCTTTAGCTCGTGCCATTCAACAATCTCAATCTTATAAATATGTTGATTTTAATTATTAAATGTTTTCAAAATTATGTTTTTAAATATCAAACTCATTGATTTGTTAACAATATGACAATTTGTGAAATTCATTGAGTTTTTATGTAAACATTCTAAATATAGCCTATGTTTGTCTTAATTTAAAGGGATATTACCAGATATTACAGATGTTTAATTAGTGCATGCAGTGTGCTAGGAGTCAATAACTGACTTTAGGAAGTCAGTAACTGATTTTATGGAGTCATTAACTGACTTTATGGAGTCCGTAACTGTCTTTATAGAGTCGGTAACTGACTTTATGAAGTCTGTAACTGTCTTTATGGAGTCAGTAACTGACTTTATGAAGTCCGTAACTGTCTTTATGGAGTCAGTAACTGACTTTATGGAGTCAGTAACTGACTTTATGGAGTCGGTAACTGTCTTTATGGAGTTGGCAACTGACTTTATGGAGTCGGCAACTGACTTTATGGAGTCGGTAACTGTCTCTATGGAGTCGGTAACTGTCTTTATGGAGTCAGCAACTGACTTTATGGAGTCAGCAACTGACTTTATGGAGTCAGCAACTGACTCTATGGAATCAGTAACTGATTTTATGGAGTCAGTAACTGTCTTTATAGGGTCAGTATCTGACCAGTAACTGTCTTTATATAGTCAGTGACCGACTTTATAGAGTCAATAACTGACTTTACGAGTTGTCATTACCAGAATAATAGCACTTCAAAATATAGCAGTTGCATGTTTCATCCTTATTCCTGTTGAGGGTTATGTACACATACAAGATTTCTGTGAGCATGACCCAGATGTCTTTATAATGGAGGATGAGTTAATGTGAGTAACACATAGCTTCAATTATCCAGACAGCCCTGATTTCAAACAAGTCAAATTACAAATTGGCAACCAAATGATATAAATTAATTCTTTTGCCAATAATTTTTGAAGGAATTTATATTTTGAAACCAAATTTACGGGATAGGGAGATATGCATTGAGCATTTTTACATATTTAATTGGGATTTTTTAAAAATGCATTATGTAAGAGCTAAATATGCCTATTGCAGGTGTATTTTCTGGCTTCAAATGTTACATTAACTATTATTTAGACATTTATTCATATGAAGAGCCTATAATCAACTCTGTAGACCATAGCAGAGTTTTAAATGGATTAGAACACCTGCAAGATTTAAAAATTTAATGATAAAATGGATAATCAAGACTTAGTCTCAGTTGTCAAGTCCCGTTGCTACAATAATAAACAATCTACATTGCATCTTCAAACAGTCATAACCAGTGATGGGATTTCAAAAATTTTCTTGTCGGACATTTTGACCAAAAATAAAGGGACATAACTCTTATCGTTATTTAAGATGGCAGTTTTTAGACCACATACAAAAATCACGTGTAAACAAAATATTCAAATTCGTCCGTAATATAAAAATAGGTGCACCTCGTTGTGACTCATAACCTTGCTCAGACTAAAATATTTTGACTGAAATTTTCAATACATTCATATTTCATTATCTATTTTTGAACTATCAATAATCAGAAGGACCAGCTGTCCAACCTCGTGGGTTTTCTCCGGGTCCTCCGGTTTCCTCCCACTGCTAAAGACCCCTACGCACAAGCGAATTATTGAAATAAAATTAAACCATGTGTTTGTCCCGAAATGACCTAGTTTGTGTCGAGTGGACGTTAAACCCCATTTCTCTCTCTCTCTAAATCTTACATAATGCTCAAATCTGGCAATATCCCTTTATACCATTTTGAATAATTTCGCCATATTAAGACAATATTAAGTATGATTATTTGAGACAGGTTGGTTATTCCTTGAACTTTTCTTGGAAACCAGAATTAAATTTAATTTATATTTTTTTAGACATTTAATTCAATTATTAAATGAATACATACGTTGTTGCATTTAATTATTTTCTAAATAGTTTTGTTAATAAAAATGCACATCTCTGTTGTCGAAACAAATCAAATTCAACTTTTACTATCGGTATTTTATACACCCATATTAAACAGTGCAAGATGAATCCTTCATTTCTTTTATTTTTATTTTTATATACCGGTATAAATGTAGTGCCTAAATCAGTTGGTGATTATTTTCTAATCAAAATAACTTAATTAATTAAATACTGTATTCCACATCAAGAAATTTCCATTAAACATACATCATGCAAGAGGTAAATCTGCCTATTGCACGTCTTTTTTTTAGGCCTGAAATGTTATATAAATTATTAATTAGACATTTATTAACAAAACAAGACCATAATCAACTCTCGATGGCATCGGATACTCGAGATTTTAACTAGATTAAAACGGTTCGCCATGTAAAAATTTAATGTAAAAATGGGAAAGAGAGGCTAAGTCTCAAAATACCAGTGCACTGGTTACCACAATGCACACATCTTGTCAAAACTACAAACAGTGATAACTTGGCTCAGAATGAAGTAATTTGAATGAAATTTTCATTTTACATTATCTATTTTTGAACTATTGTAGCAAGAATGGTCAGCTCTTTATCTAAATCTTACATAATGTATCTTTAATGACTAATTGAAGAAAATGATATTAAAAATGTTGAAAGATGAACATGTTTATATCAATATAAAGGTTCTCTATCTTCTAGCATCATAAAAGGTTTTATTCAGTGGGAGGGTACCGATAGCATCATACAAGGTTTTATTCAGTGTGAGGGGGTATGGATAGCATCATACAAGATTTTATTCAGTGTGACGGGGTATTGATACCATCATACAAGATTTTATTCAGTGGGAGGGTACCGATACCATCATACAAGATTTTATTCAGTGGGAGGGTACCGATAGCATCATACAAGATTTTATTCTGTGTGAGGGGGTATCTTCTAGCATCATACAAGGTTTTATTCAGTGTGACAGGGGTAGCCTGACGATAAATGTGAGTTAATAGTGTGGTTTACAGTCAAATTATTTAGGGGTAAATTCTTGTACTGTGAAATAAAGTGAATGTAATATTGTGTATGCTTACTATAATGTGAGTTATCTGTGATATTTATTAAAATATACTCTTCAAAAAAAATAGGGGATATTCAGAAAGGATACAAAACTTCGGAAATGCACTGCTGTTTTTATTAGAGGTAACCAGTGTATGTTAATAACAGGCCAATTGCCTACACATGAACATAAACAGTTCATATGGGCGCCTTATTTGACAGCCCCATTTCATTCGCAAAGAGATACACTGTCAAAAGTGAAAATGGAAGTTTTTGATTTTTGTCTTAATCATTTGTCTTAATTGCATTTCAATATCCCCTACTTTTTTTGAAGAGTATATATGTAAGTATATATTAAACCATTTTTTATGATCATGACATTGTATATATCTATCTATAAATGTTAAATATTCTCTTAAATACACTGGGACCTCACTGTAATAACTTTCACTATTTAATGCATAGTTAATGCCATACTGATCAGCAAAGAATTTTCACTTGTCCGCTCCATTCACTGATAGAGATGACATCGATGGGGCTTAATGAGCCCCCAATATTAACTTTTTTCCTTCTGCAAATTAAATTCTAGAACATTTTTTTTTAAGCATTAGAAAAATAAATAAAGGTGTTTCAAGTATATGTAGGTAAATAATATTTGCTATTTAGTGTAAATGGGTATATAAAGTGAGTAAAACGCGCCAATGTTTGACACCGCGTGATGTGACGTCACATGATAAAGCAGTTATCTTTTACAGAGCTATATTAGTCTTTGCAATACCTCTGCGAAACCGAATGAGTTATTGCAGGGAAATCTTTAGGTATAAAACCACAGTGTCATTCAACTGAAGCATGCTATAATAGATACTTTATTTTAAACCTCAATGATGCACTAGAAACTTTTTTTGTAGTGAAAATTAAGAGCATTTTTTGGGGTTGTCCAACGTCAGTTCTACATGTGACAATTGTTTCTGGCCATTGTTACAGAAATGAATAACAAGCTTAAAGTGATGATATTAAATACACTGATGAGAAGGGCAAATATATCTGAATGGTTATAGCGAGGTTCAAGTGTATATATTCTATTTTATATAATTGTCAAAGTATAATATTTATATATAAATAAGAATCCGTCCAATGAAGTATATATACTATACTGTGATAATATCTGTTGAGTCAGTTTAAACAATAAATACATTCTATTAGAGTACTTGGTTTTATCAGATTTAATATCCCAGCATTTATTGATTTATCAATGGGAAATAGAAATTAAGCCATTTTTACAGCATAATGTGATCAAATCTGCAAAATTTAAATGCCTTGTCCCAGAAATAATTTTTATTTTAACATCCAAATCACCTAAAAAAAATCTTGCCCGGATAGCTGCACTAAGGCCTACTCTTATATCGAATTCCAACTGTCTAGGGATCTTTTACGTGCACGCCAATGTGAACACAGGACCTCAGTTTTTCGTCCCATCCGAACGACTAGACAGCTATCCTTGTCAGGCCCTCCGTCGTGCATCACTGACAAGGGGGAACCACGCCGGGAAATCTGGATGAACTTTCTCGGCCAGTGCAGTGCAGGCTAGCGAGCTAACGTCTTATCCACTTAGCCACAGTGAGCCCCATTTTTCAGAGGCATATGCACCGAAAAATTCCAAAATTCTTAGGGGCTAGAGGGGGCCATGGTGGCTCTACAAGAAGGTCCAGGGTTACATCCCAATGTGGGTCCAAAACATTCTCAGGATTTCCAGCTTGGTTTACCATTTTCATTGTAAAACTGAGAATTGGAATGGAACAATGTGCACTTAAAAGAAACCCTGTCAGTTTCAATTTGCTGAATTTAATTTCATTTCGATCCCTAGGCCCTGAATTCATAGCTTGCGAACCTCAACGAAACCCACTCACGAGCGCCACAGTAGGGAGTCGTTACGGAGGACTTCCCCCAGACAATTTTGAAAAATAGACTGCCGGAAATGCTGTCTGACAGTATTCAGTAAGTCACCAATCGTGGAGAAAAATAGATCTGACCAGAAAATTTTGAAAATAGACTGCCGGAAATGCTGTCTGACAGTATTCAGTCAGTCACCGATCGTCGAGATAAATAGAGCTGTCGCCTGATCACTAGTCTATCCTACCCCAGAGAGGAAAGTGTCAAATGAACGAAAATTTGAAAAGTAGACTGCCCAAAATGCAGTATCTGGCAGTATTTCAGGCACTGATCGTCGAGATAAATAGAGCTTCCAGATACCGCCTGTCACCAAATCACTGGTTTATCGTGGCAAACGTAGGGAGTGAGTGAAAGTGAATGAGTATTTTCGCCACAATATTTTGAGAAATAGACTCCCGGAAATGCAGTCTGGCAGTATTTTCAGGTACTGGTCGTCAAGATAAATAGAGTTGACCAGATACTGTTCGTCGCCAAATCACCAGCTTATCCAAACAGAGAGGGAGGTGTCAAACGAACGGATTGAGTGTTTCAAGTGAATGCATATTCTCGCCGCTTTGAACCTATACCCAAAAGCTTTGAGGAGGGTATAAAGCACTTTTCAAGTAATTCACATGTTATTGATTATGGTAGGTTTACAGCAGGATGGCCTTATAAGAAATCACTCAGCAGACTACGCAAGGGGGGCAAACAGAGGGCAGACCAGATTAATGGCGGGACAACCCCCCCGCTTGGCGCCGCCACTGGAGTACCCAATATTAAAAAAATTGTACAATTTTCTAACCATTGTGTTTAAGTATTCTACCCACTGCCAAAGACCCTTACGTGCAAGCAAATTATTGAAATGAAATTGAAGCATATGTTAGTCCCGAAATTACCTAGGTTGTGTTTAATGGATGTTAAGCGGGAATTTTATACATTGTCAGCTACTTAATGTCGAGTATAATGCTGAAAATAGAATGGAAGTGAGGCAGTGGCAACATTCATCATTTGACAAGAAACTACGAGTGTTACATTATCGGAAACAAGGAGTCTTGTGGGCCCCACACCCCTTTCCTTTCAACATTTTGCTGGTTACAAGTGTCTAATCTGTTCTGCGCTTGGTGCTAGATTTATATTTGGAATCTTTCTTACTGATGATATTGTGTTGATCATTCTAGTAATCTAGATCTGAAAGAAAATCTAGGTACTCTACCAACCTCATCAAAAGACTATTCTACATGGAAATGACAATTAAGTTATTTGTAGATTTGTATGGTTTCAAAATTACCTTATAATACCTCAAATATTTTTTGATTCAGTCTTTATATGAAGCTGTAGTTTGATCGTATTTGAATAAAATTATGCATCCAAAAACCAATTTATATCTGGGATCTTAGATGTTTTTCGTGAGACGTCTTCGCACAAGGGTTAATGTCATTTAAATAACTGATGATTTAAAAGACAAATCATCCTATTTTATACTTCAACGTCGTGGGTTTTCTCCGTGTCCTCCGGTTTCCTCCCACTGCTGAAGACCCCTACACACAAGCGAATTATTGAAATAAAATTAAACCATATGTTAGTCCCGAAATGACCACATTTGTGTCGAGTGGACGTTAAACCAAATTTCTATCTCTGTCTATTTTATACTTTATTTAAGAATAATTGAAGTATGCTGTTATCATTTTTCCTGGTAGAGAATTCTTTAAGACGATCCTGACCCACTGTGCACTAAAACCATTGGGAAAAACATACCAGACGTAAGGTTTGGACGATGTTGTTTCTAGTTGAGTAACCTCAACCCAATCTTCATCAGCAAGATGACCTGAAAAAAAGGGAACATTAGAGTTCTAGCAAATGCTTCTTACATACAAATATCTCAACAACCTCTGGGCTGCATATTTATCAGAACTTCTTGAATTGTATACCCTAACACATCTTCAATAGAAGGCTTGATCTCGCTTTAACTACGTACATATTATCAAAATACCCTGCATATTTCGGCACTAATTTTGATTGGGTACAAGCCCAACTTGTGAGCCTATCAGATTCCTCGATCGTCGCGAATACCAAGTCTCGCGCTTTCAAGCTAAAATTTCTACCTGTGATAATCGAGTTGCAAAGTTCAAGGTTCATTCAATGTCAAGATTTCCGTGGAGGTCGCGATGTCACAACCTCTGATTGGACGCTACTGCTCACGTGTCTGTAGATAACATAGCTATAAGTTCGAGAACTGTGAAGAAAGCAAGCAACGTCCAGATGTTGTAAAACCCGCAGTCGTTGCTTCAGGAAGATGACCCTAACGCAACCTCCAATCTTCCTCTGATCCATGTCTTCTTGTAATGTGCCATGCAAATTTAAGTTCATTTTATGTACAACGCCCCCCCCCCCATATGCTCTTCAATACCTACCTTCAAGAAACACTTATAAACAATGCTAAAGCCCTTACACGCAAGCATATTATTGAAATAAAAATTAACATGTTAGTCCCGAAATGATCTAGTTTGTTTTGAGTGGACGTTAAACCCCATTTCTCTTTTCTCTCAAGGGTGTTTTTTTCCACTTAAATGCCCGTTTGCCACAGCTTCCGTCTTCATATAGCCCAGTCGGAGCAGAACAGTAGAACGTTAAACCCCATTTCATTTGCCATATTGTGTTAACACGCTTAACCCCATTTCGTTTCATTTCACACAACTTATCGATATAGTCTGACAATTAGTTGTTGGTTCAATAAATATTTGCCTGAAGAACAAGTAGGTCTACCATGGGTTTTCTGATCCCGGAGGGGTTGGGTGAAATCACAAGGTCTGTCAATAAGTCAAGCGGTGTGGTTTTAATTCCTCGCTTGGACATGGCAAAGAATAGGGTCGCCTGTCCAACCTCATTGGATTTCTCTGGGTACTCCGGTTTCCCCCCACTGCTAAAGACCCCTACGTGCAAGCGAATTATTGAAATAAAATTAAACCATATGTTAGTCCCGAAATGACATAGTGGACGTTAAACTCTCTCTCTCTCTCTCTCTCTCTCTCTCTCTCTCTCTCTCTCTCTTTCTGATCCTGTGAACCCTGTTGCTCCTGTGTTAGTCCTGAAATGACCTAGTTTGTGTCGCATGGACGTTAAACCCTACCTGCTGCTCCAGTAACGTCAACTTGAACAGAGAAATACGCCATTGTCTTGTTATGATTGATCACATGTAAAACTTTCTTATCAAAACCGGTCATTAAGAAAGGATCTGAAACGGCACCAGAATTAAGAATATCTCGACGCCAAACAGCTCCCCAACCTTGGGGTTTACCAAAACTCCATAGATCATCCGTTTTACCAAACCATAAACCAGACTGTGCTTGTCCAGTTACCACATTATTATCAAAGATAGATGATACCTGAATTAGATAATAATAATAATATTTTATTAAACTTATATAGTGCCCACGGTGGCTAGGTGGCTAAGACGTTGGCTCGCTAGCCTGGAGGTCGGGTGTTCGATCCCTGCATTGGCCCATGGTTCCTCCTTGTCAGTGATGCAGGACGGAGGTCCCGTGTACACATTGGCGTCCATGTAAAAGATCCCTTGACAGTTGGAATTCGATATAAGAGTAGGCCGTAGTGCCGCTGTCCGGGCAAAATTTCCCTCATAGCACACTTTAGGGTGTATGCCCGTCTTCATTAGCCCAGTTTGGAACAGAACAGTAGGACGTTATACCCCATTTCATTTACATTTAAAAAATAAAAATTCAAAAATAGAACAAATAAAAACCAACATAACATATAAAAGACACGATACCATACAATATGAGAATGAAAATAGATTTTAAAATGAAAATTCAGAGTACAAAAAAAATACAGCATAACATGTAAAAGTATATCAGAAAACTTTTTTAAAAAACCCGGCAAACGTATGTAAATTACAACCAGCTGGATTGCTCATGTGTATTTCAAAGGGTAACGTGTACTATTTTAAAATAACCACTTTTGTAATGTATGTCCCAGTAATTATAAAAATACTAAAGGAAGGATGAACTGGATTGTACTAAAAAGCTCGAATTATTATTATTATATTTTCTAAGACATATGGAGATGGTGGTGTGAAACCAGTGCATTAAATGGCCATAAAATAAGTTAAAATTACCTGATTTCCACCTAAAACTAAGAATCCTCTATATGACGCATAATCAGGAACCATACGTAAATGTTGACAGATAGGACGAAGTCCCCAAGTACTACCAGCCCAGCCTAGAGGCGACAATTCATAAAACATTCCATGCATATCCATAAGGTATCTTTCAGTTTCTACTTCCCGTATCCGTGGCCATTCTGTCTGCCACAAATGATCATAAGCATGACTAGCCTTAGGTAATCGATATGTCTGCCATTTTCTATACGCTCCGTCATCCCCATCAAATACTTTGAGAATTGCAGATCGGTAATCCCACCCTAAAGCATAAATGACCTGACCAAAATTCCTCCTTCCAGCAACTTCAACAAATGCAGTTCTTTCTAAAATAGTCCAGTTAGTTCCTGGTCCTGTCCATTCTGCAAGACGACCCCCTGATTGAGTTCTGTAACACACATGAAGATTGATAAAACTAATAGCACGATTTGTGATCAAAACATTTTGAAGATTAGGGACAACCATAGGCGTACGGGCTCGATGACAGTTAGGGGGGCAGGAACCCGAATTGCCCGAAAAAATTTCGGGTTTACAGACAGCGGCACGGTCTTCCTCGAGAGGCGAAGAATCGGAGCTTACCATGTGTGGATCCCCCCCCCCCCCCCCCAAGAAAATTTTGGAATATCTTACGGCCGCAAACACGTTTTCCTGCTATTTCAGCCCGTGAACAAAGCAACTTCAAAGTGGTCTAATATAGGCTAATTAAGATGGCTGGCTCGAATTCCAATCAAAAGATCAATCGTTTACAGTCCACGGAGACGGGACCGTTGGGAGAAAATTTTGAAAATTTAACCACCGCAAATGCGTTTTCTGCTATTTTAACACGTGTAAGCAACTCCAAAAGTATCCAATGGTTTTGTAACCGAAATCCCATTCTGAATTCCAACCATCCAATCAGACTGTTGCAGCTGCATTCACAATAATAATCGATGCCTGAAAAATGTCGCACAAAGTAAAGTGGCTCCAGACAAAATGTTTTAATCCATAGTCAACTCAGTACAAATTCGTGGTATTCAATTAAAATAGTAAAATTAGTGTTTTATTAGGGCTCGATGACAGTTAGGGAAGCAAAACTAGAAATGCCCAAAAACATTTCAGGTTTACAGACAGCGGCGCCGGTTTTCTTCGAGAGGCGAAGAAGCAGAGCTGACCTTGTATGGACACCCCCCTACAGTCACTCTACAGTCTTACCTGGGGGATTGGATGGCCGAACGGTTAGCACGTGCGCGCTTTATCATAAGGTCTGTCATTGAGTCAACTGGCGTGCTTTCGATTCCCCGGCTGTACGTGACAAGCAGTAGAGTCACCTGTCAATCTTCGTGGGTTTTCTACGGGTCCTTCGGTTTCCTCCAACTGCTAAAGACCCCTACGCGCAAGTGAATTCTTGAAAGAAAATTGAACCATATGTTAGTTCCGAAATGACATGGTTGGTGTCGAATGAATGGACGTTAAACCCATCTCTCTCTCTCTCTCTCTCTCTCTCTCTCTCTCTTACCAATATTTGGAATTGGTATAGCTAGACATAGAATAAATATTTTTGTCATTTGATCTTCAAATTGGTTCCCCGACCTTCTCCCCAAAACAAATATTTTAATTCGCCTACCCTATAAAATCTGCTTCTTCAAATGTATTACTAGCAACAACAAGTCGTCCATTCATAGTATGTGCTGCTTTAAAATGGGGTTGTTCCCCTTGATCTGCAGGTATGTCTAATGTTTTCACTAAATCAAATAGTTGTACACATGTATAATTATATACATCACATTCCCACAGTGGTCCATCCATACCAAGCATATATACCTAAAACATGATGAATTTAACAAATTTGTACTTCTTGTGACCAATGTCTGCACATGAAATATCGACTTTATTTGTCTAAATAAAGAACAATTGTTGCTTTCATTGAAACCTAAATGGGAGTCTGATCTTCCAGAAAAGGTGAATATGCTGATGCAGTTACTGAAATGAAATTAAATTTACGATTTATCGTCCTATTTTTCTGCCATGCAGTAGTGGGCTATGAGATAAATTTTGCCAGTGGCACACGAAACCTCCGTTCTTCTTCTCATCCGAACGACTACACTTCCATCCTGCACCACTGACAAGGGGATGGGGAACCACATTGGAAAATCAAGACGAATTTTCTCGGCAAACACTGTCATCGTTCTCGTCACGCCGGGTTAGTAAGCCATTTTTTTCTCAATGTCTCTTTGGACTTCTAGCTGTGCTATTGACTTTTTAGAACGACTACACTTCCATCCTGCACCACTGACAAGGGGATGGGGAACCACATTGGAAAATCAAGACGAATTTTCTCGGCAAACACTGTCATCGTTCTCGTCACGCCGGGTTAGTAAGCCATTTTTTTCTCAATGTCTCTTTGGACTTCTAGCTGTGCTATTGACTTTTTAGAAACATGGGAGCCTGGAGGTCGCGGGTTCGTTCCCGGTGTTGGCGGAGAAGGTTCATGGGGATTTCCCAGCGTGGTTTCTGGTGCAGTATGGAGGGTCCGACAAGAACAGCTGTCTGGTCGTTCAGATGGGACGAAAATATAAGAGTAGGCCGTAGCGCGCTGCTGTCCGGGCAAAATTTCCCTCATAGCATACTGTATGGCGTATGCCTGTCTTCATTAGACAGGCGTTAAACCCCACTTCATTTCATTATAACAGCTTCTAATTCCTTTTGGGGATTCATACAGCTAACTATAATGCATATTAAAACTTTTATGTAGAAATCTACCATAAAACACAAACCTTTGTGGCATATTCTGTTAAATGTTCTGCTGTGGCAGCAACTCGAACATGCAATAAATCTTTAAAGGTTTGGACATTTCCTTTAGAATCTATAGCCCATGCACCTATTATGATTTGATTAGATTCCTTATGTATTATTCTATTAGCATAAGTTGAACTGTGATTGGCAAGCTTCTTCATCTGAAAGTAATTTTATGGAAAATGATAAATGCTGAATTATCTCAAAGCTGTCATTTCAGTGGTAGTATTTTGTGGCTTGGTTGTTAAAACTCAGAGCCGGGGACTAAGATTTTGTAAGACTCTGAACTACAAGTTTTATGGGTCTCCCAGAAAGATAAGTTACGTGTTCTGAATCTAGGAGGGGGTTGAATGGCTGAATATGGTTAGCACGTGCGCGCTGTATTATAAAGTCTGTCATTGAGTCAACTGGCGTGGTTTCGATTTCCCGGTTGTACGTGACAAGGAGTAGGGTCGCCTGTCCAACCTCGTGGGTTTTCTCCGGGTCCTCCGGTTTTCTCCCACTGCTAAAGACCCCTACGCGCAAGCGAATTATGGAAATAAAATTGAACCATATGTTAGTCCCGAAATGACCTAGTTTGTGTCGAGTGGACGTTAAACCTCTCTCTCTCTCTCTCTCCCTCTCTCTCTCTCTCTCTCTCTCTCTGAATCTAGGAATGTTTCGTCCTTGGTATACAATTCTGTGTTTATCTTTGCCATAGTATATTTACTTCAAATATATATAGGGTATATATACTGAACCTTTTTTTGAATAAATAATTTAGCGTACTTAAACTTTGTATTCAATATTCACAAATGAAATAACTTTCATTAAATCACTAGTGTCACTAGTGCCCACACGTACCTGACAGAGGCTCCTAAAGCATATGCCTTAACCCGTCCCTGTTGAAACCAAACAGAATATTACAATAATTTCAAAGGCACCTTTCAAATGTTTGATCAAATTAACAATAAAATCAATTCAACTCAGAATACCATTAGCTGAACTGAGTCCGGTAATACTATTTGATAATTTATGCGAAATTGTATTAGACGAATTTAAGAGGACATGAGTTATAATTTGATAAATACTTATGTTTTATTTGATTCTCCATTGTCAGTATATTGGCTATGGTATGAGTTTATTTAAAACGCAAATTTAATTGTTTATGAAATATTGTGAGAATAACAGGAAAGGGGGTCTAAGTTTAAGGATTGATTCTTTGTCTAAAAGCACGTGATCGGAAAGTTACCATTACATATTTGGCATGATTAATTACATCATAATTAGCCAATAGAATAATTAATGGCTGTGAATCTGAGAATATATAATTAATAGAATGTGCGTTCTAGGTTAGACACCAGGCAGATTTTAAGAGAGGAGAGACCGTTGAGGTTCAAGGGACACCACCTGGTTTCAGAATGCCCTGTTAACTCTTAGGAGAGTCATATGATGTATTGGGATCCGTCAGAAAACTCGTTCTACGGAATGGTGGGGTCGAGAGAGTGGAGAGTGACTTTGTTATGCTTGTAACTTTGTAACCTATATGCAGCGCTTAATATAAAATGTAGAAACGAAATGTGGTATTGTTGTTCCTGTTGATACCATTTAAGATGCAGTATATTCAATCACAATGTGATGTCGTCATTAATGGGGAATGTCAGAATGACATTTAAAGATACGTCCTCACCAGTTAAAGAATTACAAATGCAACTAGAGACAATACTAGGCGATCAAGGGCTGTTCCAAAATATGTAATAAGAAACGATGTATGGGTTATACGTCGGATGTGGCGACTGGTTTTTGGTGTTGTCCGCTCTCCGCGTCTGACAGACGGTCATTGGTGCTACAGTCCGCCACGTACAGTATTTATTTGCAATGGTCATAAATATCCCATTTTATTCTTACATTGTACTTGTTCTTGATAATTTGACTGCGAATATAAATTTAAGATCAAATACTCTGATACGGTTATTCATAAACAGGTTATAACTAGAATTTACGTCTCTTTTTTTGTGGCTACATACACCACAATGGTTGTTGCATTGTGATTCTTCGGGTTGATAAAAAAAAAAGAAAAATCTTTCTACTGTAAAATATTAATGGATCATTGACATCATAATCAAGGGTAATAACTCGGGAATTAATTATTAGAGATTGTTGTTAAAGCCTTCACAAAGATAAAACGAGATTTCCTAAGTCAGCAAAAGGATCATTACAATGCATATACATTTCAAGTGAGTTAGAGAACTTTTGTCTTTAGAGTGTTCACAAGATTTTACAGTTGATCAAGGGCAATAACATGGAAATAATTTGTGAATGCAGGCGTATAAAATGGTAAATAAAAGGAAATGAAAAGTTTACCTGAAACATGCCTTTAGAGTGTTCACAGGATTTTTACAGTTGATCAATGGCAAAAACACGAAAAGAATTTGTGAATGCAGGCGTATAAGATGGTACACAAAAGAAAATGGAAAGTTTACCTGAAACTTGCTGTTTATTTGATATAATCCGGTACCATTTCCAGCATTAGGTACTGAAAGATAGGATACCATATATAGATTATCAGCCCAAGCCATCAAAGCACCAATACCACATTCTGATCTCTTGGGGGCACTTTCAGCTGTTACTGCAAGATCAGGGAAAATACCTCCAACATTGAAAGGTAATCCTGGATTAACCATGGCATGTGATGAGTTTGGTGAAGCTGGAGTTGGTATAGGTGGTGCTGTTGGTATATGAGGTTCTGGAACGCTTATTACATATTTGGCATTCTGTGCATATCCTCCATTGGTTAAAAAGGCCAAAAATCCCCACAAAACCCATTTAAACATGTTGTTGATATGAAGTGTACTTAACTAGTTTTATCAATGAAAGATACTACTGTTATCTTTTGATACCTCCTTTGATTAAAGTCCAATATAATATAATATGAAACTCAATACAAACAATTGTGTTTTAATTTATTTTACACAGTCAATGAAATGAAATGGGGTTTAACGTCCTACTGGGCTGACAGAGCTCAGTGTTAATCAGGGGTAACTCAACAATGTGTCTTGTCATCTGGTTTGTCTGCAGGGTTTCCTTTTTGATTGTAAGGTGTGGTGCTCACTCCTGCACGGGGGTTTGGATGGCCAAATGGTTAGCATGTGCGCGCTGTATCGTAAGGCCCGTCGTTGAGTCAACTGGCGTGGTTTTGAATTCCCGGTTGTACGTGACAAGGAGTAGGGTTGCCTGTCCAACCTCGTGGGTTTCCTCCTTCCTCCCACAGCTCAAGAGCCCTACGCGCAAGCGAATTATTGAAATAAAAATAAACCATATGTTAGGCCCGAAATGACCTAGTTTGTGTCGAGTGGACGTTAAAACCCATTTCTCTCTCTCTCCTGCACTACTAATACAATCCGCAATTAGAAATACTGACTTCATTGTAAAGAAGCTTTGTTAATTTGATGTTATTTGTCGTTTTCGAGTTGGGCAACTAATTATGGTTAAGAATTTCTGTTTGATGAAACAACAACTAATAGATCATTCTGTTTAAGAGGGGAGGGGCTCAACGGACAATATGGCACCTGTTACAGACAATATCGGGCACAGATTTAGGCTTTGTCAGGCACAAAACCTCTGATGCCTGTCATTTTGTCCGGCACTGTTTGGGCCTACTCTTTATTGTGAATGAGAGAGAGAGAGAGAGAGAGAGAGAGAGAGAGAGATTATGTCTACTCCACACAAACTATGTTATATGGGACTAATATATGGTTCGATTTAATTATAATAATTCGGTTGCGCGTAGGGGTCTTTAGCAGTGGGAGGAAACGGGAGGACCCGGAGAAAACCCACGAGGTTGGACAGGCGACCCTAATCCTTGTCACGTCTTTATTTCGAATTTCAACTGTCAAGGGTCCTTTTAGGAGCATGCCAATGTGTACACGGGACTTTAATTTTCTGTCCCATCTGAACATGTATATGTTGTCCCTTGCCAGGCCCTCTCTGCATCACGGACAAGGGTGCAGGAGAGGAATAGGGTCAAAGGTCTTCAAACCCTCCAAAATAGTAAGACACATCAACAATTTCTTGTTTTTTCTTTTAGCACATATTTATTTAATATAATATCAACTGTAACTCATTCATTAGAGCACAAAATATATCAGACATTCACATAATAATCAACAAAATATGTACACAATTTATATACAACATGTTTGACTAACTTTATATTATAAAGTTTATAACATCATTTAAATATATTTAGTATCATTTATATTTATATACATGTTTCCATGACAACACCAGTTTCAACAAATATTCTTTATAATCCACATCTTCAAACCCACCACAAAATATTCAACGCCAAGATCCTATTTTTATCTAATACAGAGAGAGAGTGAGAGAAATGGGGTTTAACATCCACTCGACATAAACTAGGTCATTTCGGGACTAACATAGTTCAATTTTATTTCAATAATTCGCTTGCGCGTAGGGATCTTTAGCAGTGGGAGAAAACCGGAGGACCCAGAGAAAACCCACGAGGTTAGACAGGCGACCCTACTCATTGTCACGTACACCCAGGGAATCAAAACCACACCAGTTGATCATCTAATACACCAAAAATTGTATATTTAAAACATATGTTTTCCAGAGGAAAAACTGAGGCACATGGCAGAGTAATAAGTAACGTAAAATCAAGGAATACCACAACTCAAAATAAAAACCAGGCCCCCAACACAAGATTTTCATTCAAATGGAGGGCTCGAACTGCTACCATTTTTAAAAACTTATATTTGATCCACACGTTTTTGGTTTAGATTACTCCGGTCCAAATAGTCACCATTTTGACAAAAATATTTGTCTTGAATTGTGTATGAATTGTCAAAGTAGATGCAGATCTTATATCTGTACATCTTATGATTGACTTTTCGTTGGAAGTAGGCTATACAGAATGCATTATTAACTGTGAGACATTTCCCCATAAGGAGTTCATGGCTAGAGTCATCCAGACTAGAAGTTTGTAAATACATCTGCACAGATTTTAAATGGAGAAAAAAAAAAATCAGGAAAATTGTAAATATATTTCATTTTATTTTAAAAATAGTAGATAATTTAGAAGACCTTTTGGACAGGTTTCTGAAAATTAATAAATGATGTCACCCACGGAGACCAGGGGTGCATATTATTTCACAATGTACCCTTTTTCCTCAATATGCCTTCTGTTCTTTCTCACATTCCTGCCTGTGTCACTCGCACTTTTCTTAGGGGGGAGGGGCTCTCAGTCAGAAAATCGTTCCTTACAGCCCACACTAGTTCAAATAAATTTAATACAGATGGATGATAACTTTTGTCGTTAAGAGTGTTCACAAGGTACTACAAAGTGAAACAAGGGCTATAACTCTTAGAAGCAATTGACAGAAATTGTCATAAATGTAAACAACATATATATAGATGTCAAAATTATTGGATGATACATATTGTCTAGAGAATGTTCGAAAGAAATTGTGGACAACGGATAGATAGATGGATGGAGGCGACGACAATATACGAAGACATTTTTTATGTGGGCGTATAATAAAAATCTTATTTGGGTTAAAAGTAATACAAATTTAATTGCAATCGTTGTCCGAATCCCGATGAATGTTTGATAGCAATATAAACCGTGGGTTGAATTTGTCGGCCATTGATTGGCAATTCTTGACAATCAGCAGAGACAATTAAAGACATTAAATATTTGTATCTTTATTCAGAATAAAGAATTTTGACTGAACTTTTCAATATATGCACATGGCATTATCTATTTTTGAATTACTATAGCAAGAACGTCCACCTCTTTCTCTAAATCTCACATAATGCCTCTTTAACTGTGACAGTTGTTAAACATGCATTATGCAAGAGCTAAATCTGCCTATTGCAGATCTTTCTTTAGGCCTGAAATCTTTTCTAATTTATTAATTAGACATTGATTAACTTATCCAGGCCATAATCAACTCTCGATGGCATCAGATTTCTCCGATATTAAATAGCTTAGAACAATTCAGTCATATTTTGATTTAAGCTAAAAATGAAAAAGCGAGACTTAACTTCGAACAACCAGTATGGTGGTTGAAATTATTGCACACATCTGTCAAACCTTCAAAGGCTATAATGTCTTCGCTTGCAATAGAGTAATTTGAATGAAATTTTCAAATTATTCATTTTACATCATCTACTTTCGAACTATTATAGCAAGAATGGCTAGTTCTTTATCTAAATCTTACATAATGTATCTTTAAGGTGATAGATGGCCAATTGCTTTAATGACCATTGTTCAATCATCTTCTGCTAGGCATATTTTAGAGCAGCTCAATAATTCCCCTTTACAGACATAGACATACATCTACCAGGCCCCAAGTTCACAAAGCATTCTCAGACTTAAGTTAAGAATTTACTCAACTTTCAATCACTGTTTATGACAAATATCTTTCATCCAGAAACACAAAACATTGCACATAGTTTCTTATTGATGTATTTGATACATTAAAACAACAGAAGTTTTATAAAGGGCTATAGTTTAGTTAAAATAAGGCAAATAATTTTGAGTAAATTCTTAACTTCAGCCTGAGAATGTTACATGTATGTGAACTCGTGGCCAGGTCCAGAAGCCATACACATATACATAGTTTTCAAATTTTGGCCCATCAGATTAGTTCAGATAAGGAGAGTTGCCATTCAGGAAAACCTAGCTCCCAGCAGCTTTGATTTTTTATGTTTTGAAACCAAAAATTATGTAATTATAGCAAATTTCACAAATTATGACCATGAACTCATTTCACTTTACCTCCGGGGATCTCAGTCGTTAATATGGCTACCAGTATATCGCTTATTAATAGGCATGATCTACATTAAACATACATTATGCAAGAGCTAAATCTGCCAATTGCAAGGTCTTTATTTAGGCCTGAAATGTTATCTAAACAAGCCAACAGTGAGGCTGATGTCCCCCGCCGAAATAGGAAAATAATTAGAGGACACATATAAATTTATCACAAATTATCTTTTACAAAGTACTGAACAATCAAACAGTATATCTTTACTTATAGTCTAACAATCAAAGTAGGAGAGTTATTGTTTTCCAAAGTCTCGACCAATCAAATTGCGTATCGCTCTGCTTACCCTGAGCAGAAAATGCTCATTATCAAACTTAGTCAAGGTATTACTGTAATGAAACTATACACCAAGTTTCATCAATCTCACTTAATTAGAACTAAAGTTATCGTGTCCCAAAGCATCAACCAATCAAATTGCTTATCTCTGCTTACCCTAAGCGGAAAATGCTCATCTTCGAACTCCATCAAGGCATTGACCTAATCAACACATACACCAAGTTTGAACATTCTAGCTCAATTAGGAAGAGAGTTATCGTGCCCCAAAGTATCAACCAATCAAATTGCTGCTTACCCTGAGCAGAAAATGCTCATTATCAAACTTAGTCAAGGTATTACTGTAATGAAACTATACACCAAGTTTCATCAATCTCACTTAATTAGAACTAAAGTTATCGTGTCCCAAAGCATCAAAATCCATCAAGGCATTGACCTAATCAACACATACACCAAGTTTGAACATTCTAGCTCAATTAGGAAGAGAGTTATCGTGCCCCAAAGTATCAACCAATCAAATTGCTTATATCTGCTTACCCTAAGCGGAAAATGCTCATCTTCGAACTCCATCAAGGCATTGACCTAATAAACACATACACCAAGTTTGAACATTCTAGCTCAATTAAAAGTTATCGTGTCCCAAATCATCAACCAATCAAATTGCTTATATCTGCTTACCCTAAGCGGAAAATGCTCATCTTCGAACTCCATCAAGGCATTGACCTAATCAACACATACATCAAGTTTGAACATTCTAGCCCAATTAGGAAGAGAGTTATCGTGTCCCAAAACATCAACCAATCAAATTGCTTATCTCTGCTTACCCTAAGCGGAAAATGCTCATCTTCGAACTCCATCAAGGCATTGACCTAATAAACACATACACCAAGTTTGAACATTCTAGCTCAATTAGGAAGAGAGTTATTGTGTCCCAAAAAGTGTGACGGACAGACAGACGGACGGACAGACGGACAGACAGACGGACAGACAGACGGACAGACGGACGAACCCATTTTAATAGTCCCCTGCTTTCTTCGAAAGGCGGGGGACAATTATTTAGACATTAATTAACTTATCCAGACTATAATCAACTCTCGATGTCATCGCTAGCCTGCAATATTTACTGGATTAGAACCCAGTCTGCTGCTTCTGATTAAATCAAAAAATGGATAATCGAGACTATATTTTTTATTGTATCGACTTTAGTAACGATGATCGAACTGCTGCTCAACGCTCATTGATAACTAAGTTAAACAAGAGCATCGCTAACGCAGCAATATACGTCCACATTCCTGTTTTGTTTGATATGGTCCAGTTTGCATTGAGGGTCTGTGAAATAAAACTGGGTTGTAGGACTGCTATCAGTTTAACGTTTCGTTCACATTAACAGAACACAATTTTTATTTTAAAACAATCGATGTCTTTATTCTAAAAGCATGACGTTTAGAATAGGTATCCCCATTTCAAAAGGATCGGTTAAGAATTGCGGCCTGTAGGCAAAACACAAGACACACAAACATTAGGCGTGACTCTGTCCCAAGGGGTTGAGCATGCACCAAAAATAATAATAGAGGCCAGCCTTAGGATTAAGGAATAAGTGTAAAAACGTAGCCTTAGGCTATAAGGAATAAGTCTAAAAAAAATTTCAAGATGATCGATTAAGAAATGCGGTCTGCAAGTGACACACAGACATAAAAAAAGAAAATGGGCGTAGCTCTGCCCCTGGGGGTTGGGTATTCACCACAACTAATAGGGATGTTCCTTAGGATAGAAGGAATATGTATGCTAAGTTTCAAGGTGATACGATAAGAAATGCGATCTGTAGATGACAAACAAATAAATAAATATAAGGGATGGGCGTGGCTCTACCCCTGGTGGTCGGGCATGCACCAAAAACAATAGGGATCATACTTAGGGTATAAGCAATTCATATGAAAAATTTTCAAGACGATTGATTAAGAATTGTGGCCTGTAGGTGACACACAGACATAAAAAGAAAAGAAAATGGGCGTGGCTCTGCCCCTGGGGGTAAAAAAACAATAGGGGTCATCGTTAGGGTATAAGCAATTCATATGAAAAAATTTCAAGACAATTGATTAAGAATTGTGGTCTGTAGGCGACACACACACATAGAAAAAGAAAATGGGCGTGGCTTTGCCCCTGGGGGGTGGGCATGCACCCAAAACGATAGGGATGTTCCTGAGGGTACAAAGAATAAGTATGCAAAGTTTCAAGATGATACGTTAAGAAATGCGGCCTGTAGACGACAAACAAACAAATACAAAAATGGGCGTGGCTCTGCCCCGGGGAGGCGAGCATGCACTAAAAACAATAGGGATCATCCTTAGGGTATAAGGAATAAATATGTAAAGTTGATACGTTAAGAAATGCGGTCTGTAGATGACAAACAAATAAATAAATATAAGGAATGGGCGTGGCTCTGCCCCTGGGGGTCGGGCATGCACCAAAAACAATAGGGATCTTCCTTGGGGTATAAGGAATAAGTATACCAAGTTTGAAGAAAATCCAGTAAGAATTGCGCCCTGTAGGCGACACAAAGACACACGAAAAGAAAATGGGAAATGGGCGTGGCTCTGCCCCTGGGGGTTGGGCATGTACCCCAAACGATAGGGATGTTCCTTAGGGTACAAAGAATGTGTATGCAAGATTATAAGTTAAGAAATGTGGCCTGTAGACGACAAACAAACAAATACTAGAAATGGGCGTGGCTCTGCCCCTGGGGGTCGGGCATGCACCAAAAACAATAGGGATCTTCCTTGGGGTATAAGGAATAAGTATACCAAGTTTGAAGAAAATCCAGTAAGAATTGCGCCCTGTAGGCGACACAAAGACACACGAAAAGAAAATGGGCGTGGCTCTGCCCCTGGGGGTTGGGCATGCACCCCAAACGATAGGGATGTTCCTTAGGGTACAAAGAATGTGTATGCAAAGTTTCAAGATTATTAGTTAAGAAATGTGGCCTGTAGACGACAAACAAACAAATACTAGAAATGGGCGTGGCTCTGCCCCGGGGGGTCGGGCATGCACCAAAAACAATAGGGATCTTCCTTGGGGTATAAGGAATAAGTATACCAAGTTTGAAGAAAATCCATGAAGAATTGCGCCCTGTAGGCGAACCACAGACACACACACACACACACACACATACATACACACATACATACATACACACACACACACACACACACACACACACAGACAGGGGCGACGGCATAATACGTTCACATTATGAATGTGGACGTATAAAAATGGATATTCGAGACTATGTTTTTTCTCGGTTCAGAGTGGATCAATTTGTCTGAAATTTTCAGCAAATTCCCTTTATATTATCTTGATTTTAACTATCATAGTGGGAACTGCCAGCTCTTTATCTAATCTCCCATAATGTACAGTATCTTTAACAATGGTTTGATAAGTGTATACTATTGAACCACACAATGAAATTGTACCTTTGATGTGCCCTGATATTCTGTGATGTGATGTCACTATAATATTGAAATTAAGAGGTATTGATAACATAGCTCACATTAAATAATTCAAACACTTTTAAAAAGCTCTGAAAAACTCATGGTCAGATTCATTTACTTACATAACAAGTCGAACATTGTTTATGTTAATAAAACTCCAAATTTAAGATCTCTTTGAAATTTAGCACTCATCAAGTTTTCAACCAGAATATATTTCATTTCTCATCCATACATAATCATCTATAGGGTTCACTTTCTTATATATTCACAATATATACATAAAACTTATTTAATTTCACATTCAGTCATCTACTCCACTGTCCACTTTTAAATTCACTACTAGGAATATATCACAGATCAATGTCAATTCGTATTGACAGACTATCAGCTTTTTTTCTCTGGCCGTGGATAAAGTTCTTGTAATTTTAGCACCAAACTTTTAATCTCTTCTCGTTTTCTTGCGCAGACTTCTGAATGGAACCAGTAATCTAAACCCTTCATAGGAACAGTGAAATCCATAATAGGTGACTAAAATAACAATGTCAAATAAATTAATATAGTAAACAAAATGGGACTTAATGTTTTACTTATAAACAGGGAGCCATGGTGGCTAAGAGAGTAAGACACTAGCTCGCTAGTCTTGAGATCGGATCGCAGGTTTAATCCCTGTGTTGGTCAAGAAAGTTTGTGATTTTTCGGCGTGGTTTCTTCTTGTCAGTAGTGCAGGACAGAGGGTCTGACAAGGACAGCTGTTTAGTCGTTCAGATGGTACTAAAAACCAAGGTCCCATGTACAATATACACATTGGCATCCATGCAAAAGATCCCTTGGCAGTTGGAAAATTTATATGAGAGTAGGCAGTAGCCAGGAGATCTTTAATGTATTACCAATGGTAACCCTATACATGGTTCGCAGTTATTACGGTACACCCACTAACTCACTTGCCCCATGTTCAAAATAGCGATGGGCAAAATAGCCTGTGAAAAATATGATGTATGTAAACAAAAGATATATATATATATATACAGTTGCCCACATTAACTTATAATTCAAGAGATATTTAACTGTTGAGAAAAAGCACGATGCCACAGGGGAGCCATGGTGGTTCAGTGAGTAAGATGTTGGCTGACTAACCGGGAGGTTCCGTGTTCGGTCCTGGAGTTGGACCCAAGAAGGTCATTTTGAAATGTGTATGGTTGTCCACACGTAACATATAGACATAATTTTATGATAGAGATAGAGAAATGGGGTTTACCGTCCACTCGACACAAACTAAGACATTTCGGGACTAACATATGGTTCAATTTTATTTCAATAATTCGCTTGCGTGTAGGGGTCTTTAGCAGTGGGAGGAAACCGGAGGACTCGGGAGAAAAACCACGAGGTTGGACATGCGACCCTACTCCTTGCCACATACAACCAGGGAATCGAAACCACGCCAGTTGACTCAATGACAGACCTTATGATACAACGCACACGTGCTAACCATTCGGCCATCCAACCCCCCATTTTATGATAGAGCTTATGATGTATGTATCTTAACAATTTTCCGAGACCTGCTTAAATTTTAGAATTTCTGGCCAAAGAATATCTGAAAGTCTCCAGATATAAATAGATGTTTGATAAGTATATGTTAATAATATTTACCTGAAAGAAACTCTCGACATATTGTAATACATATATACCACAGTCACTATAATTATTCTGTTGTGGTACTTTTGGTGAACTACCACGAAAATCTTTAAAATTTCTCTCTGTATCTTTTTTAATACTCCACTCTACTTGTAAATACCTGCAATACACAATAAACACTTTTAATATATTACATAGCAACAAAATACAATCTCACATAAATATAAATATAAATATATGAGAGAGAGAGAGAGAGAGACGGGCCAGTTACAACCCCCCAAGAATCAAAACCACCCCCATTGATTCAATGACAGACCTTCTGATACAACATGTACAGTACGCTTCAGGCGGAAGTATGAAAATAGTCCTTGTGGGCGTTTTTTCGCGGTGTTTTACCCATATACACTCCGCGGAATTAGAGACGTTCTGGGCGGAAAAAAGTCCGTGAAAATATAAAATTCGCAGTGGATTATCGCCCGCGAAAATATTAAATTCGCGGCGGATTATAGTCGGTGGAAATATCAAATTCGCGGCGGATTATAGTCCATAGTGATTTGAAATAGTCAGAGTAATTTAGTCCATATTGCCACAACGTTATTAGAAAGAAACAAATATTTAATGGAACGATATCACGAGTATATTAGTCGTTTTAGTTCACCGGTAATTCATATATTCATAATACTCTTTTCAAATTCCGTTTTGATTATTAACTAAAGTGTACCAATGTATTATTGTATTCATATCCTAAAATGTCCGTTATGTTCTAATTCGTGAATCACACCATAAAGCACAGACACATAGCAATTTTCTATGTCATTAGTTGATCCGACAAGCAGACAATGAAACCATGTTTCGTGAATTCTGATAACAATGTCTGAAAATGGACGACAATAAACATATATAGAAGGCAGCGATTTGCACGTAGGTGTTTTAAAATATGCTGTTTTTTTATAGACTGATTTATTATCCGTTTTAATTATGAACAACAATTTAACGATATTCGTAGAAATAAACGAATTAGCATAAATTGCTAGGAAGGAATATTTTCTCCTTTAACGGTAATTCAATTAAAATGACGATTCGGCTCCCAACGTTCAATATATACATGTACTTTATGTCCCCAAAATTAAAAGTCATATTGGATAGAAGCTGAAAGATTGTTTACTTATTTCAGTTTCGTATTTGACTTTACAGATTCCCCATTCCCCACATTGCAAAACAGATCAACACGTCAAATCGTTTCAGTTACAGGTATAAGGCTTAAAAATATCATGTCTTAAATAGCCCCTTCAAATATTTCTTTTTATACTTTAACTTATAAATGCAACACACAAACTGCTTACCGTATTTATACAGTTGACGATAAATATCCTAAATAATAATCCGGTTCGGTTTCTTTCCAATAATTATCAATGAACATATCGAAGAACCTTTAATAAAACACCTAACAACCAGATCTTATGAATGGGATCTTGTCCGGACAGAACTTAGATTAATAGTAACTGATCAAAGAGTGAACATCAAACAGAACAAAGGAAATTGCCTCACAAAAAAGCATGCGTTAGTTATAAGGGATGATTTGTGTGCCAAATTAAAAATATTATCACCGACAGGGGTTCACTAGTCCGCCGCTATAAGAAATACTATAATGTGGGTATCAATAAACCTAACCCTAACTCAACCCTAATGATAGATATCGGTGGACTAATGAACCCTAACCCAACCCTAACCCTAAATAAAGATATCGGAACCCTAACCTAACCCTAATTCATCGTAGCCTGTTAGTAATTTAGCCGTGACAACCGCACCTATTTAGTGTGAAAATCCAGTTTGTTCGCGTCCAAATTGTAATTATTCTTTATTAATGAAGTCAACTATTTTGGGAAATGATTACCTACTGACAATTCAGAATGAAAGTATTGTCTACAAGACTACGACATGGTAACAATTTGTTGTTAAAGGGGCTTCTATTGTAGTCAATTATCAATTCCCTTTGATGACACATGCGAATTCACATAATTTGGAAACTTGATTGACAGTATGCATTGACTCAGACTCTTTGGTGCCGAAATGAATAGGTCGTCATGGTATTATGTACATGTTTGCGTCAAGGTTGACGTTGACTTCTGGCGAGGTGTGCATTTAATTCATTTGTGATTTAAATCCGAAGATATAATACTTCAGGTGTGATTTACCGATTTACAATGCATTGTGAAACTTATTTGTCAGAATGGGAATGGATATTTTAATGGACAAAACCTTTCGCCCACGGTAAGACCAACATCTATGTGTATAAATTTTGAAATTTTCGTAATTTGAACGAGTTTGAATGTCTTAAAAATGTCGAACATATTGATGAAGTAATGAATCGTACAGCCATAACTCTGTTTATTATATTATATAAAAGCCTGCCAATTTTTGATATTTGTTATATTTTCAATGTAATACAGCAAAATCTGTGTGTCTAACCGTGTTAAATTAACAATCTTTTTTTTGCATGCCTTATTAGCTGATATTCGACTACGATATGATGACTGCGGTGCAATTGCACTATAAATAAACCTAGCTATTTTAAAACATTTACATGTACGGATGTGCTGACTGTACATGCATGGAAAGTCCGACTTAAAGGGGCACGGTGCGATATAAGGGATGGTTTTTGTGCCAAATTAAAAAAAATATCACCACCGGTTCAACGAATGATTTTAACAGAATATGTCACCTGCGAATATGATGATTAAGTATTCTTTTCACACGGCGCATACGCTAACCTTTAAGTCTGTACCGATTCAAAAATTGAATTATCTTTTATATCCACATTTTTAAATCCCGAGTTTTATCGTAAATAAAATTAATAGAAAGTATTGTTTACAAGAATACGACATGGTAACAATTTGTTGTTAAAGGGGCTTCTATTTTAGTCAATTATCAATTTCTTTTGATGACACGTGTGAATTCACGTAATTAATTAGGAATCTTGACTGACGGTATGCATTGACCCAGACTCTTTGGTGCCGAAATCAAGGTATTATCCGACTGATACATGTGTTCAGCAAGGTTGACGGTGACTTCTGGCTATGTGTGCTTGAAAACAGGAGATGAAGGCATATATTACTTGTTCGGGTGTGATTTATAAATTTAAAATGCATTTTGTGACATATTTGTCCGAATGAAAATGGCTATTTCGATGGACAAAACTTTCGCTAACGGTAAGACCAGCATCTATGTGTGTAAACTTTGAAATTTTCGTAATTTGAATGAGTTTTAAATAGAAGATCGATGCAAGTCTTAAAAATGTCGAACATATTGATGAAGTAATTTACGGTACAGCCATAATTCTGTTAATTTTATTATTTAAAAGCCTGTTTGATTTTTGTTATTTTTCAATATAAGCCAGTAAAATCTGCGTGTCTAACCGTGTTAAATTAACAATCTTTCTTTTGGCATGCCGATATTCGACTACGATATCACTGCCGTGGAATCGCACGATAAATAAACCCATTTCAAACCAGCTATGGATGTGCCGACTGTACATGCGTGGGAAGTCCGACTTTTTAAAATTTCGCGGTGGGCGGCGGATTAAAATAATCGCGGAGGTCGGCGGTTTATTTAAATTCGCGGCGGAATTTTGAGCGTGGCCAGAGCGGATTGATTAACTGACGTCCGCGATTTTTCATTTCCGCTCAGGTCGGACCTCGGGGAAATTTAGTAGTTCCGCTTGAAGTGTACTGTACGCGCTAATCATACAGCCATCCAACCCCCCATATAAATACATTAAATTCCAAGGTAGTGATGAATAAACCTTTCACTGGAAGTGGTAGAAGGATGGAAGACACTCTGTAACCCTGGATCTTAGTGATTTGGTCGGGGGAAGAACAGGAAAAAAATCCTAGTAAAAAATCTAAATAAATTAATCCCCGAGCAACAACATTGTGTGACGTATAATGGTTTAATCCAGGAGGTGTTTCAGGATTTATAAATATATATGAAATGGGAGATGTGACAGACTTAAAGGAGCCGCTAATATTTAGGAACTAGTGTAATAATGTAATATGAATGTATATAATCTGATTTACATTCAATCGTTACCATTTTTACTCTAATTTCAAATTAGTTATGTTCGGCGAAATATGCCAGCTCAGTCTCAATCGAATGGCAATCTCTATCGCCTGGTTATTCCAGTCTACACTGATAGTATTTATTGCGCATGCTCTCCAGATAAGAATATGATGTCAGCATTTGACTTGACATGTGGAATATGTCTAGCTTCGTTCTTAGAGTCCCTTGTTACAAATGGTGCTGAAACGCATTATGGTACACGAATGGTAAAATGTTTATTCTGTCTTAAATATTGGATATCAGAAGCCCATCTTTTCCCGGTAAGTCCACAACACTAATGCTGATTTAAATTGACAAATAATACGTGTTTTCAGTATCAAAGACTTTTGAATAATATTGAGACTTTGCTATTTTAAGATTTGTCTTAATTTCTACCAGACTGCAGTGTTTTCAACTTATGGATTTTTCAAACCAAACTATTGAGTGAGTTTTTAATAGCACAGGATTAATGTTATTTCATAAAGGATAACATCACTTACTCTTTAAGAGTTTTACAAACAGAAGCTCTTGATGGACCAGCCAATGAATCAAATATCAGAATACATGGCCTGAAATAAACAATAGTCAATAATCATTAAATAGTTATCATAATACAACATACTTCTAATTTATGCATTTCATTTTCCGACGTGGTTTCCCCTTGTCAGTGGTGCAAGACGGAGGGCCTGACAAGGACAGCTGTCCAGTCGTTCTGATGGAACGAATAACCGAGGTCTCCTGTATACATTGGCTTGCACGTAAAAGATCCCTTGGCAGTTGGAATTTGATATAAGAGTAGGCCATAGTCCCCCTGCCCAGGCAAAATTTCCCTCATAGCACACTGTATGGCACATACCCGTCTTCATTAACCAAGTCGGAGCAGAACAGTAGGATATTAAAACCCATTTCAGGCAACAAATCATATGCCCACACTTGTGAAGGTGATGTTACTAGTTGGTTTCTTTTTAGAAACATTCATGCTTTCTTTGATTAATTTGAAAAGTTTAAAGATACGTTGTGGGAGATTAGATAAAGTCCTGGCAGTTCTCACAATAATAGTTAAAAACTAGATAATGTAAAGGCAATTTGCTGAAAATTTCAGTCAAATTGATCCACTCTGAAGCAAGATTTTAGCGATTGAATTTTCGACCTAGCCTCTCTCATCATTACTAAAGTCGGTACGACAAAAAACATAGTCTCGATTATCCATTTCAGGATTTAATCATGGATGGGCGTTGAGCAGCAGATCAGATCCTAATCCAGTAAATATCCCAGTCTAGCGATGACATCGAGAGTTGAATATGGTCTGGATAAGTTAATTAATGTCTAATTAATAATTTAGATAACATTTCAGGCCTAAAGAAAGACCTGAAATAGGCAGATTTAGCTCTTGCATAATGTATGTTTAAATAAACAACTTACTGTTTTTTTCCTAAACAGTATTCTCTATTACATGATTCTTCAATGCATTTTTCTGGATCTAGTGGAATTCCTGTTATAACCTATAAAAATAAACGTTGTAAAACATGCCAAATTATTACCATATTAATGTGTTCTTAAGTTCTAAAGCTATTGAATTGAAAATGGCACAAGTAGTTAGGAAGTGTAATAAACAAGGGAAAACTAAAATTACAAAAAAAAAAAAAAAAAAAAAAAAATGTTACTAGGGTAACACATTTTTTGGGAAAAAGTATGAAAAATGTTGGTACACCATTTCTCTGGCACTAATAAAGATAAATTTCTCATTTTAGGACGAGTTTTTCTCTATAATTTTCATAGTTTCTTGGAAAACGGTAGTTTAAAACATTTGCCTAACCACAATATTTTGTGGGGGGTTAGATGGCTGAATGGTTAGCGTACGCGCGCTGTATCATAAAAGTCTGTCATTGAGTCGACTGGCGTGGTTTCGAATCCGCGGTTGTACGTGACAAGGAGTAGGGTCGCCTGTCCAATCTCGTAGGTTTTTTCCGGGTCCTCCGGTTTCCCTCCCACTGCTAAAGACCCCTATGTGCAAGCGAATTATTGAAATAAAATTAAAAACTATATGTTAGTCCCGAAATGACCTAGTTTGTGTCGAGTGGACATTAAACCCCATTTCTCTCTCTCTCTTTCACAATATTTTGTCTTTTGAGAAATATTTTGATAATATTAATGATAATTCAAATTGCTTTCTGTCTCATTTGTTTATATATCCTGCAAATTTAGTGAAGATATCATAATTAGTTACAGAGATATAGTGTACCTACACTTTTCATAAATTTTCCCCCAAAAATGGGTTACCCTGGCAACAACTTTTTTTTAAAAGTTACTTTTCCCTTCTTTATTACATTTCCTAACTACTTGTACCATTTTCAATACAATACCTTTACAATTTCAGAACAAGAATTTTTGGGTAGCCTCCCCCCCCCCCCTTAATTTTACTACTGAATGCTAATTATGCCTTTACCCGACATGGTATCGTTCAATTGAAATAGGTCATTTTGAGACTAACATATGGTTCGATGTTATTTAAATAATTCGCTTGCGCGTAGGGGTCTTTAGCAATGACAGGAAACCAGAGGGCCCGGAGAAAACCCATAAGCTTGGACAGACGACCCTACTCCTTATCACATACAACTGTGGATTTGAAACCATGTCAGTTGACTCAATGACACCCTAACCATTCGGTCATCCAACCCCCACACCCCCGACAAGGAGTAGAGTTGCCTGTCCAACCTCATGGGTTTTCTCTGAGTCTTCTGGTTTCCTTTCACTGCTAAAGAACCCTATGTACAAGCGAATTATTGAAATGAAAATTAAAACCATAAGTTAGTCCCAAAATGACCAAGCACTAAACTGCATTTTTCTCTCTCTCTCTCTTTCCTGCGTATCTTATAGATAAAACAATAGGCTCACCTTGGATGGAGTTGAATTCTCAGCCTCCATGGGCGTTTCTTCTTCTGGTTTTGGTTCCACAGGATTATTGGCCTGTAATAATCAATCCATACATGATTTATTTATTACACCATTTTCGGAGGGCCTGACAAGGACAGCTGTCTAGTCGTTCGGATGGGACGGAAAACCGAGGTCTCGTGTACACATTGGCGTGCACGTAAAAGATCCCTCGACAGTTGAAATTCGATATAAGAGTAGGCCGTAGTGCCGCTGCCCGGGCAAAATTTCCCTCATAGCACACTGTATTGCGTATGCCCGTCTTCATTAGCCCAGTTTAGGAGCAGAAAAGTAGGACGTTAAACCCCATTTCATTTTATTACACCATTTTTATAAAATTCAAACATATATCATATAAATGAAAGGGGCTAAACTTCTAATTCAATATTTTCCATAAAATTCAAAATTAAAAACACAATTTAAAATTCAATATTAGTGATTATTTTCCATATAAATTGTGTTTTTAGAAAAATTAAAGATACATTATGTAAGATTTAGATAAAGAACCAGCCATTCTTTCTATAATAGTTCGAAAGTAGATGATGTAAAATGAATAATTTGAAAATTTCATTCAAATTACTCTATTGCAAGCGAAGATATTAGCCTTTGAAGGTTTGACAGATGTGTGCAATAATTTCAACCACCGTACTGTTTGTTCGAAGGTAAGTCTTGGTCCTCCATATTTGATTAAATCAAAGTATCGCTGAACCATTCTAATCTATTTAATATCGGAGAAATCTGATGCCATCGAGAGTTGATTAAGGCCTGGATCAGTTAATTAATGTCTAATTAATAATAATTTAGATAACATTTAAGGCCTAAAGAAAGACCTGCAATAGGCAGATTTACCTCTTGCATGTTTAATGTTTGTTTTCTGTCATACAATGTATGGTATACTGACTTTATTATCTGCCTTCTAATAAATTATACCAGTGGCTTCTGTTGGCTTGTTCTAAAATATGATCTGATGTTGAGGAATAAACATATAGTGAAGTGTACTTACACTGTCTTGACTAGATTCTTCTCCTGTTGATTGAGCTACTGTTGGAGGGGATGTTGAATCTGGTGAAGCAGGAGGTGGTGGTGGAGGCACCTTTAATGGGACTGGTAAAAATGGACAAAACTGTGGTTCCTCTAATCCAGGAAAACAAATGATGGCTAAAAACCAATGAGAACTGAAAAACAAACATAAAATAGAAAATTAACATATTTTACAAGAGATGCTTTAAAGACATTGCAAATAGTCCAAAACAGATAAATTAATAACTACTGATGATACACACCTATTTCCAATTTTTGGTTTTATTTTAAAGATACTTTCCCGCGTACAAACTGTGTGATTTGATGATATATTTGGACTAAAAAGCATGTTCAAACTAATTAATCTATCAAAAATTTGCTTCAAATCCCTCTTGAAACTTTGAATTCGTCAGGAGATACCGCAAGCTATAAATAAACTGTTATTAGACGCCATGTCAGTCAGCTTAATTTATTGAGGGAGGGCCCAATTTTCAGAATGTATTTTTCGTTACTTATTGTCCATTTATCATACATATTGAGGTCTAAGTAAATTCTTAATTATTTTCTATAAACTAAATTTTCCGCCATTTAATTGCAGAGTCTTTTGCACATTAACACCCCTCAATGTTCCCCAAACCGCCTAACCATTTGATCAAGAAATAAGAACCGCTCCCTCAGTCAAGCTAGCACACAATAAGCTGGCAGACAACAACAGTCTGTGATACATTTTTGCCCAGTGCTTGCCCAATGGGTGTTTTTGGGTAATCCAGTATTTTCCTAGTATACTTTCCATATATACCAAATTTGCCATACTTTTACTGGAAATAACCAACCGATAATACTTTTGGGACAATTCAACTTTAAACAAATCAGATACTTACTGTTCATTGATTGGTACAATAATAAAGTCTTTTTCAAACAGATCAACATGTCTTGTCCATGTTTTGACTTTGGAATGTCGCTTTACATGTGGTCTGTAATACAAGAAGATATATTAATAATCCCAAGAAGAAGACGATAAAATCTCACACACGATAGAAAAGAGGGGCGGAAGGGTCCCCATAACAGTGCAGGCAAGTTTGGATCTCAGTGATGCATCCGAGGAAAAACCGGAACCAATCCTTGTAAATAAATCATAGTAAAAATTCCCGGTAACAAACTTGACAAAACTGTGTGGATATAAAAAGGATTTATCCAGGACGCGTATCGGGCGTTCGCCATTTATCAACTGGTTACAAAAATAAGCCTGTTACGGGCATATATAGACAATAGAATTATTGTGCATGCAATCAGCCCAATATTATTTAACATGATGATAAATGACCTTCCTAGCTACGGGGGGAAGGGCACTGAATCCGCACTATTTGCTGACGACAGCTCGTTCTGGAAAGCTTCAAATAACATAGGCATAATCAAAAAATCGCTTCAATATACCCTAAAACAAATCTCAAAATGGGCAAACGATTGGGGTTTTAAAATCTCAGAAGGGAAAACAGTGGCAATGCTGTTTCACCCGACTGACACTAACAGGAAAATCGACTTAAGTCTTAACGGCTCAAAAATTGAATTTAAATCAGAAGCCAAATTTTTAGGAATGACATTCGATTCAAAACTTTCCTGGAAAGCACATATAGATAGCGTAGTAAGTCGCACATCAAAAACACTCAATTTAATGAAATACATCAGAGGAATGGAATGGGGCGCAAGCAGAAGTACTCTTATGCTAATATACAGAGCACTCATCCGCTCGGTAATCGACTACGGATGTCTAGCTTATGCAAATGCAAGTGATGCACAGCTCAATAAATTAAACATAATACAAGGAAAGGCATTAAGACTAGCCACAAGAGCCGCAATAGGAACCAAAACAGTTGCCCTTCTACAAGAGATGGGAGAACTCCCGCTTGATCTTAGACGAGAGGAACTGTCACTCAAGTATTGGGGCAAACTGCAAATGCTAAAAGAAAAATGTCCGACATATAAGTGCCTCCAACAATTCAAACGAATAGGCTATAGGAAAAATACGCGTCCTATGACATTCGGGCAAATGTCAAACGATGTCTTAAATAAACACGGTTTAAAAGGGACAATAATAGAAACAAAAACTTATCCCGTCACTCCACCCTGGCAATTAAGCAATCCAATCATCAATACGCACCTAATCAACGTTACAAACAAACACGATAATCCCATAGAGGCTAGAGCACTAACACTAGAGCTGATAGACACAAAATGGGCAGACTATATTAAAATCTATACAGATGGGTCGAAAAATAATACACAGGGACTAACAGGGTACGGCATTTTCATCCCAAAAGCAAAGCTAAACATCAAGAAAAGGATACCAGAACATTGCTCTGTGTACACCGCAGAATTGATGGCCATCAAAACTGCAATAGAATGGCTTGCCACCCAAAAACACCAAAAAGCCGTTATCCTATCAGACTCCCTAAGTAGCATTAAATCCATCGAATCAGACTATTCCAAAAGCAGACAGGACATAATCCACCAAATTAGGTATATTATTCAAACAATAAAGAATAACGGAAGAGAGGTAGTCCTTGCATACAGCACTCAAGAATTCACAAGCATAGCCAAAGATAAAATTAAAAATGCATGGAAAACCTGTCTAAAACAAGAGAATACTCATCGCTATCAAATTGATAGCAATCTTGTAGACAAGGTTTACACCAATCATCCATCAATCAAAATATGCAAACTCATCACGAGGCTTAAAACGATAAACGTAATAAAAGACTTCACCTTCAATCCAATTAAATGCCCATGTGGACAAATCGCGACCACGTCTCACCTGCTAATTGACTGCAATCAATTGAGCAAAGAACGTCAATCTGTAATTAAGAATCTAGCAGAGAGGGGAAACACCCTCTGTCTCAAATCACTCCTTTCTCCACAACCCGACGATAGACACTGGACATCACAACTTGTCTGGGATTTTATTGAGAACATAGGGATGACCAAATATATAAAATAATGAATATAATCAATTAAAGAGTAGGGTGGAGCGCAAAAATGTCCTCTAGAAGGAAGCGTAAACCGCCCTACACAACTAATATAACTCCGATATATATAAAATACTGAATTTAATCAGTTAACAGTAGGGTCGAGCGCAAAAATGTCCTCTAGAAGGAAGCGTAAACCGCCCTACATAACTAAGGCCACACAAAATAAATGTCTTGTTTCTCGAGCAACTGACAGCTGAAACTGTAGGGAGGGAGGGCGGTTTCTTTTTTTTTTTTACTCATTGATGGTGCAAAATAAAATTTGGCTATTGCTGAAAATTGTTGGGGCGGGAGGGCGGTCTTTCTTTTTTTTTTTTTTTTAAATGAGAAAGTCATTACTTGTTTACGTTTTTGCTTTCCGTTATATTCAACTTTATTGTACATACTTAAAACATAAACCCAAAATCAAGTCTACTAAAACACTGAGACTGAACACTGACTGAAAGGAAAATAATTTTCCATATTTAATTCACATAATTGAAATTGGTTTAAAATAAAATTCCATACGACTATGTAATAGCCCTCCATAAAGACAACAATATTTTTAAAAACTAAGCCTCTTTCACCAGGTGTATCAAAAATAATAATCATGGTAAACAGTATTTAAAACTAAATCTAGTATCGCCGGTTTATTTATAATTATTTACCGAATTCCAACCAATGCATGTCACACCGTGTCATCGGTATTGGAGATTGCCGGAAATACTGTTTCTTGGGATATTCGGTGTGTTTCTCAGGATATTCGGTGTTCTATCCGGTGTTTATATTGAATGACTATTTAAATCTAACTAACAACTGGTCAGTAAAACCATCAAATCGGTAATCCAATTATTATTTTCCGGATTATCGAAACTACCGTAAATGTGCTAATAATGACCCAGATTCTAAGGTATGCATTATGACGACTATCGTCATCGTATCGTATCGTATTCTTAGCTATAATTAATTAACCTGTTCTACGGTTCATTATTTTATCAATAGGATTTTCCAAACAAGGACCGACTGAAGCCGGCAATATTGAGCCGATTACGATCGAATGATTGAAATATTGTCGCCAATGACTTTTAACACGAATCAAATTCTAGTTTATCAGGGGAGGTAATTAATATCACGTGATACAAAATGGAGGTTCTTTCGATATCAATAAAAAAGGCAAATCTGCCAAACTTCGCCATTGTTCGGATAAAAAAGACAGCATGTTCATCTGAATCAGTTTTAATACATTTGAATAGATATACATGTATGGCGGATGTAGGTACATGCGGGATATTTTTTTTACGACTTGCTTGTCGATGTGCGGGCGGGCGTTACATATTTATTTTTTTTCATCAAGACTAATAAATAGACTGCACGCGCAACCAATTTTGCGTGCGGGCGGTGCCCGAGAAACAAGTTATTTTATTTGTGTTGCCTAATATAACTCCGATATATATAAAATAATGAACTTAATCATTTAACAGTAGGGTGGAGCGCAAAAATGTCCTCTAGAAGGAAGCGTAAACCGCCCTACACAACTAATATAACTCCGATATAATTAATAAATCAACTAATAAAACCAACTAACAGTAGGATGGAGCGCAAAAATGTCCTCTAGAAGGAAGCGTAAACCGCCTTACACAACTAATATAACTCAGATAAAATTAATAAACCAACTAAAACCAATCAATTAACAGTATGGTGAAGCGCAAAAATGTCCTCTAGAAGGAAGCGTAAACCTCCCTACATCTATAATACAACCACTAATCTACCAACTAATAAAACCAATCAATTAACAGTAGGGTGGAGCGCAAAAATGTCCTCTAGAAGGAAGCGTAAACCTCCCCACATCTATAATAAAACCATTAATCTACCAACTAATAAAACCAATTAATCAACAGTAGGATGGAGCGCAAAAATGTCCTCTAGAAGGAAGCGTAAACCTCCCTACATTTATAATAAAACCACTAATCTACCATTAACATAATTCATGAGTAATTTATTATTCTCATTATTACCATTAATATCTATTTATTATTCTTATTATTTATCTGCAATTCAGTTAACACTCTATTTTCTTTTACTCTCACTTATTATTTTTATTATTAGTTTAAAATGATTCCCCGCCCCCCCCCCCCCACGAAGCCTTACTAGACGAAATAACCAAAAAATCACAGTAAGATCAGATACTCTCTTTTCTCTAGCTTTCTTTTTCAGGTGCTGGATTCTTCCTTCAGAGAACCAACAATAAAAGGAATGAATAACATAAATAAAGATGTAAAAACGCTACCATACCGGACAACATACCCAAATGGAAGGAAGAATGGACCAGGACTCAAACTCACCAACAAAGCCCCAAGGTAGAGTTGCACCGCCCTGCCATTCTACCGGACAGAACGACCAGACCAACCCAATCGACCCAAAATATATATATATGTACATAATATGTCTATGTCTGTGAAAATGTCCGTCTTTGTCCATGTCTGTTCCGTCAAATCGCATGTTTGTAAATGTCTACTGGCACCTGTTTCGTCCTTTGCACATGTTATCCTACTGTTGTTTATTGTCCTATGTACATATATATGAAAACCTAACCATCCTAATATTTCTCACTAATCACATTGTAAATTAATGCACCTTGTACACATAACACGTCATTGTCTGCGATATCACCTCGGTGGAAGCGGACGTAAAATACAACTAACACTAACTAACTAATTGCGCATGCACATAACGATGATGATTATTTAATCCCTATACAAATTTGTCTATTTTAATGATTATTTTTCTAATCCCAGTATAGGGATTATTATTTTCATTTTTATAATCCCAGTATAGGGATTAAATAATCATCAACGTTATGCGCATGCGCAATAATTCTATTGTCTATATATACCCGTAACAGGGAAATTTTGCCCAAGCTGCGGCACTATGGCCTACTCTTACAACAAATTCCAACTGCCAAGGGATCTTTTACGTGCACAACAATGTATCCAAACGACTAGAGAGTTGCCCTTGCAGGCCCCTCGTCCTGCACCACTGACAAGGGGAAACCACATCGGAAAATCCTGATGAATGTTCTCAGCCAATGTAGGGATTGAACACGTGACCTCCAGGCATTAAACATATAATATACTTGAGCCAAAAACATTGAACAGACATGACTTGGCAAGGATGGACATGACTTGTTTCACTGAAAACTTTTTGGACCAGGAACAGGTCGCTAACTGCTACTCATCTTGTTCTTGTTCTTCTTGGGGTGACGCTCTTTGAAAAAGCCTAAAGCTCCACAATCTGGTTAAAACACAGATCCTATTTCGTTTCGTTTTTACAGTTCAAAATTTCATTTTACTTGTCTTTACTACACTTGGATCTGGAAGGGATAAGCCAATGAAACGGTCTGTTACGGCGAGCTTTAGGTGTCTTTTTCACGGAACTGTGGGTAATCCACTAGTAACATCAATGCTGATTGGTTAATCAAATGTCTGACGTCATAGGGTCATAAGTCTATCTTTTGACCCCTGAAGTGACCTATCGCTATAACTTGTCAGAACTTCATGTAGTGTAGGCCATCGAAAGTTTAAAAAAACGAAAAGAAATATAGATCTGTATTTTAATCAGATTGAAAGCTCCATCAAGTTTGATAAACATGAACATTGGTATGCTTGTTCTTTGAACAATTGGAGGGTCTAGAGCACAAGTGATCTAACAACCAACTAAAATGGTTGGTAGTTAGATCACTTGTGCTCTAGACCCTCCAATTGTGCATCGATTTGGGGAAATAGATTTTTGAATTTCATCTAACAACATGGTCAGTTCCCGGTCCATAGTATGATCATACTTGTTTTTACAATTGCTGCCAACCAAGGGAAGTAACCTAATTCTTGACTTACTGTTTATTAATATCTGCAGTAGATTCAGACATTTTAGGTAGCCTGTGAGTTAATCTTTTGTAGAAAAATGAACTAAAGATGTGAGTTCTCTGTTTATCCTTTTCACTCAATTTTTCTAATAATAAATATCTTCAATAAAAAATAATATATAAATATAACTATTATATTATATAACTAATAATAAATATCTACAATAAAAAAAATAAAATATAAATATACCTATTATATTACATATCGTCGATGAAGTTTCAAAAGGGTTTATCTAAGAATTTCTAAAGATTAAGAAATAGAACCTTTTGCATTTCAAAATCTCCACAAATCAAGATACAACATTTGGACACATGATACCCAGAGCAGTTCTAATTGTAACTGGCGGAGATACACAGCTTAGAAAGAAATGTGCATATTAATTGGGAGATTTTAAAAATGCAAAAAAGTGTATTTGACTAATTTTCCAAAATACACCCTTTTGACACTTCACCGACGATATATACATGTATTTTATATCCTATTCCCCATTTTATCAATATGATCGGCCATGAATGTCATATGGTTCAATTTTATTTCAAGATTTCGCTTGCAAGTAGGGGCCTTTAGCAGTGGATGGAAACCGAAGGACCCGGAGAAAACCCTACTCCATATCACATACAACCTGGGAATCGAAACCACGCCAGTTGACACAATGACAGACCTTATGATACAACGTGCTCGCACTAACCATTAATGTCATTATATATCAAACAATCATTATAATTTGAAATACTTACTTTAAATAAAAGTCAATAATGACATCATTGAGAAATTCCCCATCATTTAAACAGTAGAGATCTTCGTTGGTAATAGTTAAAGCACCTTTAGCTGGTGGTGGAGGGTATGTTAATAATCTACAAAATAATCATACATATATAATCCATTATTATCTTTTTACTGATTCAATTGAATTTACCTGTGGAGAGAGAGAGAGAGAGAGAGAGAGAGAAATGGTGTTTATCGTCCACTGGATACAAACTAGCTAATTTTGGGATTAACATATAGTTAAATTATATTGCAATAATTCGCTTGCGGGTAGGGGTCTTTAGCAGTGGGAGGAAACCGGAAGAACTGGAGAAAACCCACCAGGTTGACCAGGCAACACAAACTAGGTCATTTCAGGATCAACTTATGGTCAATTTTATTTCAAAAATTCGCTTGCGCGTATGGGTCTTCCCAGAGAGAGAGAGAGGGTTTAAAGAGGTTGGACAGGGTACCCTACAGGGGAATCGAAACCACGCCAGTTGACTCATTGATAGACCTTATGATACAGCATGCAGTGATAACCATTCGGCCATCCATCCCCCCCTAGATTAGTAGAAGTTAGACAAGTTAGTAAATCTGTGCACCTGATGGATCAAGGGCTGATGAAGGTTGAGACAGTAGACAAGAACAGACCATGTTCACTGGGGATTATTCCACAATCTATTTTATTGTAGAATAAAATGTTTCAAGATCACTAAATCCAGCAATTTACCTTGAAGACAATTATCTTGAAATGAAATGGGTTTTAACGTCCTACTCTTCTGCACCTAACCTGGGCTAATGAAGACGGGCATACACCATACAGTGTGCTATGAGGGAAATTTTGCCCGGGCAGCGGCGCTACGGCCTACTCTTATATCGAATTCCAACTGCCAAGGGATCTTTTACGTGCACGCCAATGTGTACACGGGACCTCGGTTTTCCGTCCCATCCGAATGACTAGGCAGCTGTCCTTGTTAGGCCCTCCGTACTGCATCACTGACAAGGGGAAACCACGCGGGGAAATCGAGATGAACTTTCTCGGCCAATGCAGGGATCAGACACCCGACCTCCAGGCTACCGAGACATCGCCTTACCCACTTAGCCACGTGATCCCCCAAATTATCTTGATATAACAAACAATGTTTGAAACTTATATTAATAGCTATCTAACAAAACCTTCTAAATAAGTTGTGTGAAATTTTTTCCAGAAGATGCAATGAAAACAAGCCTGGAAATAAGGCACCTGTCACTGACAATGTCAGGCACAGATTCAGGCTTTTTCAGGCACAAAACCTCTGGTGCCTGTCATTTTTTCCAGCACTGATTTGTCTTTTTTATTGATATTATTAATACATGTCCGGTACTAAGTTGAAAATGTCATTAGTGCCTGACATTTTGTCAGGTATATCTAAAACCGTTAATTCCAGGCCTGACAATGATAAAGTACATTTTAACTTACTTCTCCAATGGTCCAGTAAATGTTACTCTAGGAGGAGACGGGGAACACGATTCTTCTCTTATTTCAGCGTTCTCAAAATTGTCCATTTCATCTCGATGATATTCTTGTTCATCACCATGACTTGATGTATCTCTAATATTCTGGATCGATGGCGGTACCGGAGGATCTTTATTCATCGTTAAACCAACCTGTGCCTGCATTGCCGGTGTCAAGGGTGTGGTTTGTAATAAAAGCATGTTAGCTTCTTCATGTGTTAGTTCTTGATAATAACTAGGACCGGCCTTGTTCACTATTTGATAATGCTGTATAATCTGTTTCACTGATTTCGGATCTTCTAACGTATCAAATATAATCACACAATATTTTAGTTTTTTATCTGAAAAACGAAATGTTCTTTGAAGTCAATCACCATAATAAGTCACAACATGAGTATGGAAATTCATGGAAATAGCCCTTTAATAAAAATTGTTCCATATAAAAAATGTGTACGGTCATTCTATGTGTGTGTACAATATACATATCAATTTATCGCATTTTTGTTAAAGAGAGAGAGAGAAATAGGTTATTTCCCAGACTAACATATGGTTCAATTTTATTTCAATAATTTGCTTGCACTTAGGGATCTTTAGCAGTGGGAGGAAACTGGAGGACCAAGAGAAATCACACGAGGTTGGATAGACGACCCTATTCCTTGACATGTACAACCAAGGAATCGAAACCGTACTAGTTGACTCAATGACAGACCTTATGATGCAGCATGCATGTGCTAACCATTCGGCCATCCAACCCCTATAGTTTTGTTAAAGAAAATGTTTTGAAAAAATAAACCATAAAAAAGCGGAATCACATTAAAAACAAGAAAAAACAGAATTTGTCTAAGATCAATAACATTCATATTTCAGATATTAAATTTTTATCTACACTCACCTTGACTATCTGGATCAAAATTTGAACGCTGGTTCGCTTTCATTTTCAGTTTTTCTCGTAATTTAACTCCTCCTGCTGTTGTTAGCTCTAAAAACATGACTACAACAGGAGGATTTAAATGTCCTTGACAACTAACAATATCTAACGTATCTATTTCAATACGACATTTATGATTACCCTTTCTTTCACCTGAAACATATAATTATATGGCTTATTATGTTTTACACCTAACCATACTGTTCCTTAAACATACATTATGCAAGAGCTAAATCTGCCTATTGCAGGTCTTTCTTTAGGCCTGAAATGTTATCTAAATTATCAATTAGACATTAATTAACTTATCCAGACCATAATCAACTCTTGATGTCAATGCTAGCCTGTGATATAAACTGGATTAGGATCTCATATGCTGTTCATGATTTAATCATGAAATGGATAATTGAGACTATGTTTTATATTCTACCGACTTTAGTAATGATGATCGAGGCTAGATCGAAAATTCAATCGCTAAAATCTTGGTTTAGAGTGGATCAATTTGACTGAAATTTTCAGCATATTCCCTTTACATTATCTAGTTTTTAACTATTATAGTGAGAACTGCCAGCTCTTTATCTAATCTCCCATAATGTATCTTTAAATATCTGATTTAGTTGTACAGCTGATCAATAGTGATATATCATATTCAGGTCATACATTTAATATGTCAACAAGACAGATAAAAAAACACAACACAATTTATATGAAAAACAATCACTGATTTATACTCATATACATGTAGCACGTTTCTAAAAGTATCCTTTCATCATTGTTTTCTATATAAATTGTGTTGTGTTTTTTAATGTACTAATGTGAGACAGATGTTCTAACCTTTACACATGTAGCTGTATTGTGATACATATAAAAAACATATCCAGATCATAAATTTACTAAACCAATAATGAGACAGATGTTCCTATCTCTATACATGTAGCTGAATTATACAGTGGAATCTGTATTAAGCAGCCACTCAAGGAAATTGTAATGACTGACCGCTTAACGGGAGTGACCTCTGAATAAAATGTCAGTGTTTGTTAGTGCTGACATCAATTAAATATTACGCTTGGATGCACCGGGAGCAAACACCAATGCTTGCATCGGTAAATGTGGCCATCGCTGAAACCTGGTTGGAACGAAATTTTTTCGACTCGGATCTCTGATGTAACTTCTGTAAACTTGTCATTTTGTCACAACATTGATACTACTATCTACCATTGAGATGTATTCGCTGATCAAAAATGTACATGTCCAAAAAAACAAACCATCGTTGAATTTGTCACCGATTTTCAGGGGGTGTAACTCTATATGTAATATAGGAGGCGCTAAAACTTCTGTTTAGCAACAAAGTAGCAATGGAAAATAGATACTAGATGATTGTGACAAAACTCGGCTTATAGGTACTTATAGTTTATTCAATCAGTATCAAATAATGTTTCGTTATGTGTAAAAACAATGATCACGGTTTGTCATTAATTAACAGATAATCTCAGGTTTATTCTTATTTTCACAATTCTTTTTAACTAATTTTTGGGGGCCATATAATTAACTATTAATCACGGGATTAGTGGAGGTGCTACGAAGTACGACAAGATGGCAGCAATCAACAATGGTTGTTGAATGGGCGATGTTTTATTAAATTTATAACTAAAACAGTGACCGCTGATTAAAGAGATGAAACAACAGAATTTCTACAGTGGGAATTTATCCTGACTATTAACAAAGAGATGTCGCTGAATAGAAGTGGCTGCTCGTACAGATTCTACTGTATTTCATATATTATACATTTTTACTTACACACAACAGAACAGGAAAAACCTTTATCGGACATCATAACGGGTTCTAAGGGTTTGGATTTCAAAGAACCAATCCTCACACTTCTAGCATTTAACGAAAGTGTACAATCAGTGAGAGGTTCCAAATTTTCTTCTAAAGCAGGAGGCTTGCTCTTTTTTGATTTGACTTTACCATTCTAGAGAAGATAAAACATTATCATAAATTATGCAAGGGCAAAAAGAAATAAAGTGATATAGCATTTTTCTCTATGTTAAACAGGCATTATGTAAGAGCTAAATATGTCTATTGCAAGTCTTTCTTTGGGCCTTAAATGTTATATAAATTATTAATCAGACTTTTATTAACATGGCAAAAAGACAATAATCAACGGAGAAGTGAGACTAAGACTCGAATGACTAGTATGGTGGTGATGACCAATGCACACGTCTTGTCAAAACTACAACCATTGTAACTTCGTTCAAAATAATTTGAATGAAATTTTCAATATATTCATTTTGCATTATCTATTTTTGAAATATTATAGCGAGAACAGCCCCTTTAATATTAAAGAGCAACCCTCAATTTATTCTAGTAACCTGCAGTGTATTAAAATTTATACTAGGGACAGACAGGCAATTCCACTTGTCAGTGGTGCAGAAATGGGATGAAAAACTGTGGTCCAGAGTACACATTGGCGTGCACGTAAAAGATTCCTTGGTAGTTGGAATTCGATATGAGAATAGGCTGTAGCGCCTCTGTCCGGGCAAAATTTCCCCTCATAGGACATTTCGGGACTAACATATGGTTTATTTTTATTTCAATAATTCGCTTGCACGTAGGGGTCTTTAGCAGTGGGAGGAAACCGGAGGACCCGAAGAAAACTCAAAAGGCTGGACAGGCGACCCAACTCCTTGTCACGTACAACTGGGGAATCGAAACCACGCCAGTTGATGCAACAACAGGCCTTATGATACACAAGTTTAAATCATCAGTAATAATATAATATATACATGTACCTGATGGCCTGACGACCCTACTCCATGTCACATACAACCGGGGAATCGAAACCACGCCAGTTGACTCAATGACAGACCTTATGATACAGAGCGCACATGCTAACCATTCGTTCATCCCCTCCCACCCCCATCCCCACAGCAGTATATAATACTAGAAGAATGCCCGGCTTCATTCGGGGGTCATAACCCCGAAACCGGAAGTGGTAGACTAACGCCACCTGGCCTATGTTACTCCCCGGTCCGAGCTACCCCTATACCCCAAATTTCAGACTCGGGGCAGACCTAGTGTAGCCGCCAACCCCGAACAGACAGACAGACAGACAGACAGACAAACGACAGTCACAAATATTAGTATAGATATACCTGATCTTCCATCCTATTTCTTATAGAACCAGACTCTTGTTGACTTGGATTATTTACTTTACTATATGGAAATATCGGAGAATCACATCTACTGTTACTTTGGAAATCTGGTGATGCGTTACTACTTGCTCCAATTGGTAAAGTTTCATTTGAGTTGGAATCCTCTTCATCTGATGATATTGTTATCTTCACTTAAAAAAGAAAATGAATTCAAATAAAATATCATACATCAATAAATGTTTGTCTTGACATGTGAAGAGCCAAGGGGAAGAACGATCTAAGTCACTTTTTCAACAAACTCGAGTTAATGGCACCATCTGGTAGCAAATTGTATAAGCTTTCTGTGAAACAATCGATTTAAGGTAAAAATGATCGAAATCACAAGTCTATCGTACCCTTTATTTGACCTTAATTTGGCTGAAAAGTGCAAGTCAGTTGTTGTACTGGTAATTATGATTCGTATTAAACATCATTTTGAAGTTGTAATTAAACCCACTCGTTCTGTTCGCATCAAGCATTCTCGTCCAAAAGTCTGTTTTGCCTTTTATGCGATAAGACAAAAATGTGACTCAGATCATTCTTCCCCTGGACTCTTCAAGTGTTAAATTATAAGACTTGTTTTAGTTTTTTTTTCTTTGACTTTAACTATCAACACAAAATTCACCATATCTCAGCTTGGGTAAGGCACTGGTTTACTAACTAGGAGACTTCAGGTTTGATCTCAACTCTTAAGTGACCCAGACGTTTGACGTCATAAAACCCACGTCATAATGGTAATCCATGATTAGCAGAACATTTTCAACTAGGTGCCGGACATGTATTAATAATATCAATAAAAAAGACAAATCAGTGCTGGACAAAATGACAGACACCAGAGGTTTTGTGCCTGACAAAGTCTGAATCTGTGTCTGACATTGTCAGTGACAGGTGCCTTATTTCCAGGCTCGAAGATGTCAAACATGAAGTGAAAGTCGCCTGTTTATAAGCGAAGTAACTCGCATTCCGTATTGTTGATATAAGTCGCCGTCGGTACTCAACAGCAACGTTATAGGTGTTGACAAAAGTCGACTAGGGTCAGCTAAGAGTTAATGTTGGCTGAAAAGGTTTCTTAATAATTTCCAACCTAGCTTCCTATTGTCAGTGGTGAATGATGGAGGGGCTAGCAAGGACCAGCATCTAGTCGCTCGGATGGAAAAAAATACACCCCGAGATACTCACTTCATAAAACAAATCAATACATTAAAACTAATAAAAATCAAAGAAATCAAGTGAGTTAAACATACATTATGCAAGAGCTAAATCTGCCTATTGCAGATCTTTCTTTAGGCCTGAAATGTTATCTAAATTATTAACTAGACATTAATTAACTTATCCAGGCCATAATCAATTCTTGATGGCATCGGATTTCTCCGATATTAAATAGATTAGAACAGTTCAACCAGTACGGTGGTTGAAATTATTGCACACATCTTGTCAAACCTTCAAAGACTAATATCTTCGCTCGCAATAGAGTAATTTGAATGAAATTTTCAAATTATTCATTTTACATTATCTATTTTCGAACTATTTTAACAATCTAAATCTTACATCATGTATCTTTAACAAAAAATTGTAATTAAAAAAACTAAATAATTCAGACGTCTGCAATTATAACAATTATAATATATTCTTACCATTATGAAGTTTATTTGGCTTCTGTTTTTTGATTCGCTGACCATATGTAGCACGCACTTTTCTGTTATCAAATTGAACATTTTCTCCCTGAGGTGAATGTAAAGGTTGCCTGTGATTGGATAACTTGGCATATTTATAAGGCTGTGATTGGTCATTCAGTTTATGGCCGTAAAAAGATTTTCTGTCTATCGTGTAATCTGACTGATTGTTCTTTATTTTGTCTACCACATGAACTTTGGCATCGGCTGGCAGTTTACGATAACAACGTTCACATTTGTCTAAATCACTACTAGAATAACCACACGATTTACACGCAGCATACTTCACAACACCCTGAAAACACAAAATATACCCATTATTTACATTTCAACAACATATCATACATACATACATAAGACCCTGAAAACATAAAATATACCCATTATGTACATCTCAACAACATATCATACATTAAATATCACAAATACATAACACCCTGAAAACACAAAATATACTACATAACACCCTGTAAACACAAAACATACTTCATAACACCCTGAAAACATAAAATAATATTTATATTTTTTTTAATAAGCAATATTTTTGTTCAGATTTGTATCCGAATAGGGATTGGGGAACTGGCATAGTCTATATTAAACCCCTCTCATTAATCATATTTCAACATCATATTATCATAAATTTATTATCACATATACATAACACATGGCCCCAGATTTTTTTTACAGACTATTCCACAGAAAACCTGGTAAAACAATTAGAATATTTTGTTATACAATTATTGGAGTCAAAATAGAACATTTCCAATACGAAGAGTAGAAGGCTGCACTACAAATAACAAATAATTAGAAACCCATGAAACCAGAATATGAAAACACCAAGAAAAACTGTAAGCCCAAAAACACGATTCAGTGAATAGATCTGTCTACAGTCACTGTAAAGACACAGACATCAACTAATTCACCTTATAAATGAAATGAAACAGGGTTTAACGTCCTACTGTTCTGCTCTGACTGGGTAAGACATCTTAAAATACAGATACGACGTCTATGTCATCTGTTGATGTTGGAGTACCATTGTTTTAAATAATGATTGGACTCGCATGACGATTTCACTGAAATTTATGAGCGGGAAGCCCTTGTGTAGTATCAAGGTGGCAATAATATAGAATAAACTTATGAGAATATTTTCTATGTCTTGTGGTCAAAGTGATTCATAGTATTATTGGAATTATTGGAGTAGGTTTTAAGTGTAGGATAAAGCATGAGACTGAGGTTATGCTGGGGAACCGAAGTCGAGGACTTTATCTTGCTTAAAAACCATCTAGCCCAGAATAGCCCAGAATTCCCGCAAGAAAAACCTTATATCATGTTTTCTTATGGAAAAAAAACAACCCTCCCCTGGAAGAATAACCTGTTACAGGTTTAAAGAAAAACTTTCAGAAGAATAACCCCAAATTTCCCTGTATATATCCAAAACCTCCCCCGACTTTCAGACCGCAAGTTATTCTGGGCATAGAATATACCCCAAAGATCAAAGAGATTTACCGTTACAGGTTTATATGTCCGTTAAAAACAGAATACTCACATCTAAATGCCGCTTCACTGATGAAGTAGAACCAGAATTAGAAATGTCATTTTCTATAAGAAAAAAAAATATTCACACATCATTTTCACTCAGTATAATGTACAGTAGTAGTTCATAGGACAAACTTGGTTTAATTTTATTTCAATAATTGACTTGCGCATCACTGACAAGGGGAAACCACGTCGGAAAATTTGGATGAACTTTCTCGGCCAATGCAGGGATCGAACACCTGACCTCCAGGTTAGCGAGCAAACGTCTTCACTGCCCAGCCATCATGGCTCCTGTCATCAGTTTATGCCTACAACACCCGACCTCCACACTAGCAAACCAGCGTCTTACCCACTTAGCCACCGTGACCCCCAATAGAGCTAAAGATGTAAGTGGGGAAATGTATTGTCTAAAGTAACATACCAATATATTCTTCATCTTCTTCATCCATCTCATCATCTTCATCTCCATGTGGTGGTGTAGGATGTAGGGGTCGTCTATATTTAATTAAACTAGTTAAACAATAATATTGAAGCCAGATAAATTCATATAAAATCATGCATGCATAAAAATATAAAGTAATAAGAAAATAAAATGAAATAGGGTTTAAAGTCGCCCTGTTCTGCTCCGACTGCGCTAATGAAGACAGGCATATGCCGTGCAGTGTGCTATGACTATGAGGGAAATTTAGTCCCGGCAGCGGCTCTATGGCCTACTCTTATCCCTAATTCCAACTGGCAAGGGATCTTTTACGTGCACACCAATGTGTACACTGGACCTTGGTTTCCGTCCCATCCGAATGACTAGACAGCTGTCCTTGTCAGGTCCTCTGTCCTGCACCACTGTCAAGGGGAAACCATGTCAGAAAATCATGAAGAACTAAAGTATTGAAAGGGAAAAATAATTTATTCAACTGACTAACTAAATTATAGGAACAAGGAAATAAATTAGATATAATACAAAGTGAACAATAAACTATAACACATACTTCTGGAAAAACCAACTACTAGGATATTTGGGCTCGCGTATTTCAAAGATTCTTCAAATGACATCTTGAAGCACAGTTAACTATTCATAACAAAACACAACACAAGATATAACTTGAAAACGTGACCTGTATGTGTTACGAAACATTGTTATTAAATAATAGAGAATTAGTTATATCCATATATACATGTACCTTGTGTTGTGTTTTGTTATGAATGTTTCGAAGAGTATTCTCTCAATGCCAGTACAGTTTTTCTGTGAGTATGCATATTATAGTTTATTGCTCTATCCAATTACTAAATAGCTACATTGTACTAATATATTTAAATATATTTGGCCGATTTCAAAAAGAATTCTCTCAAAGCCAGTACATGTAACTGCTTTTCCGTGAGTATACGTATACCTCTATCCAGAGAGAGAGGGTTTAACATCCACTCGACACAAGATAACAACACAAAACATCAAGAATGTAAATAAAGGGAACAGATTTGAATACGAAACTATCAAAAAAACTCAAAGTTACATGTTTATATTGTACTCAATGTGTGTTTACGAATACCAAAAGAGGGAACAGATGTTAATATTTCTCGCAAATCAGATATTGGTGATTTTGTTATTGTTGAGGAGTGAGAAGTGTAAATAGTTATAAAGCATACAGGCTCCTACTCATATTCCCCCTTTAAAAAAACAAAAATATATTCTTTTTTTTGCGATTGAAAAAGTATGACTCACCTAGCAAGTGAACTCTTGTTAGTATGATGCCACACTCTACCATTTGGAAGTAAATCACCGTCATGATTATTAGGAACTGGAGAGGGCTTCCTATTACTAGCTAGGCTAACCATATTAGAATGTCGTGGAGTAGGCCTAGCAGTTCTAATAGAGAATAAAAAAAAGATAAACTAATTTATAATTTTTTTTTTTTGTTTGAACTAAAACCTTATGTAGGCAATTCAGATAAGATGTTAGCTATAAATGTTTTTAATTTTTAAGGTGAGTAATTAAAAATCCTTTTGGATTTCCATTTAAAGATACATTATGGGAGATTAGATAACGTGTTGGCAGTTCTCACTATAATAATTAAAAACTAGATAATGTAAAGGGAATTTGCTGAAAACTTCATTCAAATTGATCCACTATGAACCGAGAATTAAACGATTGAAATTTCCGCCTAGCCTCTATCATTATTACAAAGTCAGTACAATGAACAGCATAGTCTTGATTATCCATTTAATCATTAAATCGTGAAGGAAAGTTATGCAGTAAATCTGCTCATAATCCACTAAAGATCGCAGGCTAGCGATGCCATCGAGAGTTGAATATGGTCTGGATAGGTTAATTAATGTCTAATTAATAATTTAGATAACATTTCAGGCCTAAAGAAAGACCTGCAATAGGCAGATTTAGCTCTTGAAGAATGCATGTTTAAAGAGATCAATTTACAACAACTGCCATTTTGTAATACACACAAATTTTGAGTAACATACCTGATTGCTTCATCTTGTTCATTTACCATATTAAGGCCAGTAGCATTGCCTTTTAGCGGTGGATCTTTCACCTTACCCTTGGCACCTCCACCTACTATCTTGGAATCTTTCTGAGAATCAGTTAATGCCTCTGATGGTAAAGCTAAAAAAAAAAAGAAAAAAAAAAAAGGAAAGCAACAATTAAATTGAGAATAAAAAAATAACATACATCTAAATTTTCGGCATGTGCTCGAGATCTTCCTAAGTGTGCCGTGAAAATTTGAACAGCACACTAAAAAAAATTTCACCAAAGAAGCCAGCTTTTTGGCTGATATAATTCAAAACCGCGAAATTTTTAACAGGTGTGCCGTTGGCAAAAAAAGGTTGAGAACCACTGATGTAGAGAGAGAAAGAAACGGGGGTATATATATATCATCCACTTTCAGACAGGGCTTCCACTTCAAAATTTTGATAATGCAGGTTAGTTTTTATAACGCATGAAAATTCATATTACATAGGTGTGGTCATACAAGATTTTGGATGGACAGTGTAAAAGGTGACAAAAAACATTGATATGAAAAGTGGGCATATACTTTAAACTGGACACATGCTTAAAACATAAATTAGGCTGGCCTTAAAAATATCTTTGTTTCATCAAACTCGATCCACAATCAAGGAAAAAGCTTGGTAATTCGTTTTTTTGTAAGATAGATTTTTTTTTTTTGACAGCTTGATCTTTTTCTGGGTAGAAACATCCATATGAAAAGTGGGCATATACTTTAAACTGGACACATGCTTAGAACATAAATTAGGCTGGCCTTGAAAATATCTTTGTTTCGTCAAACCCGACCCACAATCAAGGAGAAAGGTCGGTAGGTTGTTTTTTGTGTAAGATTTTTTTTTCGACAGCTTGATCCTTTTCCGGGTAGAAACATTCATCTTCTTCACGTGTGGGTACAGAAATCAATCAATACCGATGACATTGGGATTTTTAGTGAGGCACGACTTGCATGTGATTTACCATGAAATTTAAATGTGAATTTCTTTCAATACATTTTTAACGATCATGCGGCTTGTGTAATTTTACTCGAAAACAGATATTGAAAATTTCGTCATAATTAAAATGACGCTCCACGGGCATTGGGGCAGAATCATTTCGTGGGAATAGTCACGCTTTCTTATGCAACCATTTTGTTGAGAAGTGACACCTATGACACTTTTGTCTAGATTAACCACGTCAATGGTTCGAATAATGTCTAAACCCATTGTAAAGGGATGTAACTCTCATGATATATTTCAAGGTGACAAACAAAATAAAATAAAAAGATCACAGAAAGGTGCAATAAAATAATTTAAGTAGGGGGTAGTTTTAGCTGTTTGGTCGGGTTAGATGAAACAGAGATATTTTTTTAGGCCAGGCTTAGATAACTTTTCATACCTAATGATATATCAAGAGGTGTTGGAACAAATTTCTGGCCATCCCACATGGCATATACATCTCTTCCTTGATTTGATCGAATCAAATAAACCATATTCTGTACTGGACCTTCCCCATCTTTAAACTTTAAATTATTAAACGACAGATTATTGAGAAGATTATTTTTGACTGAAGAATTATTTGGTGTACCATCTTGACTAGAATTATTTGAAAGCATCTGAACATCCAATTTTTTAATAGTTTCATTTGTGTTTGGAGACGATATTGGAATTCCTGACTTAATGTTGGGATTTAGGTTGGAGGGGTTCTCGATTCCTAATCGTTGATTTTGTAATTGAGCTTCTTTCTGTTTTTCAATAGCTTGCTGTATAAATGCTTCTATGGCTGAGTCATCACTACAATCTTCATCGTCATCATAGTATTCCTCCTCTTCATCATCATCATAATACTCCTCACCATGTTGTCCTGGAGGCTGTGAATGATTAGAACCAGAAGGATGTTGCAATTGTGCAATGTTTTTTAGTCGCTGCTGATCATAAAGCTGTTTATGTCTGTTATACTCCTCATCTGTTTCCTCATAGTTTTCATCATCAGCTTCATCATCAATGTACTCTTCATCCATTCCTTCTTCCTGATCAGTAGCAGGTGCTGATGATGGTTTACCAGAAGAATTAGTAATTTCATACGATGGTTTTCTCCCAGTCATTTCTTGAGCTCTTTTATCCGCTGGATTCCCTGCTGCTTTCAAGTCTGATGAGGTTGCATTGTTTTTATTGGGAGCTTGATCCTTTTTTACTGAATTCATTTGCTGCAGTTGGTTTTCTTGACTTCTCATTTGAGCCAACTGTTCTTGACGCGCAATGTGCTGCTGTCGGAGAACAGTCAGCTGTTCTTGAGTTAAATTATCAGGAAATTCTTCATCTTCCTCTTCATCGTAATATTCTTCATCCTCATCATCCATGTAATCAAAACCTTCATCAGAATACTGAGCCATCGCTACTCGGCATAATTCCTCCTTTTCTTCGTGTGTGAGTGGTTTATTTCTAGGTGGATTGTTTCTGTAAGGATTCGGTATCTCGCCTTCTTCATATTCTTGTTTATCATCGTCATATTCATGTCCTTCCTCCTCGTAATATTCCTCCTCTCCTTCTTCACCATAATTATCATTTTCTCCTTCATAGCTCCCATAATTCGCTTCATTTTCAGACTCTTTTTTAACGACTTTATCTGATTCAGTTGCATCCATTGGAGCATCCATTATACATTTGATTCGTCCATCAAGGCCTTTCACAACGTACTGTAAGCGACCATTTGGTCCTTTAACGACTTCCCTGATGGTGTCTTTGTCTTCATTTTCATCGTTTTCATCAACATATTCATCATCAACGAATTCTTCATCTTCGTAATACTCTTCACCATCTTCATAATAATACTGTTCCTGACCTTCACCTGACATGCCAGGATGACCATCACCTGTTTCTAGTAAACCATTATCGGTATACCCGAAGTAACCCTGATCATGTTCCTGCTGACCATCGTTCTCTGGGTAGTCCTCGTAACCCTCACCTTCACCATTTGCACCATCGTACATATCGTAGCCTTCTCCCTCTTCAAAATCCTCCTCTTTATCCAAATATTCATCACCTGCAAGTTCATCTTGTTCAGGAAAATCTTCAGCTTTTACTTCTCCACTTTCCAGTTTGTCATCAACCTCTTTTTTGATACAGACTTCGGGTCCAGTCGTATTTTCTGAGACAAGACTTGGACTCGCATCTGTTTCTCCATTCTTTGCCTCAACCTTGACAGACACCACATCGCTGAAAATATATTTTTAACAAAAATAGATATATTCTCATCACATTAGTGAGATATTTCAATAACTTCAAAGTTTTTACCTGCAAAATCAACAATTAAAATTTATTTCATAATTTTAGGAAACCATATAGTACTGTGGCTTCACTAAAACAACACGGGTGTTGGGGTCCACTGTACAATGCAACAAAGTTCTACATTAGCAGTGAATCTATGACAAAAAACATGTTTCAATCAATTGAGCAGATCTTATTCAATTACACCTAGTTTGCTTGCTTATATAATTACAATGCACCAATCATGCAGGGAACTTAAATGTGGATGTGCTTTGAAGCCTTCGTTATGGCGAATCCCTGACCCCTATATTATATACAGGTATATACTGAGTTCATTATAAAATTATTGGGAGCCATGCTGAACATCATCATTACTTTAACATGTCCTACATGTACATCTCTACTCTAAAGTCTAAACCAAGTCTGTTGTGCGGGAATTCCTAAATTCATTCTATTGCTCTCTTGCTGCGCCAGTATCATCTTCCTGATCCAGTACCCACGTAGATCTACCAGCCCCTGTCCAGCTATAGTTACTCTGTCAAGGGAGTGTTGCTGTTTCTCTTCTCGTAACCAAATATATTATACAATGTATAAAAAAAAATTACTTTTCACTGTTATCTGTTTGTGCAGGTAGCTTCATACTGGGACCAGATGATGGCTTATTACTACCTGTTTCTTCAGATGTCCCACTTGGTTCTCCTCCACTAGTTGACTTTTCTTCAGCAGATATTTTTTTATCGTCTTTACTAAGCTGTGGTGATGATGACTCCATATCTTTTGTACCAACATCAGATTGGGGCCAAAGATCGTCTTTCTCTTCCATTATATGTTTTTGGTCACTGATAGCAGAGTAATCACGCCAAACTCCATGCAAATGAGATTTTTGATCGTTTACACTTGGAGCTAAAGAAGACAAAGAACAAAAATGAAAAGGCCTTCAGGAAATAGCCAGGGCCCTTATTCACGAAAACTTAAACTAAGTTACAACCAAAATTTACTGCAACTTCATTGGATATATGCAAATTGATTTTACTGGTCAGCCAATCGAATTGCAGTATTTCTTAAAATTTCGATTGTATCTTAGTTTAAGTTTTCGTGAATAAGGGCCCTGGTACTTCCATAGTTTGTTTACTGACTTTACAATTAATTTCACAAACAGTCTTGTAAATCATGTACCCATAGACAATGAGGCCACATCACACTGTAATCTGGATATCATTTAATCTTGTGCATCTAATTTAGCACTAATTTCTTTCACATTCATTTAATATCAAAACTTGTTTAAAAATTTGTAAAAATCGTTTAAAATCACCAGAAAGCATCTAATTTGAACTTGTACGAATTATTAAACAACGATATGATATAAACGAACGTGAAAGAAATTAGTGAGTGAGAGAGAGAAATGGGGTTTAACGTCCACTCGACACAAACTAGGTCATTTCGGGACTAACATATGGTTTAATTTTATTTACATAATTCGCTTGCGCGTAGGGGTCTTTAGCAGTGGGAGGAAACCGGAGGACCCGGAGAAAACCGAAAGTGAAAGAAATTAGTGCTAGATAAACAAGATTAAAAGATACCTGGGTTACAGTGTCAGTGTAGGTTACATCTACCAAACATTATAAACAAGAGTTCAAAAGAACTATGTACATCACAGGTGATCTTATCAGACTGCATGCAAAATTTGAGAAAGATCTGCCAATCCATTATGGAGAAAAATATTGATAAAGAAAAGAATTATTAGAAATAAGATACATTATCCCCATGGCAGTTTTCGAGGAGTTCAGTAGCCATTTGTGCAAAATATTTAGTCAGTAGGTCCACACCTCCTGAATCTTAAGATAATTACATTACTTGAATCAACAGTTATTTTATATATATATTAAATTACCGGTAATTACATTAATTTCTCCTTACACTGGAATCTAAATATTAGCCATGTCCAACGTTTACACTATCTAATATTTAAATATTGATTACAAGTAATAAATTATTTTGCTATGACATTTGCCTGGGTGGTGAGCCCAAGTGCTTGCATGAATTCAGTGTATTTTTATTTTAAAAATAATGAAATAAAAATACACTGAATTCATGCAAGCAACTGGGCTCCCCACCCAGGCAAATGTCATAGCAAAATTGGTTATTATCTTTAAGAGTACATGACATTTTGATCTGGCGGCATTTCAGGCTCAAAAAAATATGTCCTCCGCGTTCATGACTGCAGTAGACAAGGCTGGGACTCGAGAATTACTTGAAATAAAAAGTTGAACAGAAAAGTCAATTCAGTTTATAATAAAAATAATAACCTACAAATGATTTTATACAAATAATACGCAGGCGATATTTACCGTTCGTCCTTAAGTACAGCATGTGGACCACACACTGTATAGACCAATAGAGGAACGACAATACATGTTCTTCCAATGTTGATTGTTTACAAAAAGAATCTTTTATAGTGTGTTTCTTTGTATGATAGCAAGAATGTCCAGCTCTTTATCTAAGTGCATCTTTAAAAGCTAATGCCAACGTTTAGGTAGTATGTGAAAAGAAATGTTACAGTTCTTCGATGTTTGAGGCAAAACATGAGTTGTTAATCGGCTACATGTGGATTGCAATTATTCTGTATCACGTTAAAGCATACATGTAGCCTAAGCTTATGCAATTAATCTGTTAAAACATTCTTAATATTGGAATGCCAATCAACACTCAATATGAGACTATTTTATTATAAAAACATCGATGAACTAATCTTGGCTGTGATCCGTCAATAAAGCTGATGTACGGTACTTTCTGACTTACTTAACAGCTGTTCTGACCTGCGAACGAGGTTTCGGACAAAAAATAACTTATGAGTAAATACTAAAACAAGGTACTAAATAAACACAAATTTTCATTTGTTTTATTTATGCATTGTTTATTGTTGTCCGAAACTTCATTATCGAGTCGGAACAGTCATTCAGTAAGTCTGAATTTTGTCCCAGAGTGTGAAATGTTGCGGGATCGAAACGTCATGATACCATTTTAAATGGAGATAGCTTATAGGAGAAATGGTGAAATTAAGGTAAGGTTTGTCATATATGAATATGGTAGTATTTGGAAAACAAAATTTATCATGGGGCAAATTAAATGGCCTAATCCTGCTGTCAAGTAGCCTAATAGTACATGTAGATCTAAATGTTGTGGCTATTAGTTCCCTGGGGCTACACCCAAATTATGCTAGACCTGTATTGCAACAGAAAAACTTTAAAAAACCTTATCTAGCTGTAATAGTAACAGGCCCCACATAGAAATATGTTTAATGTTGTTCCGCATTTTAGTGTTCTATCCTTTCAATGGCAAATAAATAAACCACAGCCACAGGAAAAAATGGCGTACTTTTTCGTGGACCATGTTTACAGACAAATCATTAATATTACAATGCATTTGTTTACAAAAATTGACTAATATAAATAACAACCTTTCAACAGAGACATAGCGTAAACTCCATGCTATCGTAAATTTATAAAAACTATTACTTATTAGTCCAGAAAATATGTCGTGCAGAGACCTCTTCCAAGTCTAATTTTTCTTTAAAATTTCGATTGTCGTAAATAATACCCTAATATAGGATTTTACTTTTGATCATTATTTTACACTAATTTTGACGTTATATTCTAGGGACACATAATTCTTTTAAGATTTATTCTCAGTAAAATGTCCATAGACATGAATTACGATAGTTTGTGATTGTTTGATTGCGACAACCATAGATTTAGCGCCAATGTATTCGCGATTGTCACGGTTTATTTACATTTTTATGCAGGAAAATATATTCTTTCAAAATTATATTTGAAACTTTTTGTGATATTAATGTTAAAGAAATATATTCGGAGCTAAAAAAGAAAAAAATCTTTTCAAACGTGCAAAATTATATCAAGAAATTGCCGTAAACATTAGATTTTCCTGGTAAATTTGAGTTGTCCCCCTTTAATCAAAAATGACAGCGCCCATGCGATGGCGAATAGTTAGGCCGGTGTCGTTGAACATTTTATACAGGGTTTACACAACCAATATGAAATTAGCCTGGAAATCACAGACTTTGTCCAATTACCGGTACTATAGTGGGTCTCATAATTCATTTAGATAGTTGCCCATGTTTATGATATGTAACTGGCATTGCCTGAGTAGATCGTCCTCTTTCGGACCAGGGATCACGGTGGCTAAGTGGGTAGGATGCTGGCTCGCTAGCCTGGAGTAGGGTGTTCGATCCCTGCATTGGCCGAGAAAGTACATCCAGATTTCCCGGCGTGGTTCTCCCTTGTCAGTGATACAGAATTGAGGACCTGACAAGGACGGCAGTCTAGTCATTCGGATGGGACGAAAAACCGAGGCCCCATGGGTACACATTGGCGTGCACGTAAAAGAGTAAGCCGAAGTGCCGATGTCCAGGCAAAATTTTCCCACATAGCACACTGTATGGCGTATGCCCGTCTTCATTAGCCCAGTTCGGAACAGAACAGTACGTTAAACCCCATTTCATTTCGGGAGCCATGGTGGCTAGGTGGTTAAGTAAGACACTGGCTCGCTAGCCTGGAGGTCGGGTGTTTGATCCCTGCATTGGCCGAGAAAGTTCATCTGGATTTTCCGACGTGGTTTCCCCTTGTCAGTGGTGCAGAACGGAGAGCCTGACAAGGACAGCTGTCTAGTCCTTCGGATGAGACGAAAAACCGAGGTCCCGTGTATACATTGGAATGCACGTAAAAGATCCCTTGTCAGTTGGAATTTGATATAAGAGTAGGTGATAGTGCCGCTGCCCGGGCAAAATTTCCCTCATAGCACACTGTATGGCATATGCCCGTCTTCATTAGCCCAGCATAGGAGCAGAACAGTAGGACGTTAAACCCCATTTCATTTCATTTCCACACTCAGTTACACAACAAATAGTACAAAGATGTAAATTCAACAACATCAATTTGATCCAAGTCGTCTAAACCTCTAAACACTAAGGCATTCCGTATAGACCAAACCTAATTACGTCTGGGCGTCTAAATGCATGCGTCACCAATATACAGTGCACTCTTTCACATCCGACATCGTACAGGATCGTTATAATATGTCGGATTACGCAGAGTGTCGGAATACCCAGTTTTCTCAAAACCGGAAATATTGTAACTTCGAAAACCGGAAGTATTATTATAATGTAGCTTCGAACATAGAACTTCGAATCACAAGAATGTTATTCACTTTAAAAATGATAAACCTTTCTGTACATTCAAAATTTTATTACATTAATTTTTATTTCATTTAACATGCGTAGGCATTTTGAATAGGTCAAGTCTGTCGTTAATTTATCTTCTTCGCCGTCTTCAGTTGATCGCACTCTTGTCTTTGCTATCACATGTTCATTGATAATGGGCATACTCGAGTGAACGTTCCGGAATTGAATTCTCTCAATTCCATGCATAGGCATTTTGAATAGGCATTTTGAATAGGTCAAGTCTGTCGTTAATTTATCTTCTTCGCCGCCTTCAGTTGATCGCTCTCTTGTCTTTGCTATCACTTGTTCATTGATATATGGGCGTACTCGATTGAACATTTCGGAATTGAATTCTCTCAATCCCAAAAATAGTGACAATAGTCGACTGGATATATAAATATCTCATCCAACATGATCCATCTTCAAGGCCCTCATCCTGTGAATTACATCAGTCTGATTTAAACACAGATCCTATTTTGTTTCGTTTTTTTATAGATCAAAATTTTGTTTTACTTGTCTTTTCTACACTAGGATCTGGATGATGTGAGGGATTAGTCATTGAAACGGTCTGTTACAGCGAATTTTTGGTGTGAGTTGCACAGAACTGTGGGTAACCCACTAGAAACATCAACTTCATAGGGTCAAAAACCGCTCGTATGACCTTCCAGTACAACCGATCAGATCTTCATGTAGTGTAGGCCATCGGAAGTATAAAAAAATGAAACGAAATATAGATCTGTATTTTAATCAGATTGTAATTATACATGTATAGTCGCCAATAGAAACTAACCTGTTATCCAGTGCCCACTCTATTGTCAAGCTGTTTATGTTTTGTGTGAGCTGACTCTAAATGTGAATAGGTTTTCATGAGTTTTTATTGATTCTTGATAAGTCAACCATAGTATGTTCATATCTATCAAAATTAGCATTTTTTTTTTTTATTGATTTTGATTTTTTTAGATACATTACTTAACTAGATACTGTGTCGAAGAAAGTGGGGACTGTTAAAATGGATCCATCTGCCTGTCTGTTCGTTACACTTTTTGGAACACAATAACTCCCCTTCTAATTGAGCTAGAATGTTCAAACCTGGTGTAGGTGTTTATTAGGTGAATACATTGATAGAGTTTAATGGAGGTGTTGGATGGCCGAATGGGTAGCACGCATGCGCTGTACGATAAGGTCTGTCATTGAGTCAACTGGCGGGTTTTTGATTCCCTGGTTGTACGTGACAAGGAGTAGGGTCGCCTGTCCAACCTCGTGGGTTTTCTCCGGGTCCTCCGGTTTCCTCCCACTGCTAAAGTCCCCTACGCGCAAGCGAATTATTGAAATAAAATTGAACCATATGTTAGTCCCGAAATGACCTAGTTTCTGTCGAGTGGATGTTAAACCCCATTTCTCTATCTCTGATAGAGTTTAAAGATGAGCATTTTCTGCTTAGGGTAAGCAGAGATAAGCAATTTAATTGGTTGATGCTTTAGGACGCGATAAATTTAGTTTTGATTAAGTGACAGTGATGAAACTTTGTGTATAGTTTCATTACATCAATACCTCAACAAAGTTCGATGTTGAGCATTTTCTGCTTAGGCGAAGTAGAGACTTCAATCTGATTGTTCGAGACTTTGTAAAACAAAGCCCTCCTTCGAATTGAGGTAGAATTTTGAAACTTGGTGTAAGTATCTATTAGGTGAATGCCTTTATAGAGTGCAACCAGGCACATTTTCCCACACTGATCAGCAGTGAATATTCGCTAGGCTGCCACAATCACTGATAAGGATGACATCAATGTGACTTAATGAGTCACAAATATTAACTTTTTTCCACCGACAAATTGAATTCTAAAACATTTTTTTTATAAATAAAGACGTTTGACGTATTTGTAGGTAAAAATTATTTCCTATTTAGTGTAAATGGGTATTAAAATGACTAAAAGGCAGCATTCTGCCCAAAGCAGTAACATCTTATGTAAACCATGCACACGGCATTCAACCAATGATTGACGTCTAACGTAAACCTTATCAAATGAAACTTTGATTTAAAAATATTTTCGAACCCTCTGGACAAGTAAAATAGGATGTAATGGATAATTCACACAACAGATAGGACACTTAAACATCTAGTACTTAGATAGAGATATTATTTATTTTCTGGAGCTTTCAAGCCAGCAAGAGTGTTATTGTCCCTTTAACAATGTCTATAACAGATCTGCCATGATTGACTGGGACTAAGTGAGAGGGACGCAATGACGCGCTATGCGTTATGGTTTTGAGTTTTTGTGCAAAAATTACACGGTTTTATAGCGGTCTTCAACATTATAATCATAATGCTTAACCAATGTCAAACATATACCGTTTGTCAGATATGATAAAAATCGACTCTAGCATGTTCCACACAGCCCAATATTACCCGGTAATACTGGGAGGGACTGCCACCCCACCCCCCTCCCTGTACATACACACATATAAATATTGTTTTTTAGGTGACCCGGGCGTGATCTTGTTCCTCATGCAAAGCCCCAACTCTTCATATAGATAGATTTTTATATAGATTTATTGATTATATTTTAGATCATTGATCAGGTTAGAATTAAGCAGATGTACAGTATATACCCCGGCTAATTCTAAAAGTAGAGTTGAGAAACTGACGGAAGAAAACCAGTATAAAAAGTGAGTATTACATTATAGAAAATTGAGTAGGTAGGTAGCCCCTCAAACCAGTGAAGATAGATGAACTCCTAGTAGGTTGATAAGTTAATTTATTAGTAAACGTTTCGAACTAATGGCGTCCTTCGAAGTTAATTTATTAGTAAACATTTCGGACTCGGAAGGACGCCATTAGTCCGAAACGTTTACTAATAAATTAACTTATCAACCTACTAGCGGAAGGACGCCATTAGTCCGAAACGTTTACTAATAAATTAACTTATCAACCTACTAGGAGTTCTTCTATCTTCACTGGTTTGAGGGGCTACCTACCTATTCATTTCTACGACTCCCTGAACCCCTCGTGTATCGCTGAGATCCCAGTTTAGATGTCCTCCTGTTACTAGCCTCCAGCTACATCAGAGTTGTTGTCGTCTTCCACCGCTGATTATAGAAAATTGATGACTTTTTTTAAAACAATATTTCAAAGTAACAATAATGGGGCTAAATTTTCTTTTTCATCTGATCAAATAGAGAGAGATGTTGGGGTTAAAGTACAGATGACACAAATTAGGTCATTATGGGACTAGAGAGAGAAATGGGGTTTAAGTTCCAACGACACAAACTAGGTCATTTTGGGACTAACATATGCGCGTAGGGGTCTTTAGCAGTGGGAGGATACCGAAGGACCTGGGGAAAACCCACGAGTTTGGACAGGTGACCCTATTCCTTGTCACGTACAACCGGGAAAGTTTGGGACTAATATATGTTTTAATTTATTTTTTAGTCTATCCGATGTAGTAACACCTCTAGAACATCGTCCATATAATGATCAATTAAAGGTATTATATTTTGATTATTGATAAAAAGAAGGGGGGGGGGCAGGGCATGTAGGGATGCATGTTAATATACTTTAAAGGAAAAGTTACCCAATTAAGTTATTTTGCTAAGTCATATGAAATGCACTATTGAAAAAGGCTTCTGTGTTCAAAAATAAAAAATATATAAGATTTTAAAGACATAAAAGGCCTGTTCTATTCAATAAATGTCACTACATTCGGCACTTCCATATTCCCATCCATCAGTATTTCTCAATAGACTAATTTGAACGCTTTGACGATCTTTATGCGTTTCCTTTCCAGTTTGTTCTCCCTCATTTTCGGAAAATAATAGGTTTCCATGATTTCCTCCCCAAATGAAGAAAATAAAAGAAATAATAATAATAATAATAATAAAAACTTTATTTAATGAGGCAACGTATTTAGTTTGCAAAAAGAAAACTAATCTTCCATAGGTCCCTCCTAAACTACAAAGACATATATACATGTAATATCAGGATAAATTTAAAATCATTAGAAATGCAATAGCATTTTAAAGTGGGAAGTTTGATAAGTCACTCCCAAACTACAAAACATATACATTATACAAGTAGAATATAGGAAGAACACTATAATTACACACAAAATAAAATAGAATGCAGTTGCAAGTTAAGAATAATAAGTATGTCATCAGTTGAATATTATGGTTCCTTCAGTGTGCAAAATAAATGAGTTTTCAGTTTAATCTTAAAATTTTCAACATTTTTACACATCTTTATATCAAAAGGCAGATTGTTCCATAAAAGACATGCAGAATAATGAAAAGTACATAGAGAATCTCCTACCAGTCTTTTTTGATATCTGCCGAGTTTTTTTTACTTCATCAACGAGTGTTGATATTTTTTGATATCAAAAAAGACGAGTAGGAGATTTTATTTATCACCCAATCCCTTCTTACATGCACAAATAGATAAATTTAATTCTTTGCTGTAGATTTCACTTTTACTGAACATTACGGCCTAGTGATACATCATTTTTTGACAGCAATTCAACCATTGCAAAGTCCTTTATATTGACCCAGTGTTTCCATCAAGGTCAATTGAATAACAATAGTTCATTTTAATAAAAAAAAAAGTTACTTTTAATAAGAATGAACTGTTCTTTGGAAATAAAAAAAAGTTCTTCCTTTTCAACTGACCAATCAAATTATGAAATATAACACACAAGCGATATCTACTGTAGAATGTATTATTGGGTGATAAATACATTTTTGATGCCACATTGTATTTCAGACAAAAGAATTTTTGATGAGAAGAGCTTTAAAAAAAATATATAACACAATCAAAGATCACCGAAGAGGTTCAACTCCACAACTAGATGAAATAGCCAATCAATCAGATGGTCAAATATGTCCATTTATAGAAGTCAAACCATCTGTAGGTATTTATTCTCAAGAAGATGATCATTCATGTTCCTTAAGCAATGGCTGGGAGTTTTACAACATCAAGACGTTGCTAGCAAACCTGGAAATAAGGCATCTGTCACAGACATTGACATATACAAATAAAGGATTTGTCAGGCTACATCCTTCTTGTGCTTATCTTTTTGTCTTGCAGTGAATGTGAATGGCCTTTTTCTTTTTTTTATTGACACAAAGTTCAAAATGTCAGACACTACCTAGTTCCTGTCATTTTACACATACATCTAAAACAGTTATCTCTCAGCTTGGTTGCTAGATTGCTTTACAATTCCCGAACTTATAGCTACGTTATCTCCATTTACTGCGCACACATGTGACCAGTAGCATCCAATCAGAGGTTGTGATACAAACAACCTCAAATCAAATATAGCAACTGCCACAGAAACCTTGACATTGAACGAACCTTGAACTTTGCAACTCGATTATCACAAGTAGATATTTTAGCTGGAAAGCGCGAGACTTGGTATTCGCGATGATCGAGGAATATGATAGGTTCTCAAGCTGGGTGAATATCCAATCGAAATTAGTACCGATATATCCAGGGTATTACGTGAAGGGCTTGATAAAATGTATGGAGTTAAAGGACAATATTGGTGCGAGTCATTATCACATATGTGATAGACCTGGTTAAGCAAGTTCCAAATATAATTTTAACACACAGATCATTGCTATGATAGAGGCGTAATGAAGCCTTCAAGAAAGGGAAGTGACGAACACAAAGGAAAACACGAGTTATCCTTCTATATAACTGACTTAAGTGACGTGTGATAACAGATACACCGGTAAATTTCTGCTCACTAACAATTCCTTCAAAGACCAAAAGTTGTTATGTGAGGCTGTCAGAATGTTACTAGATAAGGGAAAACAAGAAAAAAAGAAACAGTACCTACATTCACTTGTTTTTATTCATTCTATACTTATAAAAACATGGTAATGCACAGTAATAATCTCTATGTTAAAATTATATTTGGAACGTGTTTAACCAGTTCTATACATATGAGATAATGACTGGCACCAATATTGTCCTTTAAAGTGAGATCAAGCCTTCTATTGAAGAAGATGATCATTATTAAACTCTACCATAGATTGTGTTTGTCAGCGGGTGTGCCCATTCCTTCTCTTGACAAGGGCTTTGGATCTTTGCATACCTCGTTTGGCAAAATAGAAAATTATTAAATCCTGAAACTTGTATTTCATATAATTTTCTAATATATAACATAGTAAGAAAAAACTACCAGTGTAATGGAACCAATTAAAATCTTGAGCTAAATATTGGAGAAATTATAACTGGTCATTTTGAAATGAAATGAAATTGGGTTTAAAGTCCTACTGTTTTGCTCTGAACTGGGCTAATTAAGACAGGCATACACCATACAGTGTGCTTTGAGGGAAGTTTTGCCCGGGCAGGGGCACTACGGCCTACTCTTATATCAAATTCCAACTTCAAGGGATCTTTTACGTGTACGCCAATGTGTATACGGGACCTCGGTTTTTCGTGTCATCCGAATGACAAGACAACTTTCTCGGCCAATGCAGGGATCGAACACCCGACCTCCACTTAGCCACCATGACCCGCCAGTCCTATTGAGTAAACTGGAGATTTATAATTGGAGGTGTGGTTTATACGTTTCCTAGTGGGGTGGATGGCCGAATTGTTAACGTGTGCGCGTTGAATCATAACGTCTGTGATTGAGTCATTCCATTCCCCAGTTGTACGTGACAAGCTTTCCCCAGGTCCTCCAGTTTCCTCCCACTGCTACAGACCGCTACGCGCAAGCAAATTATTGAAATAAAATTAAGCCATCTGTTAGTCCCAAAATGACCTAGTTTGTGTTGAGTGGACGTTAAACCCCATATCTCTCCTTCTCGCTCTCTCAATAAGTATCCTAAATTATGTCGTCTAAGTTATGATTTTCAATTTTAACATGGACCACCCATACTAAACTAGAACAAATATTAAGTTAGACCAACATTTTCATTCTTAAAATATGCTTCGAGAATTTTAATAAAATTGAAAAGGTTTATTTAGTATTTGTGTGTATGACAGAGATGTGAAACAGTGTAGAACCGCATAATAAAAGATTATACTAATTTTTGGATACGGCGGCCATTCAGAGTAGAGATCTATTTTTGAAGTAGGTAGTAAACTGTGTGCAGGGGGATTGGATGGCTGAATGGTTAGCGTGCGCGCGCTGTATCATAAAGTCTGTCATTGAGTCGACTGGCGTGGTTTCGAATCCCCGGTTGTACGTGACAAGGAGTAGGGTCGCCTGTCCAACCTCGTGGGTTTTCTCCGGGTCCTCCGGTTTCCTCCGACTGCTAAAGACCCCTACGCGCAAGTGAATTATTGAAATAAAATTAAACCATATGTTAGTCCCGAAATGACCTAGTTTGTGTCGAGTGGACGTTAAACCCCATTTCTCTCTCTCTCCCTGTATGTGCAGAATGGGACCGCCCCTAACTACTGTACAACTGTCAAATACTGGAACATATACATGTAACATGATCGTATGTTATTACAGAAGCTATTTTCCTAACAATAATATATTTGTTATCAATTAGATACTTGGGCTCTTTTTATTCTCATCAGAAAATAACCTCAAAGAATTGGTAGGCAGATAAACATAAAAACATTATATGGAACACAATTACTGATATAAACATATTTTATTGACAAACATCAAAAGGATCAGGTTTCAAGAGTATTCCCCTTTCCATACATATTGTAATATTCATTACAATTTTAAACAAGATAGCGAATCAATATATACAGTATGATTTAAATACATAGATACATAACAGGTAATAAATAAATTATAAATCGTATGAAAGTAGCTTTAAATAAAAATGAGAAAAAGAACTGACATCACTTGCATATATATATTATGTTCAATTATAAGATTAGTAATGTATAATTTAAGTGGAATATGGTTGAACTGTGTTATGTATAAAATGACTCGCAATCCAAGCAATAGATATAAGGTTATATAGTTGGACTCTGCATTCTTTTTACAAGTGAAACTTTACGAAATGCATAAGAGAATAGGGAATATAATAACATAAAAGACTGGGTATAAATGAAAAGAGAAGAGAATGTCATCCAACAAAGTATTGTGCTTACATTAACATGTTAAATTTTTATTTAAAACTTTCAGAAAGTTTTATAAATTTGTGAATTTTTACGCAAATGTGTGTATTCATTTCATTTCATAATTCTTTATTAGGCCATAATAAGATATTTATATTAATAACAGGATAATCTGATAAACTATTCAATTGTTCCATCTGAATTACATCATACAGTGCAGGAAATAATGTTCTGCCATTTCTATAAATTTATCACAAAAGCATTTGGGATCATTTACCACATTAATATGGTATAGATTACTATTACAATTAATATTTTAATTAAAGGGACAATAACACTCTAGCTGGCTTGACAGCTCCAGAAAATAAAAAATAGCCTTATTCTAAGTACTAGATGTGTTAGTGTCCTACCTGTTGTGTAAATAATCCATTAAATCATATTTTACTTGTCCAGAGGGTTCAATAATATTTTTAAATCCAAGTCACATTTGAAAAGCTTTACGTCCGGCTTTTCAAATCATTTAGTTGAATTTTTCCAATTTTTTAAATTAGGTGTGTTAAGATGAAATTTATATCATCAATCAATTGGAATATTGTAAAATAGTACAATTTGTTGACCAGAATAAAGATTGGGACATATTATTCAGTTACAACAAGAGTGGTATTGAGCCCTTAAAGCGACCCTATGATGAGGGTTTACTCAATGTTATCAAGCAAATGTGTTCCGTATTATGTTTTTGTGTTTATTATATGTGTGTCCCGTCTTCATTAAGCCCAGTCGAAGCAGAATAGTTGGACGTTAAACCCCATTTCATTTCATTTATTATGTATGTCAATTGCTGCTCAAAGAAGAATTCATGTAGAGTGAACTATTTATATTTTTAGCCAGTTATCTATGGTTATAGAAATAAAAACTCTGTTAATTTTGGTAAAGATGTCAATGGTAATGAGAAAACAGTTGGTTATTCTATAGGTAAATATAAAGGTAAGTACCGATACTGTTATTGTCACATTATTTAGGGCCTACAGGGTATGATATTGTTTATGTTTGATTCAAGGCATAATGCTGTGAATATCTGACAATATTTGGTTGAAATGGATTTTTAACTGACATTAATTCCAAAGTTTTCAATTCTTTGGATCTTGGCAGGTTAGTTTGGATGGCCGAATGGTTAGCAAGTGCGCACTGTATCATAAGGTCTGTCATTGAGTCAACTGGCGAGGTTTCGATTAACAGGTTGTATGTGACAAGGAGTAGGGTGTCCTGTCCAATCTCTTGGATTTTCGCCGGTCCTCCAGTTTCCTCCAATTGCTAAAGACCCCTATGCTCAAGAGAATTATTGAAATAAAATTGAACCATATGTTGGTCCCGAAATGACCTAATTTGTGTGGAGTGGACGTTAAACCCCATTTCTCTCTCTTTGGATATTTTGTTTGAGATATTTATTATTTATTTCAGATCAAAATATGGTGTATGCTAAACCTTATCTTCTTCCTAATATTTCTGATCAACATAAGAATATAATCAAGGTATTTAAACTTAAAGTAGCTAAATCTCTAACTCAATATCATTCAAAGTCTTTGTCATTGAAAAGAAGGGGTTGGATGGCTGAATGGTTAGCGTGGGCACTGCATCATTAGGTCTGTCACTGAGTCAACTGGCATGGTTTTGATTCCCGGGTTGTACGTGACAAGATTTTCCGATGTGATTTCCTCTTGTCAGTGGTGCAGGACGGAGGGTCTGACAAGGACAGTCGTCTAGTCATTCGGATGGGATAAAAAACCAAGGTCCTGTGTAAACATTGCCGTGCAAGTAAAAGATCCCTTGGCAGTTGGAATTCGATATAAGAGTAGGCAATAGGGCCGCTGCCTAGGCAAAATTTCCCCCATGGCACACTGTATGGCATATGACCGTCTTCATTAGCCCAGTAGGAGCAGAACAGTCGGACGTTAAACCCCATTTCATTTCACATATTTTCAGTCTGTTGAAGATTATATAAGACAGTCATGTTTCCATGCAGATAGTTCTAGGTATGGTATATGGAGATCTGCTATAATAAGATCGACAAAACGTGGAGAGATAATGTTGTGGTTTGTTTTAAATCCTTATTCTTTATCGCAGGTAGGTTATAAAAATAATACTGTTTCTAGAAAAAAGATCCACATTGGCTCAGTGAGCATGTTGCTGACTCACTGTTTCTAGTATTGCTCAGTGAGCAAGGTGCTGGCTCGCTAGACTGGAGTTCTCGTGCTCGCTCCTGGTGTTTGCTCCTGGATTTTTTTGTGTGATTTGTCTGAGGGTCTGACAAGGACAGCTGTCTGGTGGTTTGGATGGGAGAAAAAAACGAAGTTCCTTGTATGCATTGGAATTTGATACAAGAGTAGGCCATAGTGCCACTGTCTGAGCAAAATTATTATTACTTATTACTTTTGAAATCTTCCACAGTATTCTAATCAGGATTTTTCTACTCCTGCACTAAAAATCAAAAATGCTGTAACTAAAATGAGCTGTTATGGCACCATGGATGGAGATTTATTCCAGAAATAAAGTTGATTTACATTGAAATGAGGCCAAGGTCCAATCTTTAAATTACATGTATGCAATATGGTAATACTGTAGTGTCATTGAGTCAACTGGCGGGGTTTCGATTCCCTGGTTGTACGTGACAAGGAGTAGGGTCGCCTGTCCAACCTCGTGGGTTTTCTTCGGGTCCGCCGGTTTCCTCCCACTGCTAAAGACCCCTTCACGCAAGCGAATTATTGAAATAAAATTGAACCATATGTTAGTTCCGAAATGACCTAGTTTGTGTTGAGTGGACCTTAAAGTTTAACTCTCTCTCTCTCTCTCTCTCTCTCTCTCTCTCTCTCTCTCTCTCTCTCTGTAGTGTGCTACATAAGAATTTTTCAAAAACAAAAATGCTGTATGAATATGCCAAGTACCTCTTTATTTTTTAAAGTGGAATTTTGAATCTATATATCATAAAATACATTTCCCATTTATAATAGGAAGAACTTGAACATGCCAAAAATGAGTTGAAAGATTATTACTCCAATGGGCCAGGAATATTGGTAGGAGTTACATCCCTTTATTTACAGGTGTGGTGAGTTTATAATATGGTAGTTCTATCATTAACCACAAAATTATTAGATGTTTATTTTATAAGAAAAAGAGGTAGTTTAGAACTTGATACAAGTTTTTACACACCCACATTTGATGTGAGAGTATATTGTTGTCACCCCTGTCCATTCTGTCCATTCATTCATCCATACAAAATTATTGTACTAACTCCGCAAGTCAGATTGTAGACTCGATTGTCAGTCCAGAACGTCCAGAATTGAGAAAATTGCAATCAAGTGATACGGAATTCAGCCATGTCACAGTTCTGTCAGTCCCAACAGCTGAGGTGGTGTGAGTAGAATCATGACGTATTTTAAGTAACAAATATGTTTCAGCTGTCATGATTGGTTGAGATATTTTCTTATGCAGATGGCACATGTATTGTATCCCGAAATTCTCCTTTTAACTTGATTGGCACTATTTTTTGGATAGTGAGAATTTATTTCCGTAATGTTCAACCGAGTATCCACAATGATTTTCTTTTCAAACTTAAATAGATTGTTCAGCTAGTCATAAGGAGGAGCCTGATCAAAATTCATTGCACCTATTTATTGCACCTATTCACTGCCCATGTCTCTGAAACTTTGTTCAGGCCCACGTTTTTAAAATTTCTTTTTCAAACTTGTTTGTATTGGTTTGCTAGTCCTGAGAGGAAGCCTATCTCAATTTATATTTACTGCTCCATGTCACCGACACTTTTTAAAAACAGGTATTTGAAGTTCTTTTGTCCAGATTTACAGAGTTAGTTCGGTTAATCCTAAGAAGGAACTCTATTGGACATTCAGACATGCATGCACTCCACCCATCTGTTTTTGTCTTTACAATTTTCACAAAATAAGATTTGACTCCAGAATTCAAATCCAAACTATCACTCCTTTTTAGTAGTGATTGGTGTCATGGATGATGCAGGATATGCTCTTAAAACATAAATATTTCATGTAGAGTTTGTGGAGATGTACTTTTATTATAAATATTTACATGTAATTGAGGTAAAGATCAAGGCCAATTGTTTATTGACAGTAAGGGGGTCACGGTGGCTAAGTGGGTAAGGCGCTGACTCGCTAGCCTGGAGGTCGGGTGTTTGATCCCTGCATTTGCTGAGAAAGTTCATCGAGATTTTCTGATGTGGTTCCCTCTTGTCAGTGATGCAGGACGGAGAGCCTGACAAGGACAGCTGTCTAGTCGCTTGGATGGTACGAAAAACCGAGGTCCCATGTACACATTGGTGTGGACGTAAAAGATCCCTTGACAATTTGAATTCGATATAAGAGTAGGCCATAGTGCCACTGTCCGGGAAAAATTTCCCTCAAAGCACACTATAGTATATGGCATATATTCCCGTCTTCATTAACCCAGTTCGGAGCAGAACAGTAGGACGTTAAACCCCATTTCATTTCATTTATTGACAGCAAAGGATTCACACCAAGATTAGGCAACACAGAGACTATACATTTATCAGGAACAGAATATATTACAGAAGAATTGAATGGCAAGAAATTTATAATAGCACCAGAATCATTCTTTCAAGTTAACACCACAGCAGCTGAAGTTCTCTTTAAAACTATTGGTGAATTGCTGGTTGAAAAATCAACAAGTAATTTACTTGATGTTGGCTGTGGAACGGGTATGTAAATAATTACACAGATATTTGTTTAAAGATACATTATCCAAGAGCTAAATCTGCCTATTGCAGGTCTTTATTTAGGCCTAGGGCCTGTTTCACGAAATTTTAACTAAGACAAAATCCAAATTTTAGTAATTTGATGGGATAATATTAGATTGATTTTAGTGCTTAGCCAATCAAAATTGAAGTATCTACTAAAATTTTGATTTTATCTTTAGTTGATATTTCATGAAACAGGGCCCTGAAATGTTATATAAACTATTAATTAGACATTAATTAACATGAAAAGACCTTAATCAACTCTTGATGCCATCTGTGTGTCAGATTGTCACTGGATTTGATTCCGATCTGCTGCTCAATGCTCATTGATTACTAAATTGATGAAATTTTTTTCATATTCCCTTTACATTATCTTGTTTTTAAATATTATAGTGAAAACTGCCAGCTATTTATCTGACTTTCCTTAATGTATCTTTAATATTAGGTCAATTCTGTTATGGGGCATTATGTAAGATTTAGATAAGTAGATAATTCAAAAGGAATATATTGAAAATTTCATTCATATTACTTTATTTTGAGACAAGAAATCAATGGTTGTAGGTTGTAGATTTGACAAGATGTCATTCAAGTCTTAGCCTCGTTTCACCATTTTTAAATTAAATCATTAAATGGTCGAACTGTTTTAATCTACTTAAAATCGGAGCCATCCGATGGTATCAAAAGTTGGTTATGATCTTGTCATGGTAATAAATGTCTAATTAATAGTTTATATAACATTAAGTCCGAAAGAAAGACATGTAATAAGCAGATTTAGCTCTTACACAATGTATGTTTACAGAGAATTTATTTTGTTTGTGTACAGAAAGGTTTTATTGAGTTGAATAATTATTTCTGTTCTAATAAATTACAGAAGCTCCCCTCCCCCCCTTTCCCCCTCCTGAAAAAAAAAAGAAAAAGAATTGATCAATTGACTACAGGACATGTAATTCTGATCTGATTAAAATACAGATCTATATTTCGTTTCGTTTTTTTATACTTTCGATGGCCTACACTACATGAAGATCTGACAAGTTGTAGTGATAGGTCGCTTCAGAGGTCATACGAGAGTCTTTTGACCCTATGATGTCAGACATTTGATTAACCAATCAGCATTGATGTTACTAGTGGATTACCCACAGTTCCGTGCAAAACACGCCTAAAGCTCTCCGTAACAGACCGTTTCATTGGCTAATCCCTCACATCATTCAGAAGACGTCAATGATAACAACTCTTCCAGATCCAAGTGTAGTAAAAACAAAACGAAATTTTGAACTATAAAAACTGTTACGAAACTGGAATTGTAACCACATTTTACCCTTGTTTCCAATATGTAATTTAAATAAAGAATCAGACATCCGAAATTATTAATAACAAAAGATATTCGTATTCCCATCTCGAAGGCCTGCACTGTCATTTTACTTCTCACGATATAGGTGGGAATTTCCACATTGTTTATAACATTACACATAGTCACACCAAGATATAGCTACCCAAAGAAAGCATTAATTACCACTGGTCTATATGTTATGTAATTAACCCAATACTTAGCTTCGTTTATACACAATAGTACTAATAGCCGTAATAATCCGCAAAAGAAATGGTGATGTTTACATTCTCGGCCATGTTAGAATATTAGCGCGTGCCGACGTCATAACTCACGCCGCCCAACGGTTGATTAGTTGTGCTACCAAAAATAGATGATTTGAATAGCAGACGAGAGTCTTCTGGTTGTCCCCGGTCGAGGTCGCAGGGTGCTAAAGGGAAATTAGGCCTATATTAAATGGGCTGTAGTGGTTTGTAGCCTTATTCATTTATTAATTATTGTATTGCTAATAATTGTTCCTCATTTACGTTGATAGAGGGCTCATTGGCAGTTTTTAGGCTATCCCATATTTTTCGTGAGTTTTAATGACTTGCGATTGCCGATGTTTATATCTAGGCCTAACTATATAAATAGGCCTGAATTTAGCGAGTTTTCCCGTGACCACGCGAATTTAATTGGAAGTGAAAAGCTTCACTACACCGGAGGTCTCCATAATTTTTATAGAATATTATAGAGTATTATTAGTAATAATAATAAATAAGCTTTTCTGACTAAATCACAGATAACAAGGCTTTAATTACTATTGTAATTGTTGAATAGGCCTGAATTAAACTAATTAGGATTAGTTTTACCTGATATAATTTGGACTATTATTTTTATGCCTAGTATTAGTACTAGTATAAAGTAGTAAGTCTACAGATTAATTAAATTGATTGCAAGGCCTTATTTAATAGCTATTAAGCTACTATAGGCTAAATAGACTAAATAGGCTAAACTAATTTTAGAATTAGTTTTTACCCGTGACCCGTGAGAACCATAATTGTTGTCTAAAAAGGGACACACTAGAAACTCGATAAGCTCACCCGTCACCCGAATCTTATTCTTCACCCGAAGATCACCCGTCATCCAAGTCTCACCCAAGACTTATTCTTCACCCGAAGATCACCTCTCACCCAAGTCTCACCCAAGACTTATTCTTCACCCAAAGATCACCCGTCACCCAAGTCTCACCCAAGACTCAACCGTCACCCAATATTCACTCTTCACCCGAAGATCACCCATCACCCGAGGCTCACCCGAAGATTACCAGTCGCCTGAGGTTCACCTTTAGTGACTTGTTGAATGTTATAGAACCCACTATTAACCTGTGGTGTAACCCATAATATAACCTGCTACACAGGACCAGTGATCATTTTTATAAGTAATATAATCACCATGCAGTGATTACATAACCTTATCCATTGTAAAGAACCATAATAAGTGTTCTTGTATTAATTAGAGACCTTGATTGCTAAAAGGAAGAGTAGAAATCACGCCTTTGTATTACAAGAGTTTGAAACAAAGGGGAATAAATCCCGCTCGTTACATTTATTTATTAAAGTAAATGACTTTTATAAATTGTATAAATATAAATATGAGCTATAAATGAACATTATTGTAAAGACTATTTAATATATCTATTCATTGTAATTTGTATTATGTAAGTATTAATTATAAATATTTGTTGAATAAAGTTTATGTAATTTATTATTGAATTTGTTATTCTTTTGATTTACATGCTTAGACTGAGACAAGCCCGAATAGCGTTGAAAAGGGAAACGCAACAAAACGAAACGAAATAGGATCTGTGTTTTAATCCATGTTTGAGTTTGTAAACTTTGTATAATATTTTATAGGTACTATAGGAATATTATTATCAGATTATGTTAGCCATGTATATGGTATAGATGTAATGCCTTCAGCTATTGAATGTGCCAAAGAAAATGCCAAATTAAATGGTAGGTGACAGTAAAATGTTTGTGAGGTCATTGAATTCTTGCATATTGTAAATCTTATAAAAGATTTGACTAAATAAGTAATAAGTTTGACTCAGTAAATGTTTCACTTTTGTTTTGTTTTTTATAAGCAACAGAAAATGTTTTATGTTATATCAGAGATTTTCCATTTTCTCAGATAAAAGATAGAATGTTTTTATACGCCCACATTTTCATGTGGACATATTATGCCGTCGCCCCTGTCCGTCCGTCCACAATTGTTTGTGGACTCTCTACAGGTCACAATTCTTATCCGATTTTGACGAAGCTTGAAATATAGGTTTATCCCCAAAAAATCTGGGCTGCTTTCGATATTGGCATGTATCGGATCGAAACTTCATGGATTATGGCCCCTGATTGTACGAAAAATCACGTTTTTAGCTTGTGGACCCTATAGAGGTCACAATTTTTATCCGATTTTTTTGAAACTTGAAATGTAAGTTTATAACCCAAAGATCTCAGTTCCTTTCGATATTCGCGCATATCGGACCGTAACTTCCTGAATTATGGCCCCTGATTGTACGAAAAATCGCGTTTTTAGCTTGTGGACCCTATAGAGGTCATAATTTTTATCCGATTTAAAAAACCGTATTATTATATCACCGTTACACCCTAAGGAAGGTTGAGTTCGAATTTTGTGAAATTCAGCCCAAAACTGACAGACAAAATGGCCACCCTTCGTTCTCAAATAGCGTAAAAAATATGGTATATCAAGGTTGTGGACCCAATAGAGGTCACAATTTTTATCCAATTTTGTTGAAACTTGAAATGTAAGTTGATAACCTAAAGATCTCAGTTCCTTTCGATATTCGCGCATATCGGACCTTAACTTCCTGAATTATGGCCCCTGATTGTACCAAAAATCTCGTTTTTAGCTTGTGGACCCTATTGAGGTCATAATTTTTATCCGATTTAAAAAAAACGTTTTATTATATCACCGTTACACCCTAAGGATGGGTGAGTTCGAATTTCGTGAAAATCGACCCAAAATTGACAGACAAAATGGCCGCCGTTCGTTCTCAAATAGCGTAAAAAATATGGTATATCAAGGTTGTGGACACTATAGAGGTCACAATTTTTATCCGATTTTGTTAAAACTTGAAATGTAAGTTTATAACCCAAAGATCTCGGTTCCTTTCGATCTTCGCGCATATCGGACCATAACTTCCTGAATTATGGCCCCTGATTGTACGAAAAATCGCGTTTTTAGCTTGTGGACCCTATAGAGGTTATAATTTTTATTAGATTTAAAAAAACGTATTATTATATCACCGTTACACCCTAAGCACGACTGAGTTCAAATTTCGTGAAAATCGGCCCAAAGCTGACAGATAAAATGGCCGCCCTTCGTTCTCAAATAGCGTAAAAATAGGGTATATCAAAGTTGTGGACCCTATAGAAGTCACAATTTTTATCCGAATTTGTTGAAACTTGAAATGTTAGTTTATAACACAAAGATCTCGGTTCCTTTCGATCTTTGCGCATATCGAATTGTAATTTCCTGAATTATGGCCCTTGATTGTAGGAAAAATCACTTTCTTCTTAGCTTGTTCTCTATCCATCTCTCGAAAATGTGGGCGTATCCTGCCTGGCAGCCGCTGGTTAAAGATGCAGTGCAACAGAAGTTTAACGGGGGGGTGGGGGGTGGATGGCCGAATGTAGCACATGTGGGATGTATCATAACGTCTGTCATTGAGTCAACTGGCTGCTAAAGATCCCTACGCGCAAGCGAATTATTGAAATAAAATTGAACCAAGTGTTAGTCCCAAAATGACCTAGTTTTAGTCCAGTGGAATTAAAGCCCATCTCTCTATCTCTCTTTATCTCTCTCTCTCACAGAAGGTTAAAAAAGAAAATTCTAATTTATCAAAATTAGTGTTGAAAAAAGGTTTTGTTTAAATTGTAGTGTGCAACAGTACAAGTTTAAAGTCATACTGTTCTGCTCTCACTGAGCTAATCGAGATGGGCATATGTCATACAGTGTGCTACGGGGTAAATTTTGCATAGACACGGTGCTAAATTCAACTCTTATATCGAATTCCAAGTGATCTTTTACATGCATACCAATGTGTACACGGGACCTTGGGGGCTTGGACGGCCGAATGGTTAGCACGCGCGCACTGTATCATACGGTCTGTCATTGAGTCAACTGGCCGGGTTTTGATTCCCCAGTAGGGTCGCCTCTCCGTCCTTGTGGGTTTTCTCCGGGTCCTCCGGTTTCCTCCCACCGCTAAAAACCCCTACGCGCATGCGAATTATAGAAATAAAATTAAACCATACGTTTGTCCCGAAATGACCTAGTTTGTGTCGATTGGACATTAAACCCCATTTCTCTCTCTCTCTCACGCGGGACCTTGGTTTTTCATCCCATTTGTACAACTAGACAGCTGTCCGTGTCAGGCCCTCTCTTCTGCACCACTGACAACGGGAAACCATGGCGGAAAATCCTGATGAACTTTCTCGGCCTACACTGGGATTGAACCCGCGACCTCCAGACTGACGAGGGTAAAAATATAAAATAAAAAAGTTCTAGTATATCAAAGAATCAAAGAGTCCATTTTTTATTTTTTTTATTTTTAAGATATAAAGAATATAGAATTTCTATGTGGTATGGCTCATACAACATTAAAACAGATGATTGAAGATAATCACAGTGGATTAAGATTAGATAATATGGGAGCTATATTAAATCCTGGTCGAGTAGGATTAAGTAAGTAATCATATTACTGTTTGTACAAAATCACTGGGTTAATAACTTTCTGTAAGTGTATTATTTACACATGATTTGTTTATAATTATGTGTGAGCCAAGAAGTCGCCATAACATACCTTTTTGCCGGTAATCCTTCCAGATCCTAGTGTAGTGAAGACAAATAAAACAAAATTTTGAACTATAAAAAACAAAATAGGATCTGTTTCTCAAATAGAAAAAATCATGCGGTTTTCAATGCAATAATCATAATCAAAATGTTTCAACCAGTGTCAAATATACAGTGCTACAAATCGACTCTAGCATTTCAATACATCCCAAATTTTCTCAGCGCCAGGGGATATAACTAACAATGTAACTATGATGTTCCCCCAAGGGATCCTGTTCCTCATTGAAAATCTACGGTTACCTGGGTTAACACGTCACTGATGTCAAGACTGAATTTGACTGATATTCAATAAAAATATAGAACTGCAGAAATTTATTCTATAGATATTTGACTGGGACTAGAATGTTAAACTGTCAGTCATTGTTTCTTTAAATTAATATTAGGGTGTATACCAAATTCAAATCTAAATATCTCTGATATGTCACCATGTCTTTAAATTAATTTTAGGGTGTATACCAATTTCAAAGCTAAATATCTCTGACATTTTCTAAGATAAATGCATATGTCACCATGTCAATTTGACTAGAGGATTTAAATTTAAGCATTGTTGTGTTTTGATTTTTTGACCTATTTGTCTTATTTAGCCACAGAGGGGGTTGGATGACCTAATGGTTAGAGTGTGCACGTTGTATCATAAGGTCTGTCATTGAGTCAACTGGTGTGATTTCGATTCCCCGGTTGTACGTGACCAGGAGTAGGGTCGCCTGTCCAACCTTGTGGGTTTTCTTCGGGTCCTCTGGTTTCCTCCCACTGCTAAAGACCCCTACATGCTAGTGAATTATTGAAATAAAATTGAACCATGTGTTAGTCCCGAAATGACCTAGTTTGTGGCCAGTGGAGGTAAAAACCTCTCTCTCTCTCTCTCTCTCTCTCTCTCTCTCTCTGTAGTTCATGATCTAATTAAATTAGTTCTAGGTGTGTTGATATATTGTTTTCTATTCTATATAGATAAGAAGTTTATTTATGCATTAAGGAATTGTCCGGAAGTAAAACACATTATTTATGTATCATGTAAACCTGCAGGAAATGCCCTTAGAAATATTGTAGAGTAAGTATGTTAAACGTAATTTAGGGGTTCATGGTGGCTAAGTGGGTAAGATGCTGGCTCGCTAGAAGCTGGAGGTTGGGTGTTCGATCCCTGCATTGGCTGAGAAAGTTCATCCAGATTTTTCGGTGTGGTTTCCACTTGTCAGTGATGCAGGATGGAGGGCCTAACAAGGACAGCTGTCTAGTCGTTCAGAAGAGATAAAAAACCAAGGTCCCGGTACACATTGGCGTGCACATAAAAAAATCCCTTGACAGTTGGAATTTGATGTAAGAGTAAGCTGTAGTGCCGCTGTCTGGGCAAAATTTTCGTCATAACCCACTGTATGACGTATGCCCATCTTCATTAGCCCAGTCGCAGCAGAACAGGAGGACGTTAAACCCTATTTCATTTCATTTCATTTAAAAGTAATTAGGTGTGATGTCATGTTTTCAGGAACTAATATCTGAATTGTTTCAATGCCATTTAGTAATTGAACTGGAATATACAGGTGACAATTCTATGGAATACAATTACTGCTTATTACTGAGCTTGACAATAACTAGAGAAGCCTATTTAAAACAGCGCTCAGTAATGAGCAGTAATTGTATTTCATAGAATTGTCACCTGTATACACCAATATGTGATTCACTAATATTGCATTAAAGCCCACACCATTGATTTCTCTGTAAAATACATACTTTTGCCAAACTGATACCAGTGTCCAATTACCACTTGGTAGATTGTAGAGATGGGAACAAGTCCCCTCACTGTGACTAAAGTCCTTAGCTTTTTCAAGTCAATGTCTCATGTAGGGTTATTGATGTGACTTAAGTCGGACTAAAGTTCCCACCTCTGGTAGATAAAGCATATGATTATTGGGCCACATGGGTTTCCAGATTATGTGTCTATCCCCCAATTCCTATTTGTACAAATCTGTATCAAGTTTTAATAGTGCCTTAGCTTTTATTGTCCACAGTATTTCTTGATTTTAACAGCCAAGATATCAGAAAATATCAAAGAGATGAAACACGGAATTTATAGTTGCCGGTGGGTGGGTGTAGGGGGGATTTATTGTGACTACTAACAAGGTGTCACTGAGTTGGAGTGGCTGTTGGTACAGATCCTACTGTATTTAAAAACAACTAAACCTGAACCTTGTAGGTTTATAATTGAATGTATAATATTTATTAAACATACATTATGCAAGAGCAAAATCTGATTATTGCAAGTCTTAATTTAGACGTCAGATGTTATAGAAATTATAAATTAGATCTTTATTTAAACAACAAGCCCAAAATCAACTCTGTAGACCCACGGATGGCTCGGCTACAGCTCAGATTTAAATAGGATTTCACTCATTGATAAATTGAAATATGGCGCACCCTGATGAGAATACGTCAGTTAGATCGAGGCTAAATGATAGAGTGTACTTAGCGAGGCCGCTGTAGAGCGTTTCCGCATGCCATTGAAAACTTTACTTGATAATCGAGATATGTAAGTGGAGTTAACGCCTGTCAATCAAACGATCGACCAAGGTGATGGCACATTTCACTACCATTTCTAGGCAAATATTACAACGATGATAACTATGTTCAGAATAAAGTAATTTGACTGAAATTTTCAATATATTCTTCTTTCATCATCTACTTTTGAACTGTTATAGCAAGAATGGCCAACTCTCTATAAAAATCTCCCATAATGTATCTTTAAGTAGAATTAATAAGGTGGTAAATATTGTTATATTTATATTTGTAGTTTATTGGTACCTGAAGATGAAATTATACAAGGAAAATGTTTTAGAGCAGAGAAAGCCTTGGCTGTAGATATGTTTCCACATACTAGACACTGTGAATTAGTGATATCCCTTGTTAGATAGGACCATCAATAAAACATATTTTATTACATTAAACATACATTGTGAATTAGTGATATCCCTTGTTATATAGCTTCATCAATAAAACATCTTTTATTATATTAAACATACATTGTGAATTAGTGATATCCCTTGTTATATAGCTTCATCAATAAAACATCTTTTATTAAATTAATATAAGCAGTTATACATAACACTACTAACGGGTAATGCTGGTTTGGTTGACCAGAAGGTGACAGAACTTCTTTGGTATATTACACATTAGAAAATCATGAATGGATGATCATTCAAGTGCACGTCGTCATAAAGCATCTGACAGGATACGTCACCAGAGGTTCGGTTTTAATGAATGAGTGGTTTTAATGAATGAGTGTGTAAAGTATAGTCATTTAAATGCAGATCATCAACATGTCATAAAGCATCTGATAGGATACGTCACCAGAGGTTCGGTTTTAATGAATTAGTTAGAAACGAATGCTACTGTGACTGTCACAAGAAAGTTAAATAAAATTGCCCGATTCCAATATCATTGGTTGCTTATATAGGCAATACTGATCTATGAAACCTTTTCTTAACGGAAAAGTTGCTGTTAAAAGGACATTTGGCTGCGGTAACGAAACCAGATCCTGTAAAATTCAACTGCCGACAATTGACCAGACATTCGTCTTTATTGAATAACATAGAAACCCAATGTTACATGTAGCCAATTCAATATACATGTGTCTGGCTACAAACGACCATTAGCAACATTAGCGTTATGTATAGATTTAGCTGAAACCAATTAAGAAACACATGAATTTGCATTTTCTGCCTGGGTTTGGTATTCATGGTTTTAAGGAGGGGGAAATGTACGGGGGATAGTATGCTACTTTCAGTTTGTGGATCTCAACATTGTGAATACATGCCTTTTAGTAAGATGTTGTCACACGTTGCTCCATCTGTAGTAAAAAGTGTTCAACCCAACAAATATTTTGGAAATAATAGAGCCAGTAATTGAAACGAGAATTAACATAAATTAAATTCAATGTGACCAGTATAGCAGATTACTGGGTAACAGTGATGTGGCAAACGATAACTACCACGCATGGCTATGGACATTGTCTGGCGGGAAATTGTGGCTGTTCGTTTATTGAATTAATTAACACTTCGGCTACTTTCATCGTTTCCATTATATATTCCACGTTTCTTAACCAAAACTGCCGTTTTCTTGGGTACCATAACCATGCTTGCGTTAAACCACCGGCAAAAATCTACAGAATGGTAGTCTTGTCATGCTTAAATTAACGTACGAATCCCTTGGTAAGGGTGACCCGTCACGTGCACGATGTGCATCACTATCAGATAGGTTAAAAATATAACCCTTATCCACAACTAAAACCCCGTAATATTTCGTTATGCTAATGAATGCATGATAACCAATTTGAAAAATCGAACCAACGTATTTTTCAGTGGTAGAGTCCGGGCGCCATGAATTTCAATTTGTTTCTTTCACTTACAGTCTCAGTACCAGTATCAACCGGCTTTCTATCGCTAATGGTTACACAGATTTTAATGATCCAATGTGCAAGTTGACTACTTGGTTCGTGTGCATGCTCCACGGTCAAACTTTTGCCCCCTATAGTGCAACCTCAGTGGATTTAAAATCAAAACACTGCTCGGGGCTTGGATACATTCTTTGTGGGAAATTTTGATAATTTCGGCTTCATCTTATGCATCCTCGTTGGGGTTAATACCAAATTCTGGTTGAATAGTTTTTCTAATGCTAAATAGTCTTGTATGCAACGATCGGCAGAGTATAAAAAAACATGCCAAAACTGAACGATGCGATTTATGTTCGTTTGTACAGTTGGAATTCGATATAAGAGTAGGCGATAGTGCCGCTGCCCGGGCAAAATTTCCCTCATAGCACACTGTATGGCGTATGCCCGTCTTCAATGGCCGAGTTTAGGAGCAGAACAGTAGGACGTTAAACCCCATTTCATTTCATTTCCAGACTAGCGAACCTGCGTCTTTCCCACTTAGCCACGTGATCCCCGCTCGGTTAATGAAGACGAGCGTATGCCATGCAGTATGCTATAATAATGGATATTTTGACCGGAAAGCGGGGCATTACAGGCTATCGTCAAGGGTTTATATATACGTGCATGTCTATTTGTACACGTGACCTCGGTTTTTCGTCCCGTCCGAACGACTAGACACTGTCTCGTGTCCTGCCCTCCATTCCTGCCCAACGGACAAGGAGGTACCACGCTGGAAAATTCCGATGAACTTTCTCGGCCAACGTATTACTCACCGAACCAGCGCGACTCTCCTCCTTAAAATAAAGATATACGTTGTAATCCCAAAATGACGTAGATTGCGGTTAGTGGACGTTAACCATTTTTATCCCTGGCAAAATGGTTTGTGTTTACATCCAAATTACAACAGAAATTCTCCTTTTACGTTCGTCACTTTATTACGCATCTATCGTAGCAATGATCTTTGTGTTAAAATTTTATTTGTAACGTGTTTAACCAGTTCCATCACATATGTGATAATGACTGACACCAATATTGTCCTTTAATAGAGAGAGAGAGAGAGAGAGAGAGAGATCAGGTCTAACGACCACTCGACACAAACCAGGTCATTTCGGGACTAACACATGGTTCAATTTTATTTCAATAATTCCCTTGCGCGTAGGGGTCTTTAGGAGTGGGAGGACCCGGAGTAAACCTACGAGATTGGGCAGGCAACCCCACTCCTATCCTTTAATAGACTGCAACAAATGATAGAGAAAAACAGCATAACTAAATTCATATTCCCACAGGAATCAGGAGATCTGAAAGAAAAAGAAAGAAAAATATTTGAACAAAACATCTGTTGATCAATACCGTTTTGATTCTGATCAAAGCCTTTGTTTTTGAATTTCAAATGTTATAATTATGTTTGTTGTCACTACATGCCGTAAGAAATCTGGTAATGATTAAATTATAAATTTACATGTATATTTTTAAATAAAGTGTTGGGTAAAGTTGATAATGCTGTTGTTATTTATTTTCATGTATATTTTACACTTCATCGATTTCCAGCTGCCATAGACGTACTCCAACGTGTACACGGGGACCCCGATTTCTTGTCTCATCCAAAAGACTATAGTTTTTAGTCTCATCCAAAGGACTATGGTCTCTTACCCTCCGTCATGTACCTGCAGACAACGTGAAACCAGACTGGAAAACCCCGAGAAAGTTTCTCGGCCAACATGGTGATAAAACCAGGGACCTGGTAGTGAGACAGGACACCGTGAATTAAAACTTTAAACATAGGCTAAATCTGCCTATTGCAGGTCTTTCTTTAGGCCTGAAATGTTATCTAAATTATTAATTAGATATTAATTAACTTATCCAGACCACAATCAACTCTCGATGCCTTCATTAGACTGCTATATTAAGTGGATTTGAATACGTTTTGTGATGGATGATTTAATGTAAAATTAGATAATTGAGACTTGATTATTGTACCAATGGTAGTAATGACGCCCGAAGCTAGCCTAATATCTCGGTTCAGGGTGAAGCAATATGACCCAAATTTTCGGCATATTCTGTTTTTATTATCTATTTTTAACTATTATAGTGAGAACTGTCAGTTCTTTATATAATCTTACCTAATGCCCATTAAAATTAATAAAAAGACTAGGCTACAGTGTTATTGTATCGCCGAAAACTAGGCTCAGGGTGAAGTAATTTGACTGAAATTTTCAACATATCCTCTTTTCATTATCTATTTTTTAACTATTATAGCTAGAACTGTCAGCTCTTTATCTAATCTTACCTAATGCCCCTTAATGAATGTAATGGGGTTTGTTATCTCAGAAATGCTAGACTTTTATAATATTAACTTTTTTATCTTTTTGATCGCAATGTGTAAGCGTAGATATCTTGTCATACTCTTCTTCGAAAATCATGTCTTCATTAGCCCAGTCGGTGCGGAAATGTAAGACGTTATTAAATCCAGTTTCATTTCTTCGAAAACCCAGCTGTGAAGGGGTCACCAACTGGACCTCCTCGATTACCCCTGACAATTTTATTTCGGCAAGACTAGCCCACATAGAAATGAAATGAAATGGGGTTTAACGTCCTATTGTTCTACTCCGATTTGGCTAAGGAAGACGGGCAGTGTGCTTGTGGGGGAAATTTTGCCCGGGCCGAGGGACTGCCAAGTGATCTTTTACGTGTACACCAATATGTGTACACGGGACCTCAGTTTTCCATCCCATCCGAACCACTAGACAGCTGTCTTTGCTCGGGCAGTGGCACTGCCAAGTGATCTTTTACGTGCACGCCAATGTGTACACGGGACCTCGGTTTTCCGTCCCGTCCGAACCACTAGACAGCTGTCTTTTCCGGGACCCTCGTCCTGCACCACTGACAAGGGGAATCCACGTCGTAAAATCCCGATGAACTTTATCGGCCAATGCAGGGCGTGGATTTGTCATAACTTTTGGTTTGGGGGGACGGACGAACCCTGGAACCTTTCATTACCAAACCAAAATAATAATTACGAACAGTTTACCAGTGCTATTTCGATGAAAGTTGTAACTAGGGGTAATAATGATGACGATATAGTAAAATTGACTACCTACAACTAAGTAGGAAGATATCGTGAAAATGAATTACTGTGGCGAGACCCAAGGCAGTGGTTAGATAGCCTTCAGAACGGGGCATTCATGTGGATATAAACCTGAAAATCTGTCCTGGCGATCAAAATCATGGAAGGGGGGACAGAGACCTATTCGTCCCCCCATTCGATTCTAAGAGGGGGGGGGGCAGCCCCCCCCCCCTAAATCCACGCCCATGAATATTATACAGAGTTGATTTATTTACCGTTTTAACGTCAACACGATGTCTAGTCGCCCGGTCCATTTAATACGGTTTTGTATTAAAACCCGAATAAGCTTACTTCCTTCTAATAGTGGTTAAAACTACATATTGACAGAGATTGTGTTGTTCACAAGTAGACGCTTGTCTGTAACCCAGTCTTGTCATTATTCTATGTGTAATAGTTAATTGATTCATTTCATGCACAACTGACTTCTTTTTGATTTTTCTATACGTACATGCAAATTAGAAAGAAAAAAAAAAACCCTCAAGATTTTTGGCACGAACGTAACATTAAGTTGGCATGGTTTCCAAATATTGCATGTAGACTTAAAACGCATTTCACAAAGGGCCTTCAAACGGATATCGTTTCGATATAAATGTCAATATTAGACTTAATGAAGCTTGAATTATAATCCACTTCAAGATTATACATATATAATAATCTAACTGATTTTGATCACTAAGCCGATTATATTTTGTTGTTAAACATTAAAAAAAACTGTTTGATACCAAGAGGCGGGGCTAAAACATGTCTCCACGGTGCTAGGGATTTAAGACTTGCGCGCGCGCTCTGAACGAGCTATGATAACCCCGTCAATCGATGCTGTTGGCAATATCGTCTGCCACACAAACAGACAAACATAGGAGCGAATATCAAGCTATAATAGCTGTCTTTTGCATTGGATTTTAAACTTCACAGTTTTCGGTTACTTTGTTCAGTGTAAATTCTTTCCCAAATCTACGACTAATTTGCCCTGTTCGTGTTTGCTAGGATATCACTATCATAAACGATAAATTCGGAGGATTCAATCTAGAATTGACGGGAGTTGTGTCTGCTTTTATAAAACGTGCATTTCGTGTGCCGGGTATATTTGTTGGTTGTGATAGTTTTATCGTATTGTCAAATTCGCCCTGTAAACACACGCCGATTTGTTATTTTCCACGGCCGCATTTTAGCTCAACATTAAAAATGGCTGAAGAATTGGAAACGATGTTCAAAAGGCTCTCTGAAGCAGAAGATTGTAAATCTCTTCTCAAAAAACATTTGAGTAAAGAGATATTCGAAAAGTTGAAAGAAAAGAAAACTACTTTAGGAGGCACATTAGCTGACTGTATCCGTTCCGGTAAGTTGAATTTTTAAAAGAAATATTTTTAAAAAAAAAATTGTTTATTTTAAAATTATCTTGATGGGTGTAACCTGTATGCGCAGTCAGCCAAGATGAATACAGTATGTTTTAATAGTATACTTCAACTTTTGATGAAATACTCTGCATAATCCTGCACACGTGTTCATAAAACATAAATAACAAATGTCGTAGTTAAAATCTCGGGCAACAACAAAATAAAACTCACTGAATAACCCATGAACTAGCGTTTTTCATGTATGCGTAATACATAATATAGTATTGTCCAAAGCAATTCAGTTCAGATAGCTGTGCATATTATACTTTCACCATTGCCAAAGCCTTTGGGCTATACTTTCATCTTTGCCAAAGCCTTTGGGCTGAGCCATAATGTTTAGAAATAAAAATTAAACGTGTGTTTAAAATATTAAAAGAAAAAAAAACCATGCTTTTATAGTTTGGGCGATCATGTTTGATCCGACTCCCTTTTCTATTTCCATCACTTTTACATTTCATATTAGGGTTAGGGTTAGGGTCAGGTATTTAAGATTAAAATCTATAAATTCAGGGTTAGGGGTTTAAGATTAAAACCAATGAGTAATTTACTTTCTGTGGTGCCACAACAATGAAATATTGAGACACAAAAATGGGAGTCGCATCAAACATGAATGCCTATAGTTTGTAAGTTCAACATAGTCCATTTGAATTGGGATATTAGGGTATATTTTGACATGACTGGACACATCAATAGAGAATCCGATTACATTCTTAAGCGATTTATATAACCTTGCATTGTATGCGTATGAATATTAATTGCGTGTTATGTTAGTCACAAGGGGGTATGCAAGCATGGTAACAATATAAATATAGCGGTATTAAGTTTTGGTTTAACGTGTATCATAGCCTGTATGACTTAGTGCACACATTGTGGGATTAATTAAATACAATTGACTAAAGATGGCATATTAATGGAGCCAAGTCTTTAACTCAATATCATTCACAGTCTTGGACATTGCAAACACGACTTATTGGTCAATTTAAATCAACATTGATGTTGTTATCTTACCGTGACATGAAAAGATGGGCTTCTGATATCCAATATTTACGGCAAAATGAATATTTCAAAATTGGCACACGAATCGTGTGCCAGAATGCTTTCGATCGCCAGTTGAATGAAGCTACTCGGTGAAAACATATCCCATGTAGGATTCTAATATAACGTTGTAGACTGGAATAACCAGGCGCCAAAGACTGCCGTTTAATTCAGATTCTTCGTGTATTTCGCCTAATATAACTGATTCGAAATTATACTAAAAACAGAAACGATTGAATGTAAATCAGTATATATACATTCATATTACATTATTATCAGGCCCGTAACTAGGGGGGGGGGGGGGGCAAAGCTCCCCTTGCAAAAAGAGATCAAATTAAAACACAAAACAAAGAAATTAGCCCACCACTCCCAAGTCCCTCAAGAAACAAAACCGCGGATATTAAGCGCCGTTTTATTAAGCGACATGTTATTACTGCGCCCTCATCTTTGTTGGCTACACATTACCTTGCATGTGTCAAAAAGTTATGTAGACGGAATAGGCCTAAATTCTCCACCCTTGATTACGTACGAGGTACAAAATGTTAGGTCAAACTTTAGAAAAAGTCGTAACATCGAATGGTTAGAATATTGTGAACCAATCACATTAGCAGTTCAAGGTCACATGTCTGACGAGCTTAACGTCATGTGAATAACTGTTGTCAAAGACTGAGAAAAGTATGCCAAACGATTTGTGAAGTGTTTATTTTCAGACGGATATAGCAGTGCAAAGTCTCTTCCTGCCAGACGAAATTTCACAATTGGTTGCCCTCTAAAGCCAATCCATAGCTGAAAAATTTTACACCAGATTTTTGCTAAGTCAACTTACAGCTACGGTACTATTTAAAAACAAATTTTAGGGCTTCGTATCTGAAATTCAGTGAATATTCTCCCTATTTAAATTTCTGGCGTTTATACAATATATATCGGGTTTAGTGCTCAAACATCGCCTTTAACAAAACAAATCTATTTTTGTACATGTCATGTCAGTCGACCTTGTATAGATATTTCGTACTATAATGTAGCATATTTGTGTTTCATAGCATTGAAATGAATAACAAAAAAAAAACATATTCTGAATGCGTTGTATATTTACATTTTAAAAAAACATATTTCCCATGGTAGACTGTCCTGTTGTACGTATCAGTTCGACGGGGTCATGTCAAAATTCAGCTATATTGACATTTGGCACCCGTTCATGATTTGCCGATATGTCAACTGTTTGACCTGCGCATGTCAGCTGTTGTAATTTGATTATGAAATCTGTTAGCACTGTCCAGATGTATGGTTGAAAGATCTATGTCAGGATCCCGAGCAATAAACACACGTGGTGTCATTAATAAGTCAATGTTTATGTGATATTATAATTGAACTTCCGGATGAAATTAGAAAAATGCACTATAAATAATAACAATCTCCACAGATTTAAGCAGGAAAAAAATGGGCCCTTATTCACGAAAACTTAAACTAAGTTACAACCGAAATATTAAGAAATACTGCAACTTCATTGGATATATGCAAATTGATTTTACTGGTCAGCCAATCGAATTGCAGTATTTCTTAAAATTTCGATTGTATCTTAGTTTAAGTTTTCGTGAATAAGGGCCCTGTACCCCAGCCTGTTATAATGTTTCTACTGCTCTTTTCTCTCCGATAGATAGATATTATACACACAAGGGTCGTCTCTATACATATATGTATAACTATTCTGTGACGGTGATAGGTATTATACAAGGGTCGCCTCTTTTCTCTCCAATAGATAGATGTTATACACACAAGGGTCGTCTCTATATGTAAAACTATTCCGTGATAAATTTTATACAAGGATCGTATCTTTGTGTATAACTATTTTGTGACTGCAATGTATGTGTCCCAATAGTGATGGGAATTATACAAGGCTCGTCTCTATATGTATAATAACTACTCTGTGACTGTGATGGTTTTATATAAGGATCGTATCTTTGTGTGTAACTATTTTGTGACTATATTTGTCCCAACTGTGATAGGTCGTATCTACGTGAACAACTATTTTGTGACTGTATATGTCCCAACAGTAATAACTTTTATTCAAGGAACGCATATATGTCTGTAACTATTTTGTAACTGTATTTGTCCCAACAGTGATAGGTTTTATACAAGGATAGTATCTATGTGTAGAACTATATATTCTATGACTGTATATGTCCCAACAGGTGCTGATCTGCTATTCAGTTGAAACATTTACTGATAAACGGAATACTAAATCATTTTCAATTTCCCTTACCACACTCGTATCTTATCAGAGCATGAATGAAGTTAACTGCGCAATATGTTTCATATTCAATACATGCTATGGAAATATTGTTATTTCCGATAAAAACACAATGATTAAATGTTATTTTTGAAAAAAAAGAGAGCGAGAACAAAACAAGTAATGTAACGTGATATTTTGTGCCATGAAAAGCTTCCTGAAGATTCGACCATCTAACAATAATATTAAACTTCATGTTAGAAAAGATAGACTGGTATATATAGCTATCTATCTGGTAGATTCATCACGAGAGAGAGGCTTTATCTTATTAAGAAATCAGAGATGATCAACAGCATAGTATAGCCTGTTATCATCTTACTGTATAGTTTCTGGCTACTTTTATTTTAAATGTTTATATATTTATAATTTACAGTTCATTTCAATATTACTCTAATAGGCAGCGGGAATAAATTGAAAGTGGGGTAGGGCTGAAGGGGGAGAGGGCGCGATATAAAAGGGGTAGAGAAGAAAATTCAAAGTGCACCCAACGTGTTCTATAATTACTCATGTTTAGTATATATTTATAATTTACAGTTCATTGAGGTATTTCAATATTACTCTAATAGGCGGCGGAAATAAATTGAAAGTGGAGTAGGGCTGAAGGGGAGAGGGCGCGATATAAAAGGGGTAGAGAAGAAAACTAGAATTCTAAGTGCACCTTACGTGTCCCATAATACTCTTTCTTGAGATAATAGCCCCAAAAATATACATTTATTCGATTTTTCCTTGTTAAGTTTTACCAAAATATTAAAGTACTATACCAACTGTAACTAGGATTTTAAAAGTAATCTCGCACATGTTAAGGGAGTAAATAAAATGTTCGTTTGTCTTTATAATAGTAAAGCGTTTTCAGGTAGAAAAAGAAACATATTCGAATTTTTCTAGTTAAGTTTTATCAAAAGATTAAAGGTATACAAGGGACATACCAACTGTATCTAGGATTTTAAGACTAATCTCGCACATGTTAGGGGAATAAATAAAATTGAAACGTGATCGGTTGTCTTTATAATAGTAAACTGTTTTCAGATAGAAAAAGAAACGTATTCGAATTTTTATAGTTACATTTTACCAAATGATTAAAGGTCTAGTAGGGGCATACCAACACTGTATATCTAGGATTTTAAACGTGTTCGATTGTCTTTATAATAGTGAAGTGTTTTCAAGTAGAAGAAGAAACGTAGGCGATTTTTTGTTATACCTTATAGAATAAGGCAATGTTACTGAGAGTGGAATTATAGGTTAATTGGCATCTGGTCTGTTTTCTTCTCAGTTCTCCCTCCCAATATACTTTCTTTTTTTATTGAATTTTAAATCATCCCTACCTCGCCTGTCGTCATCTTAGCATTATCAACATTCCATCTGGCTATTTCAAGCAAGCATTACTTTCTCTAGAAGGATTATGTTACAGGCTATAAAATCAAGGTTTAGTACAGCGCTGTGCCTGCAGGAAAATATCAGAATACTTGAATAAAGTTTGGAAAAATTAAATATGTCTGAATTTGCTGGGCAATATATGACATGACATGAAAAACAACATAGTATGTTCCGATTTTGGAGAGAGAGAGATGGGGTTTAATGCCCACTCGACACAAACTAGGTCATTTCGGGACTAACAACTGG